AATGGTAGAGTTTGAAGACTATTCGTGAACCAATATGATACGTATATTTCCAATTGTATAATTGTTAAATAACTAAACTATTCATATTCATCTTCCTCTCATTATAAGCTTTATTTTGATCTATAGACTATTATTATACGATTTGCCATTCATGAGTTATACCCAAGCCTATTAATTACTGTTTCCCACATTCACAGCCACATTCGACTAAATCTTATACAAATAGTGTTTGTTATTTTATTGTTCGATGTAGTCTGTTCGATTGGTATATAAACCCAGTATGTTTTGAATAAATGATTCATATTTCAGAGGCTATTATTGATGTTCTGGACTTAACTGGCTGAACTACACAGAAAGCAAGACCGATAAGTACTTTAGACTGGTCGTACAGGTTTATGCATCATTGGTCTAGTCGATAAATCATTGTTCTCTACTTGACAATATCATTACATTATATATTGGTAGGGGTATATGACCACAATTTCTAACAATTTTCTCCTTTTGATAAAATAATTAAAAGGTTTATACGATTTTTAAAAAATTTTGAATGTTTAATAAAAACAGAAAACTTAATTCTTATGTTGTATAACAAATGAAAATTTCCAAATTCACATGAAAATTCATTGTTACTTACTAATTAGTAACCGTGTAGAAATTACCCCAAACTGTAGGGTACTTGAAAAAAAAATTCTTTTTAATAACAAATAATGACAGTCATTTAGTATTATTAATTATCAAAAATCGATAAAAAACTGATTTATTATATTTTAGATTTTATAATTTGTTATAAATAATTAATATCATAAATTCAATTTTTATTTGAATCATAATTACCTAATACTGAAATATCTCATATTAACATAACATAGTTAACATGTTAATATGAGAAGCAGTGACCAGTGGAGTTCAAAACCACGTCTGTTGTGAGATAGGAACTCACTGAAGACAATTGGTGAATGGTTGCTCAACTTCGTGGATCAGTTGAAGTTAGACATTAACACCGTTGGATGCCAGCTCAGTGGTCTATCGGTTAAGGGCTTCGGCTCGAGACTGGTAGGTCCTGGGTTCGAATCTCGCTCGCGAGAGCAGGTTCGTGGATGCGCACTGCCTAGGAGTCCCATAATAGGACGAGACGGCCGTCCAGTGTTTCCAGGTTTTCCATGGTGGTCTAGCTTCAATTGACTCACGCTTTCAACAATGATAAATACTAAATCTCCACAAAACCCCTTCTATAATATGTATTTCTTGATTTCTTAAAGATCATCTATCTTAACTTTCTCTATAATGACAATCAATTGAAAAATAAAGCTTCCTTTGATTGTACTATTTATTACTGTAAATTATTTATGATAGTAAAATTATTCATTAACAAAATATGAGTAAGTAATACTTAGTCAATATTGAATAGCAGTACATATTCACAACTTAATATGAATATTATTGACAGATTCCATGTTTACTTTAATTCAAACTTTTTAAGTATAAATAAAATAATAAATTCCATAACGTTTATTTAAATAACTTTTATATTGATTAAGTGCATGACCTGTTCAGAATTTGACCGTCAATTAGAAAGAAGTGAATTATTGATCAGAGCGATAATACACCAAAAATTGTAAGAGCAATCTAATGTACTTATCGGTCCTGCTTTCTGTCTAGACCAGTCAGTTAAGTTCAGAACATCAATAACATCCTCTGCAATATGAATCATTATTCTCAAACAAATTGGGTTTATATAACAATCAAACAGTTTACATCGAACTATAAAATAACAAACTATATTTGTACAAGACTTAGCGAAATGTGACTGTGAATAGGGGGAACATTGATTAATTGACTGGGTAATAACTCATGAATAGTAGTCTATGGATCAAAATGAAGCTTATAATGAGAGGAACATAAATATGAATAGTTAAGCTACTTAACAATTATACAATAAAAATTATATATTCATCATACTGGTGCATAAATAGTTCTCAAACATTTCCATTCATAATTCTATTCAGGATGGAGCAATAACTATAGTAAGAATAAAAAAACTAGAACACTTTCACGATTATTCACCTATCCACATATTCAAAAGAATTAAATGATTAAGTGTCAATATAGGGATGGCATTAAAGCAAAATAGAATATTTCTTGTTCTTAGAATAAGAAGAAAAATTATTAGGTAATGGATCACTGGAAACAGTAATTTTAAGTAATAATACAAAAAGCTCCAAATGACATGTCACTATCATACTAATTATCTTACTAAGAGGTGATAATTTAAACAAAATATAGTTTTCTATGATGTCATATTAATCAAACCTTTGACACTATTTCACTAATATAATCCCGTCGTCACTAATGAATAAATTACTTGGTATTATTTACTACTAAATCATTGGTTAATGTAAATATGCCGTAGTTGTGGGAGAAATTTATGGCTCGAGTAGCATGTTAAGGTGTATTCTGACTTTGATTATGAATGATCTCACTTAATTTCATAAATCTATCTTAGAACAAATGTTGTTGGATAATCAGATGATATCAAGTGTTGAGATATTAAAACGCCTGATGTATGCAATGTAAGCTTACAGTGAAGCATGATTTAAATGTTTGTTTTGTTCACGAGATAAATCAAACAGACAACCAATAATATTCCTATGTAGAAATAGATAAAAAAGAGAACAGAACGAAAGATCACTATTAACTGTATCTGAGTACATTCAATAAGACCAATAAGATTTAAGAGGTTACATAGGTATTACTTTAAGCATAAGTTTACATAAGGGTTTTTATCAGTCTGTCATGTCAAATCACGATATATTTCTAATGATTATTAAGTTTCAAGTGTAAGTGGGTTTTTCATATCACTTTATTGACGTGATCTTGAACCTAACAAGATACACCGGTATTCTAATAGCTGGAAGCAAGTTTCGATGACGATAGTCAATTAGCACAAAACCTATGATCCCATTCACATATTCCTTGATCAACGACCAACTAAATAAAAAAATTATGTGTAAATTAAAATGAGCGTAATGAAAAGCAGACAAGCAATCGCTCGTTCAAACAGGGATAGAAAGTCTTATGTATTTTAAAATTCAGTCTTACTGTTGGTATGAATCTGAATGATACCATTTGTATTAATGTCAAAGAATTTGAAACTTTATGGCTTCATTCATTCATTCATTTACGGTGTTTTACTCTTCAATCGACCATAGAATATAGACATCTCAATGTTACCATGGTTACTAGTTGAAAATCATCAATGAAGAATTTTTTCCTCAAAAAAATCTAAATACTAAAACGTTTTAAGATAAATGATGATATTTAATATATATATATGATCATTAAGTAGATCTTTAATTCTTTTAATAGCACCTTGGTGATGAGGTCGTGAACCTAACGAGAAACACTAGTCTTCTCATAGCTGGAAGCAAGTTTCCGTGACGATATATATATCTGATCATTAAGCAGATCTTTAATTCTTTAATATTCAAATATATTGTACTTGAAATCAGGTTATATGGACTGATAGCAGCATTACTTAATTAATAAAAAAATTTGATCAGTAAAAATTAGACAAACATGATATGGATTAGTTTTCAGCGATCAGTCAGTATAGATAATAGTCATACAATAGTCAAATATATTACGAGTTTAATAGATTTACATCTTTATTAATGTTACTAATTTCAACTAGTACTTTACGATTGATAATTCTACTGTAGTTTCTTTGCTTCGTAACCTTTAATAGATAAACGTCAACGGTGCTTAAAATCAGAAGGTAAAAAGAAGCAGCAATTACAGTTTATATTAGGGTTTAGCTCTGATTACAAAGCTATAAGTATTCGAGCGAATTTGAAACGGATAGGCGGATAAGTATATGTGATCAATTACATAGACGAATTTATGGTCAAATTGTATAAGGGCGGAGCGGTGATTGGATGGGAACTGCTGCTTTCAATGTGGTATGGTCGCCGGCGACATTCCATTTATTTGCCCCCAAATACCCTGGTATGGCCGAGAGTGGGAAGAGTCCATTCTCCCTCTCGAAATACTCTCACATGGTCATGCGTAATATAGTCTATGCCAGGGAAGTCCTACTCACAACCTTCTCGTAACCAGAGTGTTGTTTACGAAATTGAGAGGACGAAAAGCGAATGTCCGGTGCCTTAACCGGGTTGGTGGAGACGGCGAGTCCATCTAGGGGAGTTGGAAAACCCTGATTCCAAACCAATGGTACACATTGGCTCTAGGATCCTGAAGGAACAAATGGCATATGAACTAATCGTTGGTCACCGGCTATCATGGGAATGCATCGCCTCACGATGCTCCACTGCCTTATGGATCAGACCTTTAGGTTGAAGGTTCCGGGTGTTGCCCCCTAAGAAAACCATCTACTTCAGTTTTGGCACCTGGGCAATATCACAGCACTCACACAAATCTCATTTGATTTGTGCAGCGCATATGTATCTGGTGCTTCCTTGTACTAATATTTATGTGTATAAATAAAATAAATAAATAAGAGCGCAGTAAGGTAAAGCAATAGCTAATAAAAGGATTTAATTACATATTGATATGGAGAAGAGGATGGATTATCGATTGATATTTAAACGATCAACATTTTATCTAGATTCTGTCATGTACTCTAATGATTACAACGGTACAAATAAATGTACAAATTGTTACTGTTCAAATAACTTTGTCTATTAAATAACGTGGGATCATGGATGCCCACTTTTGAAAAATTCTACAATATGATAAAACGGCCATTGAGTACTTGCTGGTTTTCAATGATGATCTAGCTTCAATAGATTCATGATTTCAACCATATAAAATTATTAAATCAATCAATCAAAAAGGATTTAACCATAATCGAAATTGTCTTTAGGATACTTTCTATAATACTACTTATGAAATGTATACACTCAACACTGATCAATGAAAACTTTAAAAAAAATAAGTAGTATCGTAAAAAACAACAACAACAACAACAAAAATCAACTTACTAAATTCATAAATACAATTAGCTAATAATATATTAACACGATATTCAATATTTGCAAATTTTTTTAATTCAATTTTAGTTGTTATTATATCACGACTAGCACTGGATTCTAATAATAATAAATCTTCACATTCTTGTAACCAATTACGTAATTCAATAAATTCATTAAGATGTATAAAACATTTTAATCCTATATTTAATTGATCTGTACGTTTTATTATATGATTATTTAATTTATTTAAATCATAATGTAATTCTATAAGTAGTTGATATAAATTTTTTAAAATTTTAAAAGGAATTTTATATTTTACACCTAAATTAGATGATAATTCATATTGAATAAAATCATTATCATCATTTGTTGCTATGGTGATTGTTTTGTCAATAGATTGAATTATTGATTGTTGATTATCATTTATGATACCTTTAAAAATTGATTGAAATTTTGTAATAATATTATCGGCATCCTAAAAATAAAACCGAAAAAAAAGAAGACAAATACGTTATAGAAAATTGAAACAAACTCTGAAATCAAATAGCAGTAACTGGGATTGTTTTTTTTTAATTTATTACAAATTAATGTCAACTAGTAACTGATGGAGATAAGAAAGCATGATTTCTTCTCTTTACTAATTACCATTTAGGACTGATAGGTTCTGGGTTGAAATCTCGTGAGGCGGGATCATGGATGCGCACCAGTGAGGAGTATCACAATAGGACAAAACGACCATCCAGTGCTTCCAGGTTTTCCATGATGGTCCAGCTTCAATTGACTGGATTTCAACTCCCTTCTAAGAATATAAAGATACCCTGAATAGGTTTCAGGATAGAAAGCTCTAAAAGTAAAAGTGTTTCGATCTTGTTTAGGGCTGTTTAGATGTATTCACATTCATATCTTGACAAGGAATAAAACCTAGAAGAATAGTATTTCTTGACAAGTGGATCAATTCTAGATTACTGAGTTAGTTGTTTCTACTTTCAGTTCTGATAAGTTAAGTCAAATCAGTACGTAATATTCAAAATGAATATATCAATCATTTTAAAAGAACAGATTCTTTGACTTTTATAAAATGTACTTTAGGGCTTAAATTAACCCAGGAGAGATTAAAAGTGAAAAGTAATTAGATATTATTGTAGACAATCTGTATTTACAACTAATTTATATAGAAAGCTAGATTATCAGATTTCATAACTGTTTTTTTAGTTACAAACTATCCGATCCCACTTGTTTCACTCATAGGTTAAAAAATATAGATCTAAATAACACAATTTCTACCATTCTCTCATACATTAGCAATAAATCATTGACTGACTTAACACTTAGTCGCTTTTAACCACATTCGAGGAATTTCAATGGTGAAGAAATAGATATATGATCCAATATGTTTTCAGTAGGTATTATTATTCACAAAAATTCATTAGATTTACAAAAATGATTCGCTTAAAGAATGTGCAATCATCTCTAAGAGAACAATTTTTCCAACTTTTTATATTGAAACAATGCGCTTAGATACACATATAAATCTCAAAAGTATAATGTACTGTATAATGCTTAAGAATAGCAAATTATCTCGATGTAATTTGTGTCAAATATATTAATCTCATTTTGATGAAGTTTTGTTCTCTGAGCTGGATGATTTGGTCGTGACGCTTTCATCGTCCTTCTAAACGACATCATCGGTACAAACTTTAGTTAGCCAGAATATTCGTAGTTTAAAAATTTACTCACTTGTATAGTGATTTGTATTCTATTTGTTCTATTGTTTACTTCTTTTATAAGTAATTGATGTTGTCTGATCAACTGATTTACAGCGAATAAGGAACGACCAATATAAGTGTTATCAGCTAAAAGAAGTTTTTCATGAGTCCAAATTCTCTCATTTTCTAAATCTCTGAAACAAAAAAAAAACACATTCAATAATCATGTTCAGGCTATTTCAAGTTGAAATATACTTTCACAAATCATATATTTCTATGCATATCAACGATAGAACAAATCAAGTTATAGAGACTAAACAAAGTGAAATAGTCTAACTTGAGTTAAATCATCAATGAAAACAGAGTTTAATGGAATAACTTTATGTTATTCCTCACTGTTGAATATATTTAACCGTTGTCAAAGTTGTGACACATAAACGACGTTAAACGTAAATTGAACTTAAATAAACCTATATTCTTTTGAGTTTCAATCGCCAAAAAAGGGGGACTGTTCTACCTAAACATTAATCAAATCCAATGTTATATCTTTTGAGAATACTGAAGAAACACAATCCTGTATCAGTCTTCTCATAATATACACTTTAAAGCCCGACCGTTGCTGCTACCTTGATGTGGTGGTCGGGGTTGCCTATCCTAATGAACCAACCGAGCTATACTGGCTGGAACAATCGTTCCTCAAGGTCCTACCATGCTAGACAAGTTGATCGAAGAGTGGTAACACTAAAAGCAGCAAGCCAAACGTCCGATGGTGAAGTCGTACTGCCGACTGTACAGAGGTGTGACGGCAGTAGGGTATATCTTTCAGACAACCAGCATAACAAAGATGCTGCCATCCCACAAGGAGGGGTGGGTTTAGATAATATCAACCCTAAAAAAGCACACCTCTCCTTATCCCACGGATATCCGTCTCCGGCGGTAAGGTCTCAACTAGTACGGAGCTAACACAAAAATTACCCACAAATAGATCGTATGTGACCGACCTCAAGCAGTTGCACCTTGTGCACTGCGTTCATGCTCTCAGGTCATTAAGACCACTTCTAATCCAATTTTCTTTTCAGATACCTATGGAAGAAACCTTCTATGGTGTGGGCAACCGGAAAGTGATAACTGTCCTCATACCTCTAACACCACTCCAGGTCACTGACTGACACTTTAAAGAGTAAACTGTTCTTTCCACTTAAAAAAAATATTGGAATGCAATTTTACGGTTTTACATGATAATGATACTTAATTGACTTGGATAACCTTTTGTTAAGCTCTTTATTTAATTTTGAACCACAAAAAAATTGTATCTAGTTTTATAATTTTTAATAAAAAATGAATTAATTTACATATTACACATGTTAGATTTTGCTGTCAATGAGCAAAGATTTACGAACGAACAACCAACACTTTGTGTATGAAAGATTCTTAAGACTGTTATATATATTTTTAGAAGAGGATTTTGTGGAGATTTCAGTAATTTTATAGTTGAAATCGTGAATCAATTGAGGCTAGAACGCCATCAAAAACCTGAAAGCACTGAACAGCCGTTTCGTTCTAGTACAGGACTCCTCAGTGGCAGTGTTCATCAACGATACTGATTCACTAGATTCGCACCGACGGTCTATCAGTCTCGCGTGCGAGCACCTAAACTTTAGTCCACTGAGTCGGTTGACATTCAACGGTGTTAATATTTAACTTTAAACCAATCCACGAAATTACGAGACCGTTCACTATTGTCTTTAGTTAGTTGATATCTATTGATATATATATTTAGTTTAAATGAAATATCTCTTCATAATTGCGTGCACAGTTATATTTGTTTACGCTCTCATAATTGAATTGAAAAGGATAGTTTATAAAATTAATGTAACTGGTCATACACGCAATAAATAAAACTTTATTTTAATGAACTCATGTTTGTTTAATTAGGTCAATGGTAGGAAACCTTCATAACGATTTTGGTCCGGATATCATGCTAGTTTAAAAGCTTTTCTCCAAAAAAACTGTGCATAATTTTGTTTAATTCTATTATTTTTTTTGTGACAAGGGTTAAGAAAATTATGATTCATCAATGAAATACATATTTTTTTCGAAATATTTCCGCTATGGTACTGAGTCTATGTATAAAATGATCCAATAATTTGTAAATTTAATAGTTGAATTCATGAGTCAATTAAAGATAGACCACTATGAAAAACCCGGAATCAATGGACGGCCGTTTCGTCCTATTATGTGACTCCTCAGCAGTACGCATCCACGATCCCGCACTCGCGAGATTCGAACCCAGGACCTACCAGTCTCGAGACAAAGCCCTTAAATGATAGGCCTGGCTTCAAGAGATATTTCCTTGAGTTCTAGTGAGAAGCATTGGCCAGTGGAGTTCTATCAAGTCTGTTGTAGAGATATCTACTCACTGAAGACAATTGGTGAACGGTCGCTCAAAATCGTGGATTGGTTGAAGTTAAACATTAACACCATTGAATGGTGGCCAGTTCAGTGGTCTATCGGTTAAGGGCTCTGGCTCGAGACTGGTAGGTCCTGGGTTGGAATCTCACGGGTGCGGGATCGTGGATGCTCACTGCTGATGAGTCCCATAGTAGGCCGTCCAGTGCTCCCAGGTTCTCCATGTTAGTCTAGCTTCAATGGACTCATGATTTCAACAGTGAAAATTTATAAATTGATTGATGATAATTACAAGAGTGATTATATTTGATAATATAACTTACCTATAAAGTTGATAAATGTGTTTTTGTGCTTTCAATTCTTCAGTATGTTGATAAATAAATATTTGAATTTTCCAAAATTTCTTAATTAAACTATAGATTTTTGACTTAACTTCAGAATTCTCAGTTTGATTATCCAAATTTGATAGAATCTTCGAATGATCCTAGAAGTAATATGAATTAGGTTAATAAATAAACTAAGATTACTCAAAATAAGTTTAAGCGAGCATGAATGATTTAGTTCCTAACGGGTTCACTCATTTACTTCTCAAGGCAACTAGTAGTAAATTTAGACAGATAGATTAAAGTTACATTAGGAGATAGTAACTGTTCTTTCAACAATGTGACTGTATCAAGTAATGAATGTGATCAAATATGTGAATAATTGAACTTCGACTTAATAGTTTAAAGAATAAGTAAGAATAAGGTCATCGAGAGACTTATAAACAAGATCATTGAATTTTTATTTTATTTTAAGTAATCTCTCTCCTCTTGGTTGTAGTTCAGCCCTGTCCACCATAATTTTCGAATAAATTGAGGTAAACTGTAACCAAATATTAATCATTCAGTATTCAAAATAGAATTTCATCATAAAAAGCAAATTGAGGACTTTGATGATATTCCATTCTCGCAAACCTACAGCGATAGTTTTAACAACAATGATTATATTACTGATGTTGATATTTTCTGCTTACAATGTTTTCAGATATCTCTCTCAGATATCTCTAAACAGAAAAATGTAGACATTTGACTTTCTTTTCAATCTTTGAAGCATTTAACACTGTTTGCCATTCTACTTTCAGCTATCTAATGAATACATATCATAAATTGAAATGATTGTTGATTTGACTTGTACATTTCATAGTTAGCAAGCTTTCGATGTCAATAATATAGGTATAGGTGTCGTAAATCAAATAATCAGATCTAAATGAAACATATCGATAAACAACACTGATAACATTCACCCGCAGAGTATATTAGAATTAAACAATATATGAAGATATAGCGGAAGCATAAAAGAGATGAATAACAACTGGAAAGAACTGAAAAGGATTACTCAGGACAGAGATGGATAGAGAATGCTAGTGTGCGGTCTATGCTCCTCCACGAGGGTTAACAGGCGTAAGTAAGTAAGTAATAAAAATGATTATACATTTCAAACCATATAACCTATTGCATAGCAACCAAAACTTTTGAAAAAGTTTGCAATGCAAATGAGTGCATAGGGATGAAAACTATTCAGATCAAGATATCATTTCATTGTAAATTGATATGGTTGTTAAATTTATAAAGGAGCGTAGATGCGGAGTTATAATTCACTTCAAAAACCATTAAGCAATAAGTATTTTAGAATTACCATATTCTGAGTAATGACAAAATTAATAATGTTAGTATGTTCATTCAAAGAGTGTAAAGCGTGGAAAAAAGTATCAGCGAAGCATAGGACAAATAATAATTATTGTTACCTATAAGTTTGAAGTAGAGAAATGTCAGTTTATTACATTTTCTTTCATGTAACAAACTTCATATTCATCTACTTGTAACCAGAATTTGACTGGTAAACTATTTTCATAGTTGAAATCATGAGTCAATTGAAGCTAGACCACCATCGAAAACTGAAAGCACTGTACGGCCGTTTCGTCCTATTATGAGACTTCTCAGCAGTGAGCATCCACGATCCCGCACCCGTGAGATTCCAACCCAGGACCTACCAGCTTCGTGCTGGAGCACTTAACTGATAGACCATTGGGTCGGCATCCATCGGTCTTAATGTCCAACTTCAACTGATCCACAAAGTTAAGCAATCGTTCATCATAGTCTTTAGTGAGTTGATATCTCTACAACAGACTTGGTTGAACTCCACTGGTAAACTATTTGCAATCATTTAGTATACAAGTAAATATTATCTAGGCAATCAATATATCTATGCTCTAAACTATATGATCAAGATAAACTTCAAAGAAAAACAAAACGTGAGCGATGAAGTCTATTCGAAAAGAACTACCATATGACTCTATACAACATGAATTCTTATAATTGTCAGTATTCGTTATGTTACTGTCACTAGATAAATGTGGATAACAGACAATTCATTCAATATATGATCAACAGTTTACTTTTGAAACAAAACTTATGAAGTTTAAAGAAATTTACTTTAAATCTTCAGAACGTATTCAATTCATCAGTTGTTTTTTTTGATAAAAAGAGAACCATATTGACGTGAAATCTTAACTGTTTAGCTAAAACGACTATTTAGCTCACACTATATAATATTATGATACATAGAATAGCCATTTTGGTAGTTATGAATGTCCAGGCTTAAAATTTATAACCTAAATAGTATAGCTCAACCTTGTTTTCCATGAGAAACAGACATCGTTCAAGCTTAAACTTTATAACCCGAGCAGTACAGCTCAACTGCGCTTCACAGGAAAACGAAACACTATATAGGCATCAATGCTGAAATCTGAATAGTACACCTTAATCCTGTGGCGGAACCACACAGGTGACCGGAACCCTGATGAACCAGAATCCTTTTAACAGGGACAATTAAGTGTTGAATCTGGCTGGTTTTACACTCTTTAGTAACTGAAATCCTTATCCGAATTACTAAAACATGTTTCATGATACAGTTTGGTAATGTTGAATGAAATGAATCTCATTCAACTGTTCCACACAGAAAAACATCTCAGTCCCATTAACTAATATTAAAAGAAAACATATATAAGCTTTACATAAAATAGAAACTAGTAATGCTTCTCATTTTTTCTGTAGAGAACAAGGTAAAAAAGAAGTCATATTAACGACTCTAATGGGTGAGTTTGCATTTTGTAATAATCAGCTTCTCAGTGGACTCCAATATTTTCATTAAAATCAATGAGCACATGTAACTAATATGGCTAATTATTTAATTTCATTAGTTGAGAACATAAGTCAACTGAAGCCAGACCGCCATGGAAAACCTGAAAGCACTGGACGACTCCTGATATTAATCAACATATACTCACTATTGACCGGCTTCAAGAGGTATTTCATTGAGTTCTAGTGAGAAGCAGTGACCAGTGGAGTTCAACCATGTCTGTTGGGAGATATGAACTCACTGAAGACAATGATGGATGTACTGCTCAATTTCGTGGATTAGTTAAAGTTAGACATTAACACCATTGGATTGCAGTCGGCTCAGTTGTTTATCAGTTAAGTGCTTGCGCGCGTGACTGATAGGTCTTGAGTTTGAATCCCGTAAGACGGGATTGTGTATATCAACTGTTGAGGAGTTCCACAATTGGACGAAACAGCCGTTCAGTGCTTCCAGGTCCTGGATTCGAATCGCGTGAGGTGGGATTGTGGATGCACATTGTTGAGAAGCCCCACACTAGAACAAAACGGTCATCCAGTGCTCTCAGGTTTTCCATAGTGGTCTAGCTTCAATTGACTCATGATTTCAACTATATAAGCTTAATAAAATCTCCATAAAAACCCTTACTGATATTAATTATATCATTGACGTAAATTTTTAAATAAGATGAAAATTATCCTGCTAAATTGAAACAGTTAGATAATGCATAACACCGAAGTATATGAAGACCATTATGATCATGTACATTAATCAACGAATAGCTTATTAATTATTTGTTTTTAAAAGAAAACTATATATATATTTATATCTCATTTTTAATTTGATTGACATATTTCATTATATTTTCACAGTTGAAATCATTAGTCAATTGAAGCTAGACCACCATCGAAAACCTGGAAGCACTGGACGGCCGTTTCGTCCTATTATGGGACTCCTCAACAATGCGCATCTACAATCCCACCTCACGCGATTCGAATCCAGGACCTGGAAGCACTGAACGGCTGAAGACAATTGGTGAACGGTCGCTCAATATCGTGGATTGGTTGAAGTTAGACATTAACACCGTTGGATGCCAGCTCAGTGGTCTATCGGTTAAGGGCTTCGGCTCGAGACTGGTAGGTCCTGGGTTCGAATCTCGCTCGCGAGAGCGGGTTCGTGGATGCGCACTGTTGAGGAGTCCCATAATAGGACGAAACGGCCGTCCAGTGCTTCCAGGTTTTCGATGGTGGTCTAGCTTCAATTGACTCATGATTTCAACTGTGAAAATACTAAATTGTCCACAAAACCCCCTCTGATCTATATTTCATTATAATAAAAAAAAATTTTTTTAAATGATTAGTTACTTTTACATAATTTTTGTGTTTTGCCAAGTTCCAATCTTCTGAATTGTTTATCCCTCTAACTTTATTTTCTATTTCTAATTGTATTTCATTAGATTATACTCCTTACAATAACATCTACAAACCTTAATCTTTTCGAATATTACCTGTACTCTTACTATTTCTACTACTATGAGATTTGAATCAACAACTGCATCTTTGTGAGAATGTGGTATGATAAGTCGAACAGATGTACATACATTTAACGTTATACTTATATTGAATAAAAAGTAATAAATGTTTTTAACATTGAACAGGAAATTAAAATCTACTCGAAAAAAAAAATTTAATAACAATTAAACAATTGTACATTAATTCTATGATTTTACTATAGAATATACAGTACAATATAATATTCAATACATTGTCAAAATAGTAATATACTATTGAAGGGGAGGGGAGTGGGTAATAATTTTTTCTTAAAAGAAATAAATTTTTTTAAAAAAAATGTAAATAATAAAACAATAAAACTTTTAATTTTCACTGTAGAAAAAAATTTTAAAAAATAAAAAATAAATTTTTAAAGAAAAAATTTTTTTTCGATTTTCTAAAATTTCAATAATTCGTCACAATTTTTTTAGAAAATAAGAAAATTAAATTCATTTGGTTTTATTTGTTTTCATATTCCCATTGATGTTTAGGGGTGCAACTGGTCAGTCTCTTAATGACATATGTGCATACTGTGAGTATTGCCTCAATATAGCCTTAATTCACAAACATTATAAGTAAAAATGGATAGTGGCTAGCAAAGGAATTCAGTTTGACGTGCGTTTCGTCCTGATATGCAGGTTCATCCAGCCGACGAGTCCAAAATAGGACGAAAGGCGCGTCAAACTGGATTCCACTGCTAGTCACTGACCATCTTTGTTTATAAAGCTTGCAATATTATATATCTATTGAATTAGTTCTTATTTTTCTATAATAATTTTTTTTTATTAGTCATTGTTAGTATAAGGTCGGTAAAAAAATGTTTTTCAAATGAATGGTATATACAAAATGAAGATCAATAAAGAGTTTATTTTTCAAGGTATACTATAATATCTAGTCTAATATTAAAACGTATTATCTTATCAGGATAGTTACTAATAAAGAATTAATGTCATAAAAAATCAGAGCTTATCTACGTAGTTAAGAGTTAAACATGTATGAATCTTATCTTAATTGTTTCACAATGAATAACTTCATTATCATATTTAAAGAAGTTCTATAAAACTGAAATATCTATATAACAATTAATTGTGCAGCTAACTGACTTTAGTAAGTAACACTGGATAACTGTAAGAACATTTAAATACTTTAGTTACTCATCTGATCAACAAAGTTACTAAGAATAATCCCTTGGTGTAACTGATATTATTCAACTAGAATCATTGGAGTGATTAATTATAAACAACAAAATACATTTTGTTTCATTCTCATTTAAATCTAATAAATTATAAGTGAATTGTAGTTTCTGTCATAACAACAAGAATATTAAGTACATAGTAGTTATATCTTACATTATTTGTAGTCTAAAAGTTATCTTGAGAATATGAATGCAAAACAAGTGCTATCATCTACAACCTTTCAAACGATTATCTTTTTATCCCTTATATCACATAATTTATCAATTATAAATTTTATCTAATATCTATGATATATGAAATTGACAGAAAATTGAAAGTGTAGAACATGGTAATATTGGGTAATTCTACATTTTATTGATCCTAATTGGTACATTCTATGTTCAGAAGGGGTTTTTGTTGACGGCCGTTTCGTCTAGTGCTTCCAGGTTTTTCCATGGTGGTCTAGCTTCAATCGACTAATGGTTTCAACATTCTATGTTGTTATCAGATAATAATGCTTAACACTAAGAAATGATACTTAACTTTTATATTTGATGTTTACAACAAAAAAAAACAATACAGCTCTTCAGATAATTAAAGTAATTGATTATGTTATTGAATAAGAAAAAGAGAATTCAGCGAAGAAAATTTTCTTTTCAACGAAATCATTTACTTAAGCTGTACATTCGTATATATAGTTATACGGAAAATATATGTCTACAGGAGACTAGGAAAGATTGCATTATGAAATTGATTCGACAATAAATAACAAATGAGGTGACGTACTAATCAAGGAAGAAAATTATTTATGGGTCAGATAATCCAATTGACAAATATGAAGAAAAGCGACAAACACAAAGGTCATATTAATAATCTGAATTTTAAAGCAATTAGTCCCTTTTGATAAATTTTGATTATGTAATGAGAAGACGAAGATTATCAGAACTATTTGATATATTAGCGCAATACATTTCGAACAATCTGATCAGACATATACTTGTTAAAAACATTTATATATAAAAATAAAAGGTCAACTAAACTGGAAAAGGGAGATAAGAGGAGACAAGGATGATAGTAATAAACATAATGTGAAAACAACTAGACACATAGTCACTGAATAATAAGCATATATTACCAGGGTAGGTTTAAGGAGAGAGAAAACTGATTTTGGATACACAAAAGGGGGTTTGAGTTTTTGTATGGCTAAGTCTTCATTAAAACTTTGTATACGCCGTTTTACACATTTAAACAACAGAACAAAACTGGGTTCAGATCAATAATATACCAATTAGAGACTGACCAGTTGCAGTCCTAATACATCGACGGAAAGATTCAAACAAACAATACTAAATGAATTTAAACTTTACCCCATAGCACAAGCAAGTGGTTATCAGGACTCAACAGCCGAGTGGATAACGCGATGGCGTTTGAAGCGAATGGTACTGGGTTCGAGTTCCAGAGTGAACATCAACTCTGAGATGCAGGTACATCCAGCTGACGAGTCCCAGATGGGACGAAACGCGCATCCTGCATTCCACTGCTAGCCATTATCCATCATTGCTTATATATACGAATGTACAGCCTAAGTAAATGATTTTGTAGAAAAGAATATTTTTCTTCCATGAATTCTCTTTTTCTTATTAAAAAAATGCTTCTTATAATTGAGAATGTATTCAATTTTTCATGGCGTTTTGTTTTCTGAACTGGATGGTTTAGTCATCGAGCCTTCATCATCCTTCTGGACGATGTCATTAGCAGTAGAAATAGAAGTTTGTGCTAATGATGTCGTTCAGAAAGGCGATGAAAGCTTCAAGACTAAACCATCTAGCTCAAAGAACAAAACTTCATAGAAATCATCCAATTGAGCTAGAAATCTTCTCCATCATCTCAAAATGTATTCAGTTCATACTATTCAGCTTGGATGCATATATCTAAGGAATATAAACCTTTAAAACATTTAAGCATATTTGTGAACACTTTATAACAATAAAAATGTACAACTTACATGTAGTTCAACTAGAATCTTTTTCTTTATATCCATTTTGTTTAAATATTCCATAGTTTTATTTAAATATAATGATACTTCATTTATATTATTAAAACCAGGTATATTAGCTTGATTTGTCCAATTTTGATTTATATACTTCTCTTGTATAAGATATTCCAAAATCTCTGTTGATGATTCAATTCCTTCAAACATTGTCATATTACCATTATTATTATTATTATCATTAGTAGTAGTAGTAGTGATAGTAGTAGTATTATTAGTGGTAGTAGTAGTAGTAGTATATTCTAATGTTAATTGTTCTATGAAATTTTCAATGATGATTGATGAATCGGTTTGAATATGTTCGCCGAATTGTTTGAATTGATCAAATGATTGAAATGATAAATATTCTATAAAAATTTTATTTAACCAACAATTTAATTCATTGTAACCATCTTCAAATATAATTGCTAGTTGTAAATAGAGAAAAGAAAAGAAAAGAAAAAAGAAACGAAATAAAATTATAGTTTCAATCTTTGAAGAAATGGGCTTATACTGAATTACGAAACATCAGAAAATCTAATTTTTTTTTTACTACTTATTGAGATATTACAAATATCAATTATCTTTTGATTAGTGTTCATATGATGTGTTTTATGTTATTTTTAAAAATACTCAACATCAATTGGCCGGATACTATTAGCATTTTATCAGCGTTTTATGGGAGAGGACAAACCAGCTTACAGCTAAAGAGAAAATTAGGAAATGATGTTTGAAGTGGATAGGATATACATTAAGGAAATCACAAATGTGCATTACAAGGCAACCCATAATTTGGAATCCTGTAGGGAAGCGGAAAAGAGGAAGGCCGAAGAACACATTACGCCGATAAATAGAAGCAGATATGAAAAGGATAAATGTTAACTGGAATAAACTGGAAAGGAAGGCTCAGGACAGAGTTGAATGGAGAATGCTGGTGGGCGGCCTATGCTCCTCGACGAGGAGTAACGGGCGTAAGTAAGTAAGTAAGTAAGTAATGTTTTTTTCCACAAGTAAGTAGGATATTTCTGTATTTCAGTTTAAATGAAATTACTGAAATTATAAACGAGATCTTGATAGATTTTATGGGTTAGCAAGAAGAAAATAAAACATTTTCGAGTCCATTATTCAAGGTGTTCATTTTTTGTCACAGACTAATCAAATACATAAAGCTTAGAATAGTAGTCACTAAAATACCACTCACACGATTCTAACCCAGAACCCATAGGTCTCGTGCGTGAACACTTAACCTCTAGACCACTGAGCTGAAATCCAACGTACCGATAGATCCTGGGTTCAAATCTCGTGAGGCGATATTGTAGATGTATACTGTTGAAGAGTTCCACTTCTTGAAACGAAACATCAGTTCAGTGCTTCCAGATTTTCTATTATGGTCTAGCTTCAATTGATTCATAAATTCAACTACTAAGTTACTATAATCACCGTAAAACCCCTCTCTTACTATAGAATATTTATGCAAAACTATTTCTACATAAACATAGATCTCGTATGATATTTCCATGTTTAGCAATTTCAAATATTTTCCTAGTTTTTTTTTTTAATTTTATTTTTAAAATCAGTTTTCTTCAATATGGATAGTAAAAGAAAATGTGAAAAATTTTTTTTTCACAATTTTCTCAGAAATAATTGCTATGGTAATAATATTTTGATAGAATTGAAGGATTTTATTTTGTTTCACTGAAAAAAAAGAAGATACGTTACATTCATATTGAGTTAGACATGTGATACTATTATTAATCAAGATGAATATTTTACAATAATGTGAAACCTTTTGACAATAAAAATGAAAAGTTGATAGAATGAGTTTAGAACACTAACATTAAAATTAGTCAAAATCTATGTGTAAAGTAACTTCACCTGTAGCTCCTCTAGGGGTTACTGTCAGTCCCAAGTTCGAATAATGGAGGAGGGTTAGGCATGGCGTTAGTGTCCTCATCCCGTAGTAAACTAATTCGATAAAAAAGCACTAACCAGAAAAATTATTCATGACTAAAGTTAAACCTGAATAAGACGAGAGTTCATGGACAGTTTATTACAATTGTGAGTAATCTACTGATAATTTCTCTATTGTACGTTGGGATTTATCCTGATCAATTTGAAAAACTTAATGAATATCTAAAAAAAATCATATTTCTAGTTCTTGTTTGATTCAATCTAAATAGTTACACTAGTTAAATATATTCCTACTATCATATTATTTTATTTTACTTCGCCATATACTGTTGTCTTTTGATTTTATCATTCACTAATCTCCAAATAATTGTTCCTCAAACATTGAATCAAATGGTAAGCGAAGATGGTCAGTGGCTAGCAGTAAAATCCAGTTTGAAGCGGGTCCTATTTGGGGCTCTTCAGCTGGATGTACCTGCATCTCAGAGTTAATGTTCACTCTGGGACTCAAACCCAGTATATTTCGATTCAAATGCCATCGCGTTATCCACTGACTGACAAGTTGCAGTCCTAACAAATCGATGAGAAGATTCAAACAAACAATACTGAATGAATTGAATTAAATGGTTATTTTTAAATAAGGAATAAGTTAACTTAACAACTAATTCTATTTCGGCATAGTTTAAAAACATCTTTGAATTAGCATGTTGAAAAAATAAAAATTCGACAATAATAATTGTATTAATTATTAGTAGGGTAAAATGAGAGAAAATAAAAATGATTATAATTCATATCAATATCAAATGTGTAATCAGAGATTACGTAATACATGAACAGAAATAAATTGAGTATTCAATAAATAAATCGAAATGATTGTTTATTAGATTGTTAAAAAATTTAGAAGAAATAAATTAATTTAGTCGTTTGAACTCTATTATTTTCATTCTATTCACAGAATACCACTCCGCCTGTAGCTCTTCCAGAGTTATCGCCGGTCACAAGCTCGAGTAAAGAAGGAGGAGTGTACGTGAAGTCGGCAACATTATGACGTACAAAAAATTTTTAGTAAAAAGAACTCTAACCAGAAAAAAACAATTAATGCCATATAAACTCTCCACTAGAAGTTGGAGGATCTTCATTCAGAAGAATTATGACGCCTAATGGTAAATGTCGAGATTCTTCGAAAATCATGAGGCTGATTACCTTTCTAACAACCACAGCGACAAATAATTTAGGTACATAGAATATCTAGAAAATATGGGAGGTCGAGAGGACTAATTAAATAGCTACAGAAATGAAGAGATATAACTTGAAGATGCTCGGAATAAGTGGAACACAACGGATCCAAACATGAAAGAAAAGGATAAATTCGAGAGAGTTGTCTCTGGAAGGAATTGCAATGAATTTTATCCAGTGCTATGTATACATTAATGATAGAAATGGCGACGACAAAGATAAGCTTAACAAGAGGCTGCAGTTGATCGTATAGAGGTCTTCAGGAAAGAACCTGATCGTATTGACTACAGACCTAGACTCCAAAATCGGAGTGGACAACACTAAGTATGAAGACACCATGGGACTATATGGACTGGGAGAAACGAACAAGGATGTTGAGAGATTTGCAAATCTATGTGCATTCAACAAATCGGTTATTGGTGGCACAATATTACCACACATATGCATACAAAAAGCTACATGGATCTCATCGAATCACAGCACAGAGAATCAGATGGATCACTTTTGTATCGATAAAGAATTCAGAAAGTCACTGGAAGACGTGAGGACCAGGAGGGGAGATAACATAGCTTAAGACCACAATCTGGTGGTTTCAAAGATAAAACTGAAGCTAAAGAAGCACTGGACAATTTGAGAGACAGCATTACAAAGGTTCAAAACAGCCATCCTACGAGATACTCACAGAGTCAATGGATTCGAAATACGTGTCAACAGCAGGTTCCTAGCCATGCAAAATATATTGAAAGAATAATCTACGGTGGTGGACAATTGGAAAGGGATCAAAGAAAAACTGACTTCAGCGTGTCATGGGAGTTGTGTGACCAAAGAAGCGTCATCATAAAGAATGAATTTCTATCGAAACCCTAAATAAGATTCAAGAAAGGAAGAACAAGGAGACAGCAATTTACAACAGCCCAACAAGAACAGAGAAAGTTAAGACACAAATACACAGAAGCAAGAAAGCAAGTGAAGAAGAGCATTAGAGCTGACAATCAGAAATACGTGGAAGATCTAGCAATGACACCGAATGAAACTGCGACAGAAGGAAATATAAGACAGCTATATAACACAACGTAGGAACTAGCGGAAAAATATTGTAAACCAGAGAGACAAAAAAGTTAAGACAATTACTAAGATTCAAGAACGGAATAACACATGAGTAGAGAACTGTGAAGAACTCTTGATTATTTCAGCTCTACTGAGCCCACGGGACATCGAACAAGCACACACACCTTGCTATAGATGTCACTGCAACAATGATCGAACAAATCAGGAGGACCATCAGATAGACCAATAGAAGAAAAGCAACAAAATCTGACAATATACCGGCTGAAGCACTAAAGTCAAACATGGAAGTCACTGCTAAGATGATCCATGTTCTATTCAGGAAGATTTGGGAGAGAGAGAGTAAGTGCCACTGATAAACTGAAAAGAACGACACCTTATCAAGATACTAAAGAAAGATGATTTGAGCAGGTATGAAAACTTCAGAAGCATCACATTACAATCAGTACCAGAAAATGTTTACAACAGTGTGTGGCTGAACCCGATGAAAGACTCAATAGACACCCAACTTTGAGCTCAACGGACCGCATTCTGTAAGGATAGGTCACGAACGGGTCTTGTGCAGATTGATCGCTGCATTACGGATCCTTGTTGAACAATTAGTAGAGTGGAACTTGTCACTTTACATCAACTTCATTGATTATGAGAAAGCATTAGACAGTTTGTATATGATATATTTTTGAAGATCGTTAATGCCATACGGAATAAACTGTAAATTGGTACATTTAGAACAGCTGACAGATGCATTCAAAGTGAGGTTCAGAGGCACATAAGGCTGATAGCTCTCCCCATTTCTCTCCCTGCTAATAAATAACTGGATTATGAAGATCTCCACATCTTAGCTGAAACATGAAATACAACTTGGATGGAAGAAGACGAATTGGACTCCACCTAATCATGAATCGATCAATGTTAGACCACCATTAAAAACCTGCAAATTGTGGATGGTTATTTTGAGCAGGTCGTAAATACTCACTTCAAAGGAGTCCCGTGAAACGACAGAACGGTGGTTCAGTGCTTCCAAGTTTTCAGTGTTGATCTGACATTGAGCGATTCTTGATTGCAATGAAACTCAACAATCTCTACAACCCTATCTTAACAGTTAATTTGTTTATTTATCCTCATTTTAAACATGTTGAGTTATTTTTTATTCGTATCATCTAGCAAATTATCAAGTTTTATCAAATTTCTATTCAGGGATAATTTATGGTCAGTGAATTTTTCTCGCAACAGATTCACATACATGTATACAACTTCTATATTGACACGACGTTTTTTCACACCAAGTGACTCGTAAACACTGCAAAAAATCTCACCTTCGACATTGTTAAAATGAATGAACGACTTATACACTTGGCAATTTGTTCGAGCAACTGAATTCTTTATTTATATAAAGAACATTGCCTCATTTGAAAGTCTTGTATTTTATGAGCAAGTCTGTTATATCAGTTACATAAAAATTAAGGAAACAAATTGTTGGACGGTACCATAAATTATAACAGTGCGGACACTAATTATCAGGTTTAGACAATTTTCCCATATATTTGTAAATCTGGCTTGGAATGATAGTTAGGATTATTTGTCTCTGTTTGTTATTATGATGAAAGATAATGTCTGGTTCATCAAGGAGTTGTGGTGTATGGTACTTATATAAGTAGTATGTATCATCAATCAAAAGTGACTTGTCTGGCGGCAGAAGGTTAAGAAGATCAAAGTAAAGAGAACGAGAACAAAGATTGATCGCTGAAGAAACAAAAGAACAATGAAATCTTAGACGAATGATTAACATTTTGAAGAAGGAACAGTTAAATTTGTGATAACTGATTGACATATGCGAATGTAGTATTTACTGTGTGGTTCTCAAATTTTACTAAGATGCTCCGTAATTTTGTATTCAATTACTTTAGATTCTCCCTACTTGTGTTCTCGTTTACCATAGAATCTTCTTACAATTAACTATACATCCTGTCAAATTTGCTCAATATGAATGAACCAATCGTTATTAAATATTTAAACAAATTCTATATTAAACTAATAATTTTGTTTTTCAATTTTTTACATTAAAATGTTTACTACTACTTTTTTAAGGAATATAAGTAGCAATGTTTAATCAATAGAAGATTAGCTTTTACGTTTCATCGGCAATTTCTTTTTATCCTGATGATAAGAAGGAGGATTTCTTACTTTTTAAGAAAAAATCTATGGAGGTCTCGATGAAAATGTCGTTGAAAGTATTTAACTGTCTATTGTAGATACAAAATATTAGGATAAATGAAAGTTTTTCTTGTTACAAAAGACATCTATACATTTAGGATATTTTATTAACTTCTATTAAGTAGTTTCATGGTTGAAATCATGAGTCAGTTGAAGCTAGATCACCATGGAAAACCTAAAATCATTGGACGACCTTTTCATCCTAGTATGGTACTCCTCAACAGTGCGCATCCACAATCCCATCTCACGGGATTCGAACTCAGGACTTAGAAGTGTTACGCTTGTACGCTTAGCCTTCAGACCACTGAGCAAGCTAGCATCCAACGGTGTTGATGTCTAACTTCACCTAATTTACGAAATTGAGCTACACATGCACTACTGTCTTCAAGGAGTTACTATCTCACAACAGACCCGGTTGAACTTCACTTTCGCTAGAACTCCAAGAAAATATTTCTTGAATTCAATCACTAGTAAGCATATAACGATTATGATCAGAGAAGGGTTTTGCGGATATTATATTGACTTAATAGTTGAATTCATGAGTCAATTAAAGCTAGGTCGCCATTTAAATCTAAATTTGAACTCCTTAACAATTATAATCCGTTGACAGTATTTATACCCATAAGATTACTTTCCAAAAATGTATGATAATCTTTAAACTCTGAACATTTATTTTATCCTCATTAAGATCAAATCAATTGTCAGAGTATCTGAAATTGTTTATTGTCAATGGAAAATTAAAATTTACTCAGTTAGCATGATGAAATCAAATGTCCAATTTAAAATAAGAAAATACTTAGTGTAGAATACGGTTTTCAAGCTGTATTGGGTTGGAGAATGCTGGTCGGCTGCCTATGCTTCATTTGGAGTAACAGGAGTAAGTAGGTAAGTAAGTAGTGTAGAATACACTGGATCAAGTTGGAATTAGTTCTTATAAATCATTTAGAAGTTGACACAAACTATTGACAATTTACGTTTATTTATAGTAGCAGATGAGTACGTAGAGCAAATTAAGACAGTTAGACGAGTATCTTTACCTTTCACACATGACGAACAGCTTTTTATTTATAAAAAAAAATGAATTGAATATTCTCTGAACCCTAGACATGAAATAATCCACCAGAAGTGGATCCAACAGTGACATCATCATAGTCTTATCTTTGTGCATTTTGTTATTGAAGGTGTAATGTAACAAATGCTTTTTCGAACAAGTGATCTGCAAATCATAATTTGTCCTGTGTTAATCAACTCTATTTACAGATGTAACAAACAGATTCTGTTAGAGTTAAACGAGTAAAAAGAGAACTATTAGTAAGTGACAACATAATTTTTCCCAGAAGTATCACTGTTTGTCATTGTTTCGATTGACCAAATTATATCAGGAATAACGTTAAACATCAACCCAGTCAATGTCCTCAGGTTAGTGCAAACTTCCTTTATGTGATTGAGAAATGTTAGAATAGAATCATTAAAAACAGATCCATTTCATTATATTTAATTATTAGGTAACCATATAACATATATGACTAAAGTATTCAGAATGATTATTTGTATGCATCTAAATTTTCTTAATTTGGTTCAACTCTAGGCTAACAACTATAGTATTTTTTTGTATTTAAAATAAGCTTGAAACAAGTGTGTCCATTGATCAATGACAGTAAACTGTTCTACCCTGAAGAGAATTATGAATGGAAATGTTTGAGAATTATATACGCACCAATATGATGCGTATAATTCCTGTTGTATAATTGTTAAATAGCTTAACTATTCATATTCGTTTTCCTTTTATTGTAAGCTTCATTTTGACCTATAGACTATTATTATACGATCTACCATTCATGAGTTATACCCAGTCTATAAATTACTGTCTCCCACATTTACAGCCACATTTGACTAAATCTTGTACAAATGTTGTTTGTTATTATATGGTACGATATAGTCTGTTTGATTGATATATAAATCCAATATGTTTGAAAATAATAATGATTCATATTTTAGAGGCTGTTATTAGTATTGTGGACTTAACTGAGCTGGGCTAAACAGAAAGCAGAACATATAAGTGCTCTAGACTGCTCGTACGGTTTTCAGTGTATCATTGCTCTAATCGATAATTCACTCCTCTCTGATTAGCGAGGATCATCACGTCCTATATTAACAGATCATCTGGACAGGCAGACTCGATATTAACAAAAAATTTAATAATTCTTTCCCAACTCTTGTTTATAAGTATTGCTAGCAAGATTTAAATTTCTAAGACTAAATCTATATATTGTATTACATTATGATTGTACAATTTATTATTTCTTTGTTATTTTGATGTGGTCATATATTCACCATAGAAACAACTTAGTTGCGAAATATAAAAAAAAATTGTTTTTATTAGTTTTTTTGTTGTTACATTGATTTATCTTACCTCTCTCTTTCATTAATAGTACACTAAAATTGACTATTCATACAAACACATATTACATAATTTGTCATAGTGATTATTCTATTAATTTTATTTGTTTCATTTAAATCTACCGTCTTTATTGAAATGTATATGTCCCTTATTACATTTAATTGATTTATATTTACAGAATATTAAAGTAAAGAATGAAAAAGGAATTTAATAGTTGAAATTATGAATCAATTGAAGCTAGATTATCATGGAAAACCTAGAAGCACTGGACGGCCAATTCGTCCTATTATAGGACTCCTCAGCAGTGCGCATCCACAATCCCGCACTCGCGAGATTCGGACCCAGGACCTACCAGTCGGTTGAAGATAGACATTAACACCATTGGATGCCAGTCGGCTCAGTGGTCTATCGTTAAAGGGGTTTGGCTCGTAACTGGTAGGTCCTGGGTTCGAATCTCGCGAGTGCGGGATTGTGGATGCGTACTGCCACTGAGGAGTCCCATAATAGGACGAAACGGCCGTCCAGTGCTTCCAGGTTTTCGATGGTGGTCTAGCTTCAATTGATTCATGATTTCAACTTTGAGTAATATTGAAATCTCCACAAATCACCTTCTGAAAACCTTTAAATTATTTGTTAAATGAATGCTTTAGTACAAACCATAAATAGCTTATAAGCAAAGGTGGATAGTGGTTAGCAGTGTAATACAGTTTGACGCACGTTTCGTCCTTTTTGGGACTCATCAGCTTCATGTATCTGCATTTGAGAGTTGATGTTCACTGTGCGAGTAACTCGAACCCAGTACCTTTCGCTTCAAACACCATCAGGTCATCCACTCAGCTAATGAGTCCTGATATGCAGGTACATCCAGCTGACGAGTCCCGAATAGGACGAAACGTGCGCCCTGGATTCCACTGCTAGTCACTATCCACCTTTGTTTATAATTCTATGACAATGTTTTCTTCTTAAAATAGAGTGTATATTATTTTACACATAACTTCAAAAAAACTGACTTCATTCTATTCAAAGTTGAATGTTAATTATAATGAATGAAAAAGAATATAAAACCAGATTCAGAATTAACTAATTATGCAACCAATAATAAAGAAGTTAACATACCCCTGTGTAACTGAATCATATAATCACCTTTTTCCTGTATTAATTTACGTAGACTCTTCCATAGTAACATAAAATTATTAAGTGATTCACTTAATTGATCCGCAATTCGTGGATATTGTACAATGGTATTAGCAACATGCTATTTCAATAAAAAATATATATATATATATTAAGAATGTGTGTATGTGGCAATCAGTTTAATTAAAAGTTGCTTAATCAAACTAAAAAACAAGAGGGGAAATATTTCCATAGTTACACGAATTATACAATTATTTAGTGATTAGATTACAAGGGATAAATATCCTATTTATTATAATCTTTTGGTTTACCCATTAACTACTGATATATGATTGAATATTATTAATTCGTTGTTAGTCGAATATTTACAATCTGCTCAATTCAAAGACACCTTGGCTTGTTCATGTATAATTATTATATTTAATTTTATAGTATCATGTGTTCTAGTATCCTTGTTTATAAAGCAAAACTGTTATAAAATGATTTTTTTTTTGTAAAATCTTATTGCTACTTCCGGACTCAAGTCTAGACATAGAGAGAAGTTAATGAATAGTGGATTATTGAGAGCTTGGTTGCCTAGTCGAGCATAATAGTGCTAGTTGAGTGAGTACTTGTTCAATTTAAAGACACTAATCTGTAAAGTAAATAGTAAGCCAAAAATAGAATTAGTATTATATGTGGCAACTGGACACATGATATTGATTGATAGATTCAAAGAAATAACAGTATGGTATTATAGTTCGTAAATGAAACTAATCAAACTGTCTTATTCATTATTTTTGTTATCTCTCACAGAATGTGTTTCTGCGAGGCTAGAATGAACATTGAACTGTCAAGATGATACTCGTTGTAGAAGCATCAATCAATTTTTATTCATAAAATAAAATTTCAAGTGATTAAAATGTTAAGAATGATAATTATCTGTTAGGATTATTCAAGACTTTGATAATTTTTTTAGCAATACAGTTTGTCTTTGAAATAACCTAACGAATATGTCTCTGATCAGTACATTATGCAGAATTTTTGAAAATGTAAAATCATGAAAATAATTAATTAAAATTATACCATTAAGTATAAACCATCAGAGACGAGACTATAATTTATATACTAGCCAATCAGAAGTGTTTGAGAGATTTCAAAGTCACAGAGCCAATTTCAGTATCTGATGCACATGTGCAACCTCTTCACAAGGGAATTTTAAAAAAGACTTGACAGTAAGGCGGCTAAAATTATTTGATACTACATTTACCACAATGAGATTTGAATTGAAAACTACATCTCTGTGCTAATGTGGTATGGCAACTCGAACTGATGGACCTACATACGAAATTCCACGTTGTGACTGACTGACTGACAATTAATGTGACTACTAAGAAGTTCCTTTATTTGTAATTGCAATAATCAAATGACTCGTAGACCTTATGCAGCCTACTGTGACGTTGTTTTTCGATGTAGCATATGTTGAAGCAAGACGTTTGCTAGAATAGTAACTTTTTTTCGTTCGATCCAGATTGAGACTAAGGCATATTATAATAATTGCCGCGAACTGTATAATAAAAGCACCAGTAACATTGGTTGCATTATTCGCAGATGTTACTGAAACTTCGGCTGTTCAGTGGTGTGAGTACTGTTGGGACATATCCATAATAAAAGTGATAAACTTACTCAACCGGAGTACACACAAACAAAACTGAACCTATGTGGTCGAGGCTAAGAGTGTTTTTGTGACCTTATCATGGCTTCAGAGACTGTGTATTACGGAGCCATATAGATAAGTCGCCTACCGTATGCATTACGATTTTAGAACCTTTGAACCTCTTCCTAACTTTGACAAGTTTTTGAATCATGTAAAAGAAGTGTATCCACTTTACATTTTTGGTTTTCCATAAACTATTTTTTACTCTATACTGACTGTTTAGCTAATATTTCTCAAGCGCACTTTAGATTCATTCAAAGGTCATCCATAAACTTATAGTCTCACCACCATCAGATCCTCATCCATCTTTTCATTTACATATCTTCTAAGAAAATGTAATTATGGTATATCAACGAAGGCATATGCAATAAGAAACATTATAGATTCACTATAGTTTATCCATAATAATACAACTCATAATACAACAACATGCAATCGTTAAAAACAAAAACGAGTTTTCTTTACTTTTTTTGTAAACCAAGTACGCAGATTTCGGTAATATTTTAACCGATTATATCTTAAAATGACATATTTTTTTTAGTTTTTTTTGTAAGTAAATAGTCTACTAAAAAACTTCAAATAATTGTCATAACTCCTTTAGATGATTAGTGAAGCAAACTAAAAAAAATTTTTTTTTAATTTTTGCTAACAATGGTATCTATGCAGAGTTATCTTTTTCTTTTCTTTTTTTCTTTTTTGTAAAATGACTAAAGAAATGAAACGATCAATTGATCTATTGTAACTATATAGTTTCTTTCGAATAGTATAAATACGTAACTAATTTATCATTGAAAAGTATAATGACAGTAATCTTATCATAAATATAATCTCATAGAAGTTATTAAAGTATCACTTTATTGATTGTATCTTTTGTGTATACCATTATATCTTTGGATAGGTAAATTTATAACTTAGGCTTAACCATTTTATGTTACTGGAGTAAATGAGAACACAGGTTAGAACAACCACTCATGTATTGCGAACAAATTACAAAGTTGCTTGGTGAAATACAAGAACCATACTCTGATACTCCATTTGCAAAATGGTCATTAATTGTATCAGATTACATTGTTCCTGAATTTCCATACGAATTGCTTTTTACTTTTGTTCTTCTCTTCTCGATCTTCTCAATCCTCTGCTGCTAGATATTCTATTCCTTACTCATGATATATACTACTTATGTCGATATAAGTAACCCACACCACAATGCGATTGCAGATAACACATTTGAAACAGAAATATTTTGAAAAATTCAATGAATAAACTTTGAAATTTTTTTGAAATTTGTTAAATGTGATTGAATTTCATAACTCATAAGTTTCAAGCACCCCCTCATGGAAACAATTCATTATTGTTAGAAACCTTACTTAAGAACTGGTTGTAATCAACATCTGAAGGAATGCGTTGTACCGGAGAATTTATAAGTGGATTTATACAACTGTTCAATATCTATACCTTCACGCTACTGGAAATCAAAACTTGAAGAAACAAGTTAATTTTGTGAAATTTGAAATCTGGTTATGTTATACAGTCAGTCAGTGATCTTGAGTGCTGTTAAAGATATGAGGGCCCTTAACGCTTCCCGGTAGCCCACACGTGGAAGGGTTCTTTTAGAGGTACCTGAAAAGAAAACTGGATTAGAAGTGATCTTAATGACCTGAGAGCATGAACGCAGTGCACAAGGTGTAACTGCTTGAAGTCGGTCACACAAGACATTTTTGTGGGTAATTTTTGTGTTAGCTCCGTACTTGTTGGGACCTTACCGCCGGAGACAGATATCCATGGGACAAGGTGAGGTGTGCACTTTTTTAGGGTCGCCATTTTCTAACCCACTATTCCTTGTGAGAAGGCAGTATCGCTGTTATGCTTGTTGTCTGAAGGAAACACCTTATTGCCGCCACACCTCTGACCTTGAGGAACGATTGTTCCAGCCAGTATAACTCGATTGGTTCATCACAATGGGCAATCCCGATCACCACGTCAAGGTAGCAGGAACGGTCGGGATGTCATTCAGTAGCTCGATTTCAAGCTACAAAATTATATATGTAAAATGATTTTTCTACAACCATTGACAATGTATACATCAATCAGATATTTTATTAAAACTAGAAATCATTTAATTTACTGTAGTAAAACATACTTGACAAACTTGTTGAATACGATCATTATTAGCTTCAATTTCACTTTCAAGTATACGATGCTGTGTATATTGTTTACTGACAAATACTTTATATGGTACCAGCGAACTCATATTTGATAGTTTACTTGCTTGATCATATTCTTCAGCAAGTTCTTTCTTTTCTATAAGCCATTCTTGAAGCTAAATTGAAAATGTTTATATATATAGTTAATTATTAAATAGACCGAACGAACGATTGCCTAAATGTAAATACTCGTTTTATAATGCGGAAAAATGCAAAAAAACTTACAATTAACTGTAAGTTGATTCTGATTAGGTGGTATACTGCAATAATTAATCATTTCCTAAAAAAATATGGATTTGTAACTCATAATAATTCAGACTTGTGAACTACAGACCAACAGCTGGATGCTACTAAAATGATAAGGTCTTCATGAAGACTTGGGTGGGCTCAGTTGGTTGATACTGATGTGTTTCATATTAGCACAAGAAATCTGTTCAGTAATTTCTATTTTTTAATGTACTTAATTACTTACGCCTGTTACTTCCAATGGAGTATAGACCGCCGACCAGCTGTGGTGGTCAATATTCTATATTATCCATAAGCTTCGTATATTGTACATCCTGATAACCGTTACTTGATAACACCCAAAGGATGTATAAATCAGAAGGCGAATACGAAGGGTTGATTTCGTGACCACACACAGATATCCAAAATTACAGGCACGTTAAACAAGCATGAAAGAGCAGTGCCGTATAGCAGGTGAGTGAGCGTGAGAGTCGAATGAGCGAGCGAGAGATCAATTGATCGAGTCAGAGAGTAAGCGAGTACAGTACAGTGAACAGGATTAAAATGTACATATACATACAAACGGAAAAGCATGAATCATCGAATCAATTAAGCGATTAATAGTAAGGTAAACAGAATGAATACATACGTAGGCAGTAAGCACTGCTCAAGTGTACATAATAAAGGTACAATGGCATAGATAGGTTGTTGTTTCTGTTATTATTGTTGTACGAATGACTGTCCGTTAAATAAGTTAACAAAAAAGCTTCACCAAATTAGATGTAAACAAACTCAATTGTATGTGAGCTGCTATACAGCATTCTTCAACCCACTCTGTCCTGGGGCTGCTTTTCTAGTTCTCTCCAATTGTCTTTCATTCTTCTCATATCTGTTTCCGTTTCTCGAAGTAATGTGTTCTTTTGTCTTCCTCTTCTCGTTTAAAATTGAGAATTCCAAGTAAGGGCTTTCCTTGTGACGCAGTTGGATGCTTTCCTCAACGTGTGGCCTATCCACTGCCAGCAGTTCTTCTTGATTTCTCCCTCCACTGGCATCTGATTTGTTTTCTCTCACAGTACGTTGTTGCTGATAGTTTCTGACCAACGGATCCGAAGTATTTTGCGTAGACAACTGTCAATAAACACTTTTATCTTTAGGATGATGGCTTTCGTAGTTCTCCAGGTTTCTGCCTGATACAGCAGAACTGTCTCGATATTTGTATTGAAAAACCTGATCTTGGTATTGATTGATAATTGTTTTGAGTTCCAGATGTTCTTCAGTTGTAAATATTCTGCTTTCGCTTTGCCTGTATTAGATCAACCGTGTTCATTAATGATGCTGCGCAGATATGTAAAGGTTTTCACATCTTCCTAAGCTTCTCCGTCAAGTGTGATTTGATTGATGCATGTTGTATCAGGGAATCTTGCTTTTCCCATAGTGTATATTGAGACCTACATCTGCTGATGCTGCTACTACACTGGTTGAATACTTCTGAATTTGTTGTTGCGTGTATAATAGAAGAGCCAGATTATCTACGTAATCTAAAACGTCCAGTTGCATCCTAGCTGTCCATTGTGTCCCGTGCTTCCCTCCAGATGTTGTTTCTAGATAAAATCAACAAATGATTCCCTTAAATTCATAGAGAAGTGTGTATTCACTTTTTCCTAACTCTTGAATATTTAGAAAACCAAAATAATATTCCATTTCAAAGTAACTAGATTGTTTGAGTTGTTAAGAAAAAAACGATATAAAATAAAAAAATATTCAATTAAACATTGCCAAAAAAACAATTAAATAAATAAAGCTTATTATCATTATCTTTTTATTCAAATGAATTGAAAAGATAACAAAAAAACGGGGGGGAGAAGGGGGTAGATTTTTTTTTTTAGAAGAAAACAACAAAGAGATTAACTCTTAATTATTCAATGAAAATATTAAATGAATTAATAAATAAATAAGTAATAATCATAATTGTTATCAGTGATTATACAGACTACTGATAATACCATTCATAGTAGTATGTAATTCGATTATATATATGAATTATCATATATAGGATACTTTATGATAAATTAAATTGTTTATACTTTCTAATAGAGATTATGAAGATAAATGATGGATTCATGACTAGATGAATAATATTGTTAGATAAGAGAAAATAAAAACTAAACATCATTTGATTATGACCTTAATAGTTAAAGTAGTATCTATCTCCTTTAAAAATTACAATATTCATCGATGTATCTATCTAAATAACTATTTATCTTAACCGAATACTATATTCAATGAATATTGATGAGATAAATTGAAATATATATATATATATATATACATTGAATAGATCATATCAGAATTCTTTTTATACGAATACAAGTGATTCTTATCAATAAAAAAAACAAAACATGGATAAAGTCCGTTATATTCTATGAAATCATTTCCCAAAAGACAGGTTATTAGATGGATAAACGTACAAAGATATATATAAATACATAGATAAACTCATTCCATGAATTTCCCACATTTAAGATTATCCTCTTTCATATCAACTCATTTGATTCATTATGACATAAGTGTCAAACTGAAAATAGAAATTCATTTATTTATGAACTTACAAATTTCCCCTCCCTCCCCCCCCTACAATCAGGTTTTACATTAGAAATAAGATTAAATAAATGTTGTCATTTGTTTTGATATTAAGGTAAAGAAAATTTAATATTTACAAAATGTGAATAAAAAATGAATCAATTCTGATATAGATAATTGAAATTTGATCTGTAAATATTTTAGATGCAAAAAGAAAAACAAAAAAAAAAAAGAAAAACATTCATTCCGACAAGATTCAAAAGTAAATTATTGGAGGAATAATCGTGATCTGCAAATTAGATTGTGTGAACATGTACGAAAAAATAGTTGCAGAAACAAATAGAATTAAATAATTTCGGCAGTTTAAAGATTCTCATAGAATATTGGAAAATGAACAATATTTGAGAGAATCATTGGATCACTGGATACATGAACTGAATATTATAAACCTCTTCAGCCCCCCCTTTTTTAACTGATTACCTCGATCCTAATCTCCATTTCCATCATTCCCAATTGGTTTATCGTAATTACCTTGATAATGTTCCTCTTATTACATATTATATTCTGACAATACTATTACTATTTATCATTATTATTTCAACTGATAAGATGAAATTCTTCTCCTCTGAAATTTATTCACATAATTTCTTGCATTTTCTTTTTTAGTTTAAATCATGAATCAATTGAAGTTAGATCAACATGTAAAACCTGGAAGCACTGGACGTCCATTTCGTCCTATTGTGGAACTCCTCATCTTCCAGGTTTTCCATGATGATCTAGCTTCAAATGATTCATGATTTGAACTATAATATTACTAAAGTCTCCACAAACTCTATTCTGATAATTTTCATTTTTGCTATATTACTATTATACTGATTGTAACTGAACACTTTACTCCAAATCATTTCTGACCTTTATTAAATGACCATTTTAATTTGTAAATAACATAATTTTGAAGGATCTATGTCATGACATATGCAACTATTCACCAGTTTCAACATATAACATTGTCAAATTAATTAATACATGCCTCATTTTGATCTTTTGTAAAATATCACAGTAATTATAGACTTGAAACTGTAGAGCCTGATGATGAAGTTATTTTGGAAAGAATGGTTCGCTCAAATATTCTTCATTGTTTATTATTTCTTTTTTGAACAAACAAATAGAATCAAATGAACCAAAAAGAGTAGAGGAAAAACATTCATCATCCTCTATTGCCAAACATGTAATTGAAACAGATCATAAGATTGATCTTAACTCGGCTTTTGTTGTGTTGTTTAAAAGTGTAAAAGGGAGTATACTAAGGTTTATTGAAGTATTAACCAAACGAAAATTCAAACCCCATGTGTGTATTCAAAAACAGTTTGTTGTCACCTTAAACCTACCCTGGTAAAATTAGCTTATTATCAGAGGGATTACGTCTCAAATTGTTTTCACATTATTATTATTATTATTGTCATTATTATTATTATTATTATTATTATTATTATTATTATTATTATCCCTATCTCTTCTTACCCCCCATTTCCGGTCTAGCTGACTTTATTTTTTTATATATAAATGTTCTAAACAAGTATATACGTGATTAGATTGTGCGAAATGAATTGCTCAATTTTATTATCTTCGTCTTCTTATTACACGATCGAAATTAAACAAAGTGATTAATTGTAGAAGACAAAATGAACATTCATCGTACATCTTAAAAGCAATTCTTTCAGACAATCTTCCAGTCCTAGACATGTTCAATTCCCCTTACTACAAAATTGTAAAGTGGCTAGTACGTATCTAAGAGCCCTTGCACAAATCAATTGTTAGAACGAGTGTAAAAAATGTATTCGACTTCACTTTCAAAGTGGAAAATATGAATGTTTGCATGAAAAATATGTTTTCACTAGATGTAGTATCCTTGTTTACCAACGTACCACTTATTGAGACTATTGAGTTCATATGCGAGCAAATAACAGAAAAACAAATCAACATTGGCTTGCCGGAAGATAGTCTGAAAGAATTTCTTTTAAAGGGACTAATTGCTTTAAATTGGAATTTTAACATTTACTAACCTTAGTCTCGTATATTAATATGTTGAAGTGAGACTATAATTTATGGAGGACCTTTGAGAGATACTATGATAAACTTGATAATGACTAAATAAGGGTTATAAACCAGTGTGAAAGATTTGAAGTATAGTTTAAAATTAATAGTTAGGGTTTGCATTTTGATATAGGATTTTCATTACGAACTGACATCAGCTATCATATCAAAACTCTATGTAGCCAAATGAGAGAATGAGTTTGGCGCTAAAAATATAAGACCTGTTATCCTAAACCTGATTGGTTTGTTCATAAATTATAATCTATTCGTATGTTGTTTTAAGTTAAACAAATAACCAGCGTAAAATACCTTTGGTGGAAAAAAAGAATCTTAATACTGTGAAATTATTTTATGTATTAAAAATAAAGTCTCGGATAATCATAAAGAAATAATCTTTACTTATATTAGTACTAGTTAAAGTAATTAGGAACAATAACTGGACAGATTCGCATGTACATAGCATACATTTCTATTTGAACCTAGCACACAACAATACCGTTATGCACTGTCTCATCGACCTTAACAGATCACACAACCCGAAAGTCACAAGAACACCATCAGGTCATATGACAGGCTAAGTACTGTCATATAAATTTCTATAAATAATATTCGAAAGCATATTTATGAATTTGATGCCTCTTTAAAAGGTTATAAGTACACGGCATAAAATGAGTTCACTTAATTTTCAGGTATTTGTTATTCAGAAGAGGGATCTGAATTTCCTGCTGATTGCTTAATTACTCAGTAAATGATTTCCTTCAAAACATCGTCCACTAAAATCTCTTCTCAAATTAACTAGCTAAACTTAACTAACATAATATTGTTAAAATGTTCCTTTGGATTAATTATAAAAACATAAAACATATAAGATAATACAAATTTTATGTAACATTAGATTACAACTAACATACTTCACATGATACATACCGTTTGAATTTGTTGCATGTCCTCCCGAAGTGCTATTAAATCTTTAGTTGAATCTACCAGTGTACGAGCTTCATCAAGTAATGTGGTATATCTAAAATAAGATGTGAAAGTACTATTGATTTGATAAAGATCAATGAATTGACAATATTTAGACTCAAGGTGTATGAACCTTAGTTCATACTGTTAGATGGCATATTAAAGCGATTAGGTAGTTGAGATGCTGGTTGGAGGTAGTCAGCTTGAAACTTTAGACCTAGGTCTCGTGCTTTTTGACACTCAACATCAAGAAGTACCTATGATCTCGCGGGATCTGATGGTTACTGACGGAGTCGATTCTGTGTCACCTACCTCCATAGTCGAGGATGTTACCAACGAGCCATCCGGGCTGCGACTGGCCTCCTGTAGGAATGAGTTCTATTAACAATTAGTTGATCACTGGGTGGTGGCCAGTGTCTTGTGTTTCAGGTCTTTCGCAGTGCAGATCGAATTCTATGGACCAAGTTGCAGTCACTATTTTAAGCGACTCTATGTTAACGTCCCAATTATTTCATCTAACTTATGAACTTATTTAAGATAACAATGATTATTAGTTATTTGAATATTAGCAATATTTGATCTATTTTATAAACAATCCTTAGTATGCTAAGACAGTTGGAATCTAGTTCCTCCGAAGTGTAATTAAAAAATCTATATTAGTATCAGAAATATAAGTGTCAAATCATTTAGTTTAGATTAAGAGACATTTAAAGGAGCTAATAAGCGAAAATGGATAGTGGCTAGCAGCAGAATTCGGGACACGCGTTTCGTCCTATTTGGAATTCATCAACTGGATGAATCTGCATCTGAGAGCTGATATTCACTCTGGGAATCGAACTCAGTACCGTTCCTTCCAAGCGCCATCATGTTATCCACTTAGCCGCTGAATCTCAGAGTGAACATCAACTCTGAGATGTGAGTACATCCAGCTGATGAACCCCGAATTGGACGAAACGCGCGTCCTAGATTCAATTGCTAACCATTATCCATCTTTGCTTACAAAGTTTATTATTGTTTATTGACATAAATATATATAAAAGTAAACAAGTGATTAATCATAAAAAGTAAAATTTGTTCATATTAAAAATTAATAATTAAGTAGGAATTATTGTGTTGGTATCACTGACAAATAGTAATAATATAATCATTTATTAAAGGTGATACCCTAGAGACTAATTATGAGTTTCTCCCATCACTGACAAACAAAAGAAAATATTTTTTATTTCAATTCACTGTTAATGGAAATCATTAATCGGTAAATGAAAAGAGAAAAAAAACATCATAAAAAATTCAGTTTGTGTTGTTTACTTGTATCTTACTATAATTATTTTAGAACTGCAATTGATCAGGCTCTTGTTGGCATATGTGCATCCTTTGCTGACTGCCTTTATATTGTCCGAAGTCATGAAATGCGCGTCAAACTGTATTCCACTACTAGCCACTATCCATCTTTGGTTATAATGTTTGTGACTACAGGCAATTTCGTGGCAATACGCACAGTATGAACATATGTCAATAAAAGACTGATCAATTGCAGTCTTCAACATCAATGGAATGATTCAAACAAACAATATTAAGTGAATTTAAATATCACACCAATGCACAAGCAAGTGCCTATCACGACTCAGTAGTTGAGTGGATATCATAATGGCGTTTGAAACGAAAGGCAGTGGGTTCGAGTTCTATCCAGTGTGAACATCAACTCTGAGATGCAGGTACATACAGCTGTAGAGTCTCAAATAGGATGGAACGTGCATCCTGTATTCTATTGCCAGCCACTATCCATCTTTGTTTATTTCCTTTGCTTAGTACAACTATAAACAATAGATTGTTTGACATAAGAAGTGTGAATAAACACTTTTTTTTCTTTTTTATGAATATAAAAACAGAATCTTTTTTTTTAATGACATTGTTTTAGGGTTATTCTAAACGTCTTTTTCTTAATCGGATAGTTATACATCTTTAAAAAAAAACTAGAAAACAATAAATGCATATACTACTGAAATTAGAAGAAAAAAAAAGAATTTTCTCCCATTTTTCTAACAAAGATTCATTCAAAATCTAAAAACAAAGAGACGTTAGTAACAGGGTGAGAAGTATGGAAACAAAAATAAAAAGATTCAAATGACAATAGATCTTGATAAAACTTTTAATCAAATGCTCAATGTAAAATAAAAGACAAAACAAAACAAAAGGGATTGGAGATAATTCCACTTCACATCAAACAAAAAAGAGTAACCCTAATAGGGAATAAATCAAGTTTTAAGTGGTTTGACAGAAGTATTCCATTCAGATATTTGAATATAAATAGTACTATTATAGTACTATTAGTATTTTGATGAATATATATATTAAAGAATTTCTTTGTATATATTACGAAACATATCCGTTTTTGTTTTGTCGGAGATAAAAATAAATCAGAAGGGGTTTTGTGGAGAATTTAGTATTTTTATAGTTGAAATCATGAGTCAGTTGAAGCTAGACCACCATCTGTTGTAGAGATATCAACTCACTGAAGACAATTGGTGAACAGTCGCTCAAAATCGTGTATTGGTTGAAGTTAGTTATTAACACCATTGGATGCCGGCCAGCTCAGTGGTCTAGTGGTTTATCGCTCGCGCGCGCGACTGCTATGTCCTGGGTTTGAATCTCGTGAGTGCAGGATCGTGGATGCACAACGCTGAGGAGTCCCATGATAGGACGAAATGACCGTCCAGTGCCTCCAGGTTTTCGATGGTGGTCTAGCTTCAATTGACCCATGATTTCAACTATGAAAATAAAAATAAATGTAAATAGTACAATCATATGAGATGCTTGAGTCATTACTTCACAAGGCAACAATCACTGACTTTATAAGGTTTATAATTTTTCTCTGAACTAGCTCTTTCAACTTCTGTCATGAATCATCTATGCATAAAATGAACCTGTTTAACTTAGCAACACTTAGTGTTCATATCAATAATAACTTCCAACTTTTAGTTAGCCTTAATCATTGTATTATCTAATATAATTATAGATGAAATTGAAAAAAATACATAGCAAAGGATTCGAGGTAATAGTAGTGTGTATACCATAATCTATAGGTGGTGCACAATTTTCAAAACCTAGGGAACTTTTTGAACAGAATAACAGATTAGTAGAGCTTTGTGAGGAACTATTGATTATTTCAGCTCCACTGAATCCACCAGACATTGACGCACTTCAAACAGACCTTTTTACAGAAATCATTCCACAAAAAATCGAAGAAATCAGGATGACCATCAGACAGACCAAGCGAGGAAAAGCAGCAAGATCTGCCAATGTACCAGCTGAATCACTAAAGTCAATCACAGAAGTGACTACAAACATCCTTCACGTTCAATTGAGGAAGATTTAGGAGGAAGAACAAGTGCCACTTACAGACTGGAAAGAACGAAACCTCATCAAGATACCAAATTGAACATGACATGTGATGGAGAAACTCTGGAATATGTTTAAGCTAGCACGTACCTGTTCAGCATTATCGATGAAGAAGGAGGATCCGATGAGACATAAAAACATTGACAAAGGTATTGACAAAGTAAGTGAAGCATTGCTACAGTTGAAGAACCTATGGAACTCAAAACAACTGTCAACTAATATCAAGGTCACAATCTTCATACGAATGTCGAAACATTTCCACTGTATGGAGCTGAAACGTGGAGAACTACCACAGTATTCATCAAAAATATACAAGTATTTATAAACGATTGTCTACTCAAGATACTCAGTGTCCGTTGACCGTAAACCATCAGCAACAGCCTGCCATGGGATGGAACAAACCAACTTCTAAGTGAAGAGGAAATTAGGAAAAGACTTTGCAGGTGGATAGGATATAAATTGGGGATATCATCAAACTGCATCACGAGGAAATCTCTAACTTGAAATACTTAAGGGATACAGAGGAGAGGATGACCAAGGATCACACTGCATCGAGTATTAGAAGAAGAGACGGAAAGGATGAAAAACAACTGGAAAGAACTGGAATGGATTACGCAGAACAGATTTCGGTAGAGAATGCTGTTGAGTGGCTTATGCTCCTGCAAGTGGGTTATTAGGCGTAATTAAGTAAGATGACAGTCTATCTGAAGCTTTCGCGTGATGGACAGTGTTGAAATAATAACGTACTTTAATGATATACGTGTCCATAACGAACACTACAGTAAAATACAGATTTATGGTAAAGAAAAACAAATATATACAACAGTTGGTAAGTAGCTACATGTTCATACACCTGCATTATTCTTTTTTACATACATATTTAAGCCTAAAATTTACCTTGTTTTCGTACGTTTGCAGTTTCCAAGATAAACAAAGTAGTCAAACTATCAAAATGGCCAGTATTTTAAACATAATTAATCAGACTAACTCCTTCACGGTGACTTTAAGAAAATATCTGTCCATTGTAATGATTATTACAATTATTAAATGACACTTGTCAAAAAAGAACTCTCTTGGCGTTGAGACACTACTTAACGGATCAATGGAATTTATTGATATTATCAGACCATTAATGTTAAAAACCTCACTCTTTATTCTATTAACACTAACCATGCTACTTAACAAATACAGCTGCACCCATTTATCACAGTTAATATCTATTGTTGATTAATTTAGACAAACATCTATGATTTCAAGATTTCTAGTTAATCTAATGTAAATCTGTAACTGAGATAATTATTGAAAACATTAAATTCACGTGGTATTGTTTGTTTTGAATCTTCCTATTGATGTTTAGGACTGCGATTGATTAGTCTTTTATTAGCATATGTGCTTCCTTTGCTGAATGCCTTGATAATGCCTTAATTTATAAGCTTTATAATCAAGGATGAATAGTGGCTAGCAATAGAATGCAAGACACGAGTTTCGTGACTTCAGGCAATATCGAGGCAGTCCGCACAGGATGCACATATGCTAACAAGAGACTGATCAATTGCAGTCCTAAATAACAATGGGACAATGCAATTAAACAACACCAAGTGAATTTAAACTTCACCCCATCGAAAAGCAAATGACTATTACGACTCAGTATCTAAGTGGATAACATGATGAAGTTTAAGTTCCTCCCAGAATGAACATCATCTCTGAGGATCAGGTATATCCAGCTGACGAGACACAAATAGGACGTAAAGCGCTTCAAATTAAATTCCATTGCTAGTCACTATCCATCTTTGCTTCTATTGAAAACATTGTCAAAAATATAAAACTACAATCCATAAATGTAGCAAATAGATTCAACTAATGAAAATTAAAAAAAAAAAATAAACTAGAAAAATAAAAATCAATCATTAATCACTAACCTGTTTTTTATTAAAAAAATTTTATTTTTTATTTTTTCCATTGAATATATTTTATCTATAATTAATTGATTTCCAATATTAGATAAATTATTTAATGAATCATTAGCATTTAATAAACATTGTACAATTTCATTTTGAGATTTTAATGATGTAATAATATCGGTTATATTTTTTTGTTTCTAGATGAAATATAAAAAAAAAAAGATAAAATAATGAAAAAATTACAGGAAGTTATTACAAACATTTGATCAGAAATGCACTTAGTGTTGTTTACTTGTATCTTCCCATGGTTATTTGAGGACAGCAATTCATCAGTCTGTTGTTTTTGAGACATGTGCATCCTGTGTGGACTGTCTTGATATTGCCTGAAGTTGCATGTTTTATAATCAAAGATGGATAGTGGCTAGCAGTGGAATCTAAGATGCGCGTTTAGTCTTATTTAGCACTCGTCAGCTGAATGTACCTATATCTCAGAGTTGATGTTCACTCTGAGACTCAAACCCAGCACTGTTTGCTTCAAACTCCATCACATTATCCACTCATCTACTGAGTCCCAATCAGAAACGATTTCATTATTTATTGATATTTATTACACAAAACACTGTCACTATTCGCAAGAGGTTCTTTGGCAGTTTGATGAAGTCCATCCAGCTATTGAATTTACAACTAAGGAAGTGTGTAAAAGTGGAATAGCCTTTTCGGACGTGTTCTTAACTCGGATAGCTGATGGATCAATAAAAAGGAATTTAAACAGGAAAATTACTTGTACAGGGAAGGATACAGATTTCCTAATCTTTGTACCTCTACAGTAGAAACGAAACCTGGTTAAAACTATTAGTTACCGAATACGCATACGGATATACTTAAAGAAGAGCTAAAAACCATGGATAACACTGTTAGAGAAAACGGATACGGAAATTTATAAATAAATATAATTTCATGAAGGTAAGATTCGGCAAAGTACCGCCCGTCAATAAGAAATTCCTGCTCATGCGCTTACAATTAAAAGGGGATTTGACTAGTGAAATATTAACTAAGAATTTACAGGAAACAATTCAAAAATCACAACGCCGATTAGTGTTTTGTAAGCGCCAAATGGTGTCACCAAACCCAAAAAATGAAATATCTAGAATGACCACCTCATTTTGTATTTATCAGTACGACTGCTCCTATGGAGTATGTTTTATTGGTGGAAGTTCTAGGAATTTACATTTTTGCGTTCATGAACACCTCCCAGCGTGGCTAAGCAAAGGTCTGGTGAAGATAGAAGACATCTCGGTATTGCTCCATTTCGTGCACACTAATTATAGTGGCAGTATAAACCAATCCTTTTCAATTATTTATCAGGTCAGTAAATTTTTGCCAAAGCTTGCCAGACTTAAAGTCCTTCAAACGGTTGAATCAGTAGTCATCCAGATGAAGAAACTGAAACTATGCGTATGAAAGAAATATCTTCAACCGCTACTCCTCCTCTGACCTACCTCAAGGTCAATTAATCAATAATCTTAGCTATTTTATGACATAATTTGACTATTGTACTTACGTCCTTTCGTAGTCAAACGTAATTGCCTCTTATCCTTATTCACAAATCTTTGTATTATTATTATTACTATTGGTTAAACATCATTATTAGTCTCCCAAATACATGATTCATATTCGTTCAACCTGATTATAATCTTCCATTAAACATTTGATCGAATTGTAGTTGTATTATTTTATAGTTGAAATCATGAGTCAGTTAAAGCTAGACCACTATGGAAAACCTAAAAGCACTGGATGGCTGTTTTGTCCTATTGTCCTATTGTGCATTCACGATCTCGCATCACGACATTCGAACACAAGACCTATCAGTCTCGCGCGCGAGCGCTTAACCACTAGACCACTGAACTTCCCACCATCTAACGATGTTAATGTCTCACTTCAACCAATCCACAAAATTGAGCAATCGATCATCAACATAAACAATTTTATTCTATTTTGATTTGACAATTCAACAGTTCACATTGCTTTAAATGATGTACTTTGTCTTTAACCTGGTCAATTTTATAAATCGCTCATTTAGAACTTGAATAGAATTTTTTCAAAAACGAATATTCTTCTTTATTCCAATAATAAAACTTAACTAGTCAACTTAGTGATTATGACATAGAGACAATCATTGATTCATATAATAATAATAAATCTGTTTTGTTTTATGGAATGAAATTTAATCTTTTTCGTTTTTATGTTGTTGATTGTTTAAATAAACAGTAATCAAGTGTTATTTATATAAATTTAAACAAAACAAAAAAACACAAATGTAATCTCACTTCAATAAACATTCAACAATAATAATAATAATAACAGTAATAACAGTAATAGTAATAATAACAGTAGTAATAATAATAACAGCAATAATAGTAATAGTAATAATAATAATAATAGTAATGCTAGGGGTAATAGTAATAATAATAGTAACAGTAATAATAATAATAACAGTAATAATAGTAATGATAATAATAATAATCTTAATGTCTGTATACTTCACTTATGTTTTTCTGTTCAAATGTATCATCTAACATTGGAATAGTTTGTTTTTTTTTAAAAAAAAAAACAAATAAACAACGAAAACTCTATAAACCCAAAAACATGGATAGACATGATGATTTAATGGTTGGTAACATTTTTTGAAATATTCAAATCAGTTTCTTTTTTTTTATTATGGAAAAAAAGTGTAAAAGGATACAGTTGAATTGGTTGTTTGGTTGTTTGGTTGTTTTTCTTCTAGTTTAACATCAATGAAATCGATATGATGAATGATAAATGTCACCAAGTTTAAATGATTCGAAAAAAAACAAACAACACATTTTCTTAATATCTATGAATATATAAAATATGAATCTTATTTTATATGATGCCCAGATATTGATAATCATTTTGGGATCTATTGATGAACCAATATTATGCATACATTTCCTATTGTATAATTGTTAAATAACTAAACTATTCATATTCATATCCCTCTTATTATAAGCCTTACTGTACGATTTACCATTTTTGAGTTATCCCTAGTCCACAAATGACTGTTCCCCATATTTACAGCCATATTTAGCCGAATCTTGTACAAAATGTTATTTTCTATTTTATGGTACGATGTGGTCAGTTTGATTGGTATATAAACTTAGTATGTTTGAAATATAATAACTAATATGATTTTGAGACGGTGGAGAAGATTTGTACCTCAGGTGGGTGATTTTGATGTTGGTTTGTTCTCTGAGCTGGAGAATAAAACAAACATCAAAATATAATAACTCATATTTCAGAGATTGTTCTGGACATAACTGGCTGGGCTAGGAAGGGCAAGGACCGACCAGTACTTTAGACTACTCGTATGGTTCTATGTGTCATTTGGTTCGATCGGTAATTCGCTGCTCTCTAATTGGCGGTCTTATCACATCATACGTTAACAAGGTATCCACTCGGCCTTTAAGTTATAAATGTTTACTTTATGATTATAGAATAATTCAGAAATCATTGAATTTGAAGTTTCATATCATGGATAAATATCAGTTAGGAAAATAGTGTTTATCATAGATACTATAAAACAGTTTTACTGTTATTCAAGACTCATCATTAGTGTGCAAATATAAACTTTACAAGAGTTAGAAGTAATGAACATCAGATGATTATTCAGAACGAGGGCTTAAGTTTCAGAACCTTGAATTGACATTCAGTAGTTCACATTTCTAATCTCAAAGAAATAGCTACAATGCTCTACAATTATCTATTATGATTGGTGATGTTGTCTCACTAATCTAGTAATGACTTCCTAATCGAAATTATTGAGCTAGCTAACAAACTTATCCATTTGTATGCATACAATAATTACCTAAATTATTAGAGTTTGTTAAGAACTCAATAGATATATTCAGTTGTTTTTTAAGTAGATAAAATATTTCTTCAATCTGAAGATATACTAACTGAAGTTCATTAAAACTCATTAACTCATGTCAGGTAGAGACAGGTATCTACCTCAGTACATTGGAAGTTGGTTGCGCAAATTCATGGATTGGTTGAGGTTAGATATTAACACCGTTGGATGCCAGCTCAGTGGTCTATCGGTTAAGGGCTCCGGCTCGAGACTGGTAGGTCCTGGGTTCGAATCTCGCGAGAGCGGGTTCGTGGATGCGCACTGCTGAGGAGTCCCATAATAGGACGAAACGGCCGTCCAGTGCTTCCAGGTTTTCGATAGTGGTCTAGCCACAATTGACTCATGATCTTAACTATAAAATTACTAAATCTCCACAAAAACACAAGATATTTGTTCAGTTTTGAAGAAACTAATAGGTTCTGCAAGTCCGAAACGCATTTACCCATATGTCAAAATTTGGGATATAAACACCAAGTGACTTGAATCACAAGCAATCTCAAATATAACTGTATAAATTAGTTGATTCTGAAAGAATTGTTGCATGTTACCGACTAGTTATTTAATGTTTTGTAAGAATTGTAAATCTCGATCCTAAATCATCATCTACTAATCAACTGATTGGACTTGAAAATAGCAGTCACATATTTCTTATAAATATGCTTAAAAATGTCACAGTCGCTTTAATACATAGTTCAGTATTTAATTTTTATCTGGTTATCTAAACTTTCATTTATAGAGTTTTTATAATTAGAAAGAATATCAATTTGATTGTTCTCGACTTTTAATATTTCTCGAAGTGAAAATAATCCATAACATAAAATGACTTCAAATAAAATGGTCCTTATTAGCATTTAGTAGATCTCCTCAACTTTTCCTAGGCATTAATCCATACTTTCCTAATTTTTGACAATTTTGGCTTTTGATTAATTCTTGGCAATGCTTCGATCATACTACCGAGTTCTTTCATTTTTGACGTTTTCCACGTATCTATTACTTGGTTGATGTTTTTAAATTGGATACACATTTTAATACATTTCCAGATACCTTAAAATAGTTCTGTTTTTATATCAATTTCTGAGACATAATTAAAGATAGTAATGATTGACAGATTCATGCCTAAAATATTTCTTCTTTATCACTTTCATATAATACTTGACGAATTTAAGACATCTGACCTAATGGTTACAATTGGATAATATTTATTAGGTATCAAATAATAACTAGTCTAAATCTTAGTATTGTTTGTTTGCTAGCCACTATCCATCTCTGCTTAGTCTAAATCTTGTTTGCTGAATACTTTGTGTTTCAAATCGAATCTTAGAATCGTATTATTCCACAAGATCTATATCCATGATCTATATATATATCAGTATAGGGTTGTGGAGATTGTTAAGTTTCAATTAATATCATGAATGAATGAATTTTAGGCCACCGTTGAACACCTGGGTGCACTAGACGGCCGTGTCATTCGATTTTAAGACTTCTCATCAGTAAGCATCTATGATCCCACACATAGGATTCCAACTCAAGACCTATCGGTCTCATAGGCGAACACTTAACTTTTAGACCACTAAGCCAGCATCCAACGGTTATAATGTGGATGTCGTTCACTGAATCAGGGTTTTTAATGGTGATCTAACATTCATCTATTTATGATATCAAAAGAATCTCTATATAAATATATATCTCAAAAATCAACACCTATCTGTTGCCACTCAAAAAACTAATGAATGAAGTTTCAGTTTTCTTTTGTTTTTTATAACCAATTAACTGAAATCAACATAATAAATATATATTCTGTCTATCTTTCCCTTCTTTTTTGTTCTCCATCTTTAGGCTTTCTCTTTTTCTCTCACTGTAATATGATACAAAATCTATTCATTCATATTAGTTTATACCGAGATAATAAAGAAGAAACTCGTTAGTTTATTTTGTTTGGTTTTTAATTTTAAAGTCTAAGCAACAACAAAAAAAAGAAAAGAAAAAAAAAAGCAAAAAACAAGTAAAACAGATGTCACTTTTAATCATTATCGTAAAGTTGTTTTTCCTTTTTCTTTCTTTTTTTTTTCTTTTTTTTTTAAAGCATGTCATTGAAATTGAATAAAATTTTTGAAAAAAAAATTGTAGGGATGTAATATGTATTAGTGGGTTACAACTGGTCTTTTCGATAATATTCCTCCTTTTTTTAAAAAAAAAAAATCTGTTTGATTTGTGTATTGTTTATTAATTTCTTATGGTTTACCATATCAATGACGTAAAATCTTTCATACTTTATATATAATATTGTAACCATGGTCACTTAAAATTGTTTCTCTTATATGTGTGTTTACATTATATATGGAATATGAATATTAGTAGTATATGTTGTATTTATGAAGTGGAATTATTTTGCTTTACCATTCATAATTTTTAAAAAAATAATGACAGACTAGGCAAATATTTCTTCTGTTTTTCAACAAACGTTTTGTAACTGTTAAGAAGCCCCTAAATGCCTTTGTACTGCTGAGAGTAAGGAGAGTTAGCATACAATCACTGTCACGGTAATCCTACTCACAGTCTTCTCGCGGTGAGGGTGTTGTCAACGAAATTGTGAGGAGGAAAAAGCGAATGTCCGGAGCTTTAACAAGGCTGGTAGACACGATGAGTCCACCTAGTGGAGTCTGAAAACCCTGATTCCAAACCAGTGGTGAACATGGGCTCCAGGATCCTAAGGAAACAAATGGAGTATGAACCGATTGTTGGTCACCGGCTACCATGGGACTGCATCTCCTAACATTTCTCCACTGCCTTTTGGATTAGACATATGAGTCAGGGACTCAGAAACTGGGTCTTTAAAAAAACCAGTTCACGAACCTGGGTAGTATTCCAGCCCTCATATGAATCGAATGATTCATGTGGTGCATATCTACATGGCGTCTCCTTGTACCAATGTTTATGTTTTTAAATAAATAAATAAGAATTTGAAATTGAAAAGTGATAACATATTCTTAATTTAACGTTTTTGATCAGTGTCACATTTTACCGATAAATAACTTTGATTATGATTATTGTTGGGAGGTTAAACATAACTCACGCGTCCTCGTCGTATCTACTGCATAGTGGAACTGTTTCCATGAACTAACGTGAGCGGTAACCCGGGTAGTGGAGATCGGCATAATCACCCACTCTACCTATATCCACAAATGATTAAGAAGACTACAAAGAATCGTTTCACAGTTATTATTGGTTCAAAAGGAAAGAATAAATCAGTCTTCCCAAAAAAATACAAAAAGAAAGATCTGCCCAAAAAATATAGAAAATAAATAAAGATGTAATGATTCTGCGTAATCGATGCAAAAATGTCTATTGATCGCCGATAGTTTTGTCGTACTTTGATGTAGAATTTTTTTTGAGAAAGGCCTACTAGACTTTTACATGTTACTATAGTATTGCAGTGACATTAAATGTAATTATATTTCTAATCACATGAACTAGGATCCATTTTTAAGTAACAATATCAGCTATTAAGTACGAATGCATGCAAATGCTGGATCATCGGAAAAAAAGAAAGGAGTTTTAAAATTAGCTGTTAGTCATAATTCTTAGTTGTTACCTAATAATTTAGATCTTAATCCTGTTATAATATCTACAAATCTAACAGACATTCATATTCACTCACTCACCACTTTGAAGTTGATATTCTATAAAATACTAACTAGAAAATTGACTCATCAAGTCAACCATTGAATCACGATAATATCCGCAAAACGCTTTTCCGAAAATCATCATCAGATATTCACTAGTGACCGGCTTCAAGAGATATTTCTTGTAGTTCTAGTGAGAAGCAGTGACCAGTGAAGTTCAACCAGGTCTGTTGTGAAATAGTAACTCGTTGAAGACAATTGTGGACGATGGCTCAATTTCGTAGGTTGGTTGAGGTTAAACATTAATACCGCTGGATGCTGGTCGGCCCAGTGGTTTAGAGATTAGGCGCTCACACGCGAGACTTGTAGGTCCTTGATTTGAATCTCGCAGTGCGGGATCGTAGATGCGTATTGTTGAGGAGTCCCATAATGGGAGGAAACGGTCATTCAAGTGCTTTAAGGTTTTTCATGTTGGTCTAACTTCAACTGATTCATTTGATCTAATTATTATATTATTTGTGATATCTAAAGATTTTTATAGATCGTGCACCTTCTTAATGGTTAGGTATTTAATTTTTCTATCACCTTGATAATTCCCAATAATGAGTTTAACCTCCCAAAAATGGTGACATTATTAATAGTTGGAAAAGAATTTCATTCTAATGTAATAATCTGATTTAAATTTTAATTATCTTCAACGGCTCATCAGTTCATTCAAGAAGTAGATGACAGTACAATAAAATCGTAAATTCTACCATCTCTTTACATGTGCAAAATAACATGGTTGATAAGAAATATGTAGTAACCAGTAGACTATGCCCACTGTGTTTAAATAAAAGTCAAATAGAAATTTATTTATTATATTATAACCTGTATGATTTGGACCCGAAAAAAGAATTAATACATGTTAAATTTGCAACTTGTCCATACAACACAAAGAGCCCACCAACTATTTACCTTTACCTAACAGATAATTATTCCTTCTTATTCGGCTATGATTACATACATTTCTGAGGCTTAAAATTGACTTCAACGTTTCAAAATCATAGGAAAAGTTTCCAGTCAATTATCCATTCAGCTACTAAGTCCCGGAGTGAACGTCAACTCTGAAATGCATGTACATCCAGCTGACGTGTCTCAGATAGGACGAAATGCGCGTCCTTTATTCAACTGTTAGCCAATATCCATCTCTCCTTATAATGCTTGTCAATTAAGGCAATACCGAGGCAATGCATACAGTATGCACATATGCCAACAAAAGACTAATCAATTGCAGCCCTTAACTACAATGTCAAGATCCCAGCAAACAACACCAAGTAAATTTATACTTAGCTACTGCGAAAAGAAAGGAAAATACCTTTGTAATCAATAGCTTTACAATGTTGTATTTTGTTCAAAACACTTTATATCAACCTACCAAAATAGTAACTAATAATAAAAAACGATAACAAATCAAATTGTCAATTAATTAACTACTTACTATCAATTGATAATTCATTAGTTTACTTTCTTGTGTTGACAACAAAGTTTCAAATGAATGTGCATCACGTAAAAATATCTGTTTTAGAAAGAAAAAAAAAGTGACGAAAGGAAGAACATTGAAAAGTTTTCATTTTGAAAAAACATCATTCTCATAATTAACCTTTCTGATGAAACGTAATCCTTTTTTTTATCATTTAACCATTTTTAACGATTAGACAGTCATAATCGACGAAATTGAATGACTATCGTACTGAATCAAGAATTGGCGGAAACTGAAAAGTTGTACTCACTTGTTGGTCTATATTTGACACACTGATATCAAGGCCTGAATGTCTTAAATTTGACGGTTAATAAAGTCATAAGTATGAAATAGTGAGTAATTTTAAAACGTAGAGAAAACAGTTTTCCAATGTTTCCTGGTTCATAAAGACTCAAATAGTAACAAACATCTATGTAAAAAGCCCTGCTTTATATTGAACCCATTTTCTTTATCAAAAGTCATAAAAGGCATGTATCATTCTGCTTTACCTTGAAGATGCTCTCAAAATTTAAAAAGTCATAAAATAAACTATCATAAATCAATCAACAAAAAAGGGTGTTGAGACTTGTCATATCTCTCATCAAGCTTTTCTTTAAGCGTTACAGCTCTAATACCAGAACATTTAATATATAAGTCATTTACTAGTCACTGTTATTCTTTTAAATCAATAAACAGAAAAAATGAATATTATTGAACATAGAAACTAATGTTACGGCGGATTAATTTTCACTGATATTTAGGTTTTACGTTAGCAAATTATTAGACTAAAAATATAATTTTTTTATTGATGATAGACATACTGTGGTTTGTGCCACTTATATCGACATAAGTAGTATATAGCGATAATTAAGAATAGAATATCTGGCAAGAGAAGGTCGAGAAGGAAAGAACGGGAACAGGAAGCAATGGATATGGAAATGCAGAAGCAATAAAGTCTGAGACGATTGACTGATATTTGCAAAGGAACGATTATGTTCAAGACAATTGATTGACATTTTGCAAACGAAGTATTCACAGTATAGTTCTTAGATTTTAGTAATATATATATATATATATATATATATATATCTGCTGTACAATAATATGATAGTTAAAATCAGATGACTACTTTTTCATCGATAGTGCTTTCTTGCAAACACTCAAAGCGATTACATCTATTTATGGTTGTAAAGAAATAGATGACAATTAATTAACTCATACTTAAGTAGGAACTCCTTACAATTGGTAAGTATGTGGTTACAATGAGCTAGCATATAATGCTTCAGTTTATGTACATAGAAGTTATACTTTAAAAAACCATTGCTATTCAGAATTCTAGATCAACGATCACAATTTCTTTTAATTAGACCAATGTTTTGTAAAACTCCAATACATACAATGCTTGTGATACTTCTTAGATAATGATAATAACTGATAGTGTAGTTTATGCTGCTTATGTTGACAAACGCAAGCAGTATACAACACCAACTTGAAGAGGAATATATACAAGCAGAAGATTGAGCAGATTAAAGTGAAGTGAAGAAAAAAGGAAAATGAAAGCAATTGAGATAATAACAAGAATGAAAAAAACAACAATCATGCTTGCAAAAAACACACATTGAGAAAATCACTCAACTGATTCACATGGCAAACCCTTGCATGGAATCCTGAAGGTCAAAGGAGAAGAGGAAAACCAAAGAACACATTACATCGGGATATAGAAGCAGATATGAAAAGGAACGGGGCTGGATGGAGAATACTGGTGGTTGGTTTATGGGAATAACAGGCGTAAGTAAGTAATGTTTCGTATAAAAATTACAAAATCATAATATTCAGACATTTACTGATTAATTAATGAAATAGATATTACCTCATTTAAAAATTGTCCATATTGTTTAAATATAACAAATGGTTTATAATAAAGTTAAGTTTGTTTTTTGTCAACCCACCTGAAAGTTTAAATTTTGTTGTAAAACTTTTTGTTGATATGTCCACATTTGCATTAATTCTATCCAACCATTTTCTAATCTATCTAAACGTTGATCAAGTTGTATATAATGTAAATCTGTTTCACCAGCTGTAATACATCGTCCATAATTTATTAAATCATTATATTCATCTTTACGTGTTAAAATTTGTTTAATTAATTCATTATGTATATCAATTTCTAATTTAGCTTCTTCTACAGATTGGGCTAATTGATGTGTTGCTACACGTATTTCAATATTATGTAACCATAATTGATTATCATCTAAACCCTAAATAATAAGAAGGAATTATTAATCATTTTGTTTATGTAATTTTATCATGAATACAATTGAACATAAATTCTGCTATCTATCTATTAATTATTATATCTAACATTAATATTACTTAATTTAGTAATATGTGTATCTAAATTACGCAATAATAATTAACTCTAATACAACATTGAACAAGTATTTTAACCAAAGATGGATAGCGGATAGCAGTGGAAACCAGTTTGACATGCGTTTTATCCTATTTGGGACTCGTCAACTGGATGTACCTACATCCAAGAGTTGATGTTCACTCTAGGACTCGAACCCAGTATCGTTCGCTTCATACGCCATCACGTTATCCACCCAGCTACTGAGTACTGATAGCCAATTGCTTGTGCGATGGGGTGAAGTTTTAAATTCACTTGGTTTTATTTGTTTTCATATTCCCATTGATGTTTAGGACTGCAATTGATCAGTCTGTTATTGGCATATGTGCATAGTGTGTGTATTACCTCCATATAGCCTTAATTCACAAGCATTATAAAAGACTAATCAATTCTAGTCCTAAACATTATTGGGAAGATTCAAAACAAACAATATCAAGTGAATTTACAATATTGAACAGCTTTACATTCAGATATAAAGTAAACAGAAATTAAAAACTGAGTACTTTCGTTTTTATTGTAAATACGTTTCAGTTAGTTTATGTATATATATATGTTCTCATTCAGACTTAATATATAAAACTCGATCACCATTCGATGCCAGCCGGCTCAGTGATCTTGAGGTTAAGCTTTTGAGCACGAGACTGACAGATCCTGGGTTCGAATGTCACGAGCAGGGATTGTGTATATACACTCCTAGGGAGACACATACTAAGACGAAACGGCCGTCCATGTACTTTCAGGTTCTCCATGATGATCTGGCTTCAATTGAATTATGATTTCAACTATAAAATTGTATAATTTAACCGAGATTAATACTTTTAAGGACATTTTAACGTTTAGATTTATTTCATATATTAGTAGCTAATTAAACCTGTTTACCTGTCAATTTATTTCAAAACTACTTTTAATTTTACCTATCAAGATCCTAAAAATAAAATGATTTCTGAAGAGATTAACTACTTGATTAAACAGAAAACAGTTAACCATTTCTCTCCTAAATAAATCATCATAGAGTTTTCTCGGAGAAGATTCAAAAACATTCAAGTTATCAGTGGAGTATAGCCTTGAAATTACCAATCCCTTGAAGCCCACATCATCAAGTCGTAAACGATTTCATATTCGAATTTTTCTAAAACTTTTAGGAATTTCATTCAACGATGAAAATGATCTATAAACACTTTCTAAAAGTCAATTAGGATCTCAAAAGTGTTACATATATCAAACATACCCTGCTTAGAAACAAATTGAGAACACAAAACAAAACTTATCTCCTGAATATTTAATGATAATTTAGTTAAACATTATAACTTTTCAATTAAATGTTTCATGATTTATGTAGAAACGTACATTTGCAAACTTATTATCTATTAACTGATTGATTTCTTAAAAAAATTATCTACGCTTGAATTTGTATTTACCTAATTTGAAGTGAGAGAAATGATACGTTGAAAACGGTATGAGGCATCTTATCTATTCAATAGTGTAAGGATGGCTCGTCGACAAACTCAAAGAAGCCTCAAGAAGTCCATCAAATCACCGCTAGACGAACACTTTAGAATGTCAACGTGTAGTTCCTCTATTGGATGAATAAGAAGGCCCCCTATGTGCCTATTGGCTGTTCGAAATGATGATCTACTTTCAGTCAAAAGCTACAAATACATGAGATTTTTGTACCATATTTGACGCTGCTTGGAATAACATTCCTACTTACTAGTCTTCTGTCTTCTCAATTTGGGACTTGGAAGAGTACTAGCGTTCGAGTGCTCAAGTATTACGCGACATAATAAGAATCTAAGTTCGAGATATAACTACTATGAATATACAATCATTCATATAAAAGCAAAAGGTAATCATTTTTTTGAATATTCTTGCACAGTCAGAAGGGGGTTTTGTGGAGATTTTAGTAATTTTATATAGTTGAAATCATGAGTCAATTGAAGCTAGACCACCATGGAAACCCTGAAAGCACTGGACGACCAAGTCTGCTGGGAGATGTCAACTCACTGAAGACATCAGTGATCGGTTACTCAATTTCATGGATTAGTTGAAGTTAGACATTAAACACCGTTGTATGCCAACCGGCTCAGTGGTCTAGTGTTTAAGCGCTCGCGCACGAGACTGATAGGTTCTGAGTTCTAATCTCGCAATACGGGATCGTGAATGCGCACTGCTGAGGATTTTTGCATAGATTTAAAAAAAGAAAACAACCATATAATATTCTATTTAAAAAATGGATAAAACAGATTGATCACCTGAAAAAATTGTTGTAATTCAGCTGAAGCTAATAATTTATCATGACGATTTCTTAATTCTATTTGTAATAATTCCCATTCATGATTTAAATTTAATCTTAATTGATTCACTTCTTTTGTAGCATATAATTCACCAGAGATAAGATATAAATCTCTTCTTTTAGGTGCTTCTTCTATAAGAGCTTTTAATAATCTTTCACCTTCTATATTAAGATTTTGTATTTCATTTTGTAATGCAATAAAATCTTTTTCCCAACCTAATAATCTTCTTTGTAATTGCATAACACTATTTAAATCTGTACCTAAATCATCTGTTGAAATAAGTAATTCTCTTTTATGTATTATCCATTCATTTGTAGTTTGACATAATGTATAAAATTTTGATAAAGATGCAGCTAATTCAAATCTGTCATGATGTGAATTGATCAGTAGTTTTAAATGTTGCCATTTCTTATTAATATAATCTAATAGTTTTGAATATTTTGATGTGTAAACATTATTATCATCAGTTTTTTCATTATTAACACCTTTTGATGTACGTAAGTAAAGTGTTTTATCTGCATGATCAGTTTCAATAAACTCTTGATTACTTTCTTTATTTATAGTAATTTCATCTAATTTATCTTTGATTTCATTACTCTCCTCTTCCTCTTGTACCTCTTGATCATCATCATAATCGTCGTCGTCGTCGTCATCGTCGTCATCATCATCATCATCAACATCATCATCGACATAATCATCAATGGTTAAATTAAGTTTTATAGTAGATTGAATCAATTGAAGAATATCGAAATCTTTTTCTTTATCAAATTTCTTTAAATTATCTAATACACCTTCATGAAGCATACCAATTTCACTTAATCTTAAATTTGCATGACTTATTAATTCATGTTCAAATGTTTTAAAACGATAAGCTTGTATAGAAAGTTGTGATATAGAATGTATAATTTCTTCTGTAATAATAATAGGACATGGTTCTGGTAAAGATTTTATAAATTCCATTGAAGGATAGATTATAGGATTGAATGTTAACAAAATTCTTTCCCTTTGTTTTTTTACAAATAAAAACAGAAAAGAAGAAATAGAAATGAAAGTTAAATTGTATTTGACAAAACAAGGATTGTTCATAACAAAATCAAATAGTTCGGAAGCTAAATAATCATATTTCAAGTTACTTAATATAGAAGATAGATGAGTTTTATATCATTAACAAAGGCATTACTATGTATGTGTCAGATCAACTACTAATATAGAGCTAGTTATATGGACCGAGTAGATTATGCACACTATAAACTAATCTCTAGGATTACTTTGTATCATCATGTAAAACTGACAATAATTTGGTAAACAGCATCAATTAAAAATGTCAAAACACCATAACAACAACCATTTCTAGGTATGCACAAACATAAATGAAACATGGTAAGCAAAGATGAATAGTGACTAGCGGTGGAATCCAGGACGCGCATTTCATCCTATTTGGGACTCCTCAGCTGGATGTACCTGTATCTCAGAGTTGATGTTCATTCTTGTATTCGAAACCAGTACCTTTTGCCTCAAACGCCATCTTGTTATCCACTCAGCTACTGAGTCCTGATAGTCACTTGCTTGTGCGATGGGGTGAAGTTTAAATTCACTTGTTATTGTTAGTTGAATCTTACCATTGATCTTCAGGAATTAAGGCTATATTGAGGCAATGCGCACAGTATGCACATATGTCTATAAGAGACTGACCAGTTGCAGTTCTAAACATCGATGGGGAAATTAAAATAAACAATACTAAGACAATTAGACATTGTTTTATCAACAGAATGTCCTATTCCATCAATGAATGGACTTGACAGTTCAATTCATTTCTGGCCATAGTATTACGAATACGAAATCAGATCCAGAGTAAGCGATAAATAAATTTGAGTGTACTAAACTTTAGATCATATATCAATCAAATAATGTAGATGTTTTTATTCTCAACTGCTACTGAATTTTTGATGATTTCATTATAAATTTCAGATAAAAAATGGGGAGAAAAAATTAAACCCCTCAACTTAAAACGTAAGCGGCCTGCTTGAATATCTGGACTACTTGATCCCACCATTTAAATATCTCAACAATCCGTCTTTTGTTTGTTTCAAAAGATCATTATATCAATTAATTGCACGACGTATTCAGGTTCGTTTGTGAATAGTTCACAACCTTTCGTTGTACAAGTTAGGAAAGAGAACAATCAGAGACATTATGGTTGCTGGTAATTTAAAGGGCATAAAGCTGACATCAATGCAATTTTAAAACATTGTGTGGGAATTGTAAATGGTGAACGTTTAGGTTTAAATTAGCCTTGGCTATTCGTCAATTCAAATCCCCATCATGTGTACATAACCAATTTGTCGTATTCCTGTCATATTTTTGTCCTGACAGTATCTAAGTTTTTTATGACCTAGGAAGCATCCTATTCTCTTAGACGGATTGCTTGAATCACTGGGTTACCTGTTCCTATCATCTTGATATTTTATAAAGTTACCATTTTTGTTTGTCTTAACACATTATTATGTCTGTTAAATGCATAACCTATTCAGGCACGTCTGTGAAAAGTGTACCTTTTGCTGTACAAGTTAGGAAAGAGCAAAATCAGAGACATAGTTGCTGGCTATATGCAACTAAGCAAACGTATATTATTCAGATGTCGATTGACTGAACTGTTAACTTCCAACTGGGGGTTACTCAATATATGTCGTCAGGATCAACCAAGAAATAAGAAATAGAAACTTGTTAAAATACGTCTCACTGAGAATTCTACATTGTAATAATAAGCATATATAATTTTCCATTTATTACCTAATCATGAATAGATATGGTTGGTTGATCAATATTAAAAATTAAAAAAAAAAGGAAAGTAAATATCAACTTACTTTTCTTTAATCCAATTTTCCATAGATACAATATTATCAATAAGACGTAATATATTTCGTTGAAATTCTAATTTATCTCTTATTTTTAAACTATCTTTTAAATAATCTATATAATGCATATGAATAAAATTTAATCGATTTAATAAATGATATGCAATTATTGATATATGTGGTAATAATAATATAGATAATTCATGTTCTTCAGGAGTATTCATTGGTGTTCTATAATGTTCTTTAATATATTGATCATTTTCATTATATTCAATATTATTATTAGTAATAGATTTTATTGATGTAAACAATAAATGTTGTAGATTATTCTCTGATTCATTAGTAACTAAGTCAATTTCACAATTAGTTTGTTGTAAATTTAATGTTTCATTTAATTGAATTATACCTGGAAGTTGATTTTGATCTATCTTCTCTTTTGTATCTTCATCAAGAATAGATTTAGATATAATAGAATCTACATCTTCTTGAAATGATGAACCAACTGTTTGTAGACCAGTTATAGAAATCTCATCACTATGATCACTATCTTCATGTTGTTGTTGTTGTTGTTGTTGTTGTTTATCAGATTGAACAGTTACTTCTATACAAGATTTTTTAGATATAGAAAGATTATTTAATTTAGTTTTTAAATGAAGAAATTCTGTATAATCATTATCATTCAAAATAGATCTAGATGGTAAAAAGATATATACTTCATTTTGTAATTGATTTAAATAAGTAGTATATAATTTCAATTGTTCAATTATCTATAAAAAAAAATAATTAGAATTGAATTTCACTTATGAAATATGAATATTAAGCATCATTTATAGGTGAACGGTTTTGGGTGAATAAGTATTGAGGTTAACATATGGTATTTAGGGTAATTAAAAGATTGTAAAAGATGAGTAAAAAAAGCAACAACAAAAAACTATTGAAGCCATAACCTTTGGATAATTATATTTCTTGTCTAAACTTAGACATTCTTTTAAATGCTTTCTATCGTCTTTCCCATCCGTTTTGTTAATTTATCTACTCGCTCCGCTTATATAGATACTTACTTGTTTGCTTATGCCTGTTACCCTCAATGAAGTATAGGCCGCCGACCAGCATTCTCCAACCCACTCTGTGCTGGGCATATATATGCATATATATATATATATATATATATATATATATATGCTAATATTAACTGGTTTAATTACTTGTTTAATTCTATGTAGCTCATACAACTTGACACTAGATACTAATACTACTAGAACTAACGTTGTTTGTATCAGCATTTGAAATCTCTAGAGAAATTGTCATTGAGAAATGTACAAAAGCATTTAAATCACTAATGTGTTCACTTATTCTAATTAATAAGCCAAGTAAATAGAGTAAAGTAAAATATTAAGTCAAATTAATAAAATTTTTAATATTGTATTTTCGTAAATGCAGCATTCACAGATTTCGAGACAGTTCTACTGTATGGGGCGTAGACGTGAAGAACTACGAAAGCCATCATCCAGAAGATACAAGTGTTTATTGACAGTTGTCTACGAAAAATACTTCGGATCCGTTGATCAGACACTATCAGCAACAACCTACTATGGGAGAAGACAAATCAGATTTCATCCAGTGGAGGAAGAAATCATGTTGAAGTACTGGAAGTGAATAGGACACGTATTGAAGAAATCACGCCCTACCGATTACATCCATTTTCTGTTCGTCATATTCATTCGAATTTAATAACCTTACAAAACTCAAAATAATATCTACTTACATTGAATTTGAAATTGAATACTTAGTTTTTACACTAACAGATATTATCATTCAAATAAAAACGGTATCATCAGAGAGTGTCTTGTACTTCTAATAATTGAATTCATGAGTCATTGAAAGCTAGATCACCATGGAAAACCTGGAATTAATTAGATGACCGTTTCATCCTATTGTGGTACTCCTCGGCAGTGCGCATCCACTGTAGATGCCAGTCGATTCAGTAGTCTAGAGACTAAGCGGTCGAGCTGAAGAGAGCAATAGCTCCTGCATTCGAATCTCTAGAGGCGAGATCGTGGATGTGCACTGCTGAGGAGTCTCATGCTAGGACGAATCGGCCATCCAAGTATTTTCAAGTTTTTCATGTTGGTTTCAACTATTAAAAATTCATTTAAATAGCAAATTTATTACTTACATGATCCATTTGTCTTAATGTGGAATTAATAACAATTTCTTTATCAATTGTTAAAGCTTTTTGTTTCCCCAATATATTAGTAATAACTTTTTTATGAATAATCAATGCTTGTTTTTGTTCATTATTCGTATCAATTACTTCATTCTGTATTGATTTATCTTTAACAGATTCAACTAGATCTTCAAGAGAATCGGCAAACATAGATATTGACAGGACACTATGATATGTTTCATATATTCTTAAATTAATTTCTTCAATTTTAGTATTAAGTATAATTAAGCTATATAATTCATTTAAATATTTCTTATATATTATTAAGTTGACATGTATTTCTTTAATTCCTATTAATAATTTATTCCATTGTTTTTGTAATAATTGAATGAATTCAATTACTTTGATAGAACGTTCTTCATGTTGAATAATTTGACAACTAATAGATATTGAATGATCAAATGTAAAATTAGATAAATGCATATTACTTAAAACTGTTATAATATCTTCATAGATTCGTATTAATGGACATTTTTTCAAATTCTCGATTATTTCATTTTCATCATATTTTTGTGTTTCATTGGTCTTGAATTCATCATAATGTATATTTTGAATAATACTCATTAAAGAAATATCATTTATAGTTAATTGATTGAAATTCATACAGTTTAAATGGGTTATAATTTGTTGTAATTTATTATATAATGTTTGATTTGATATAAAATAATAATGTTGATTATAATAATTAATTCCATATTTTAATTGTAATTCATTCATAAGTAAATGTAATCTACTTTGTAAATGATGAGTTTGTATATTGACTTGATTGAAATTCTCAGTAAGTTCTTCTTTAAGAAATTCAATAGGTTTAATTGAATCATTTTGATCCTAAGTAGATATGAAGAGAAAAAAAAAAAGAAGAAAATTGTATGTTTATTACTTTTAAATGAATTATAAAATTTAGATCATTTGAAGTTATCCTCCAAAAAATTGACGAACTGAGATTGTCTATGAAGTCTATGTTCTTTTTGATCAAAGAGTTCTAGTGGTCTATAATGTCCTATTTCAGTGTCTGCTTAAATTCGAGGCACATATATAAAGAATAATGGATCAATTAATCGTAAATATTGATGTATTATTTGATTATTTTTAGGACCGACAGAATTGTGTAGCAGTACATGTCAGTTAAATCTGTATAATGTAAAGGAGTTAAACCAAGAATCTTTAGTTATATTTAAAGATCACTATACGCTAATCCCTGAACGTAGGGGTGGCTTCCTAATGTTTTATATATTGTACTTTATATTTTGTTATTCTATGCTTTAAAAAACATCAATAATGATAAATGAAAGAAGTTCTTAATTTACAAACAGTAATTAAAAGATCCGGTTTATTTTTACAAAAACCTTGGAAACAAACTTTAAACACTCGTTGTATAATAAGCAAAGATGGCTCGGATCCAGGATGCGCGTTTCGTCCCATTTGGGACTCCTCAGCTGGACGTACCTGCATCTCAGAGTTGATGTTCACTCTGGGACGCACAGTATGCACAGATGCCAATGAGATACCGACTAGTTGCAGTCCTAAACATCAATTGGAAGATTCAAGCAAACAATACTTAGTGAATTTCAACTTCACTCCATTACACAAGCAAGTAACTATCAGGACTCAGTAGATGAGTTTGAAGCAAAAGGCACTGGATTCGATAATATGTTGTCCCAGAGTGAACATCAACTCTGAGATGCAGGTACATCCAGCTGACGAGTCTCAAAAAGGACGAAACGCGCGTCCTAGATTCCACTGATAGCCACTATCCATCTATGCTTATAATGCTTGTGAACTAAGACTGTTTCGAGGCAATATGCACAGTATGCTTATATGCCAATAATAAGGGACTAATCAATTGCAGTCCTAAACATCAGTGGGAAGATTCAAGCAAACAATACTAAGTGAACTCGTTGTATAATGTTTATAATTGTCCCATCAATATTTATCATTTTGTTTATACCTTTCCAATATTGCATAAGTCACACACGTTACACAAAATTGTTTGCATGATGTGTGAATTTCCATCTTGTCAAGTTTTACATAAATCCAATTGTGGTGTGTGCTATTTATATGGACATAAGTAGTACATAACGATAGTCAGTAATAGAATATCTGGCAAGAGAAAGTCCAGAAGATCGAAAAGGAAAGAACAGGAACAGAAAGCAATTGATATGGAAATGCAAGAACAATGAAGTCTGAGAAGATTGTTCGATATTTACAAATGAAACAGTGAGGTTTGAGATAACTGATTGACATTTTGTAAATGAAATATTTACTGTATGATTCTTAGATTTTACTAATTGATTTTGTAATTTTGTATTCAAATACATTAGATTAACCCCACTTGTATTCTTGTTCACTAAACTATAAGTTTCATTGCATAACATTCTACTCTACATCATTAACTTCGATTATATTATGTTAGGTTAATCTTGCAAATTGAATGTATGTCTGTAGAACATAATTAATAGTTATTGTGAAGAACATTGTTTGTCGCTATATTGGTGTTTTAAATCAACATTAACTAGCGTTTATACGTTTGTGTGGATGATTCTACAGAAGAAATTATAACATAGTGTATAGTTCCAATTAAGATTATGTAACTGGATATTTGTTCAACGGAAATGTTACCAGTCTGTATAGGCCGTATCGTTAAATGTTACACGCTACGGTCCTTAAAAATTGATTTTTTTATTAACATTCTGTTATTCTTTTTAGATTGAATTCACGCTCCCATTTTCAATTTATATATGAGCATTCGATTTAGTCATATGAAGTCATTCTGTTGAGTAACGTATTATTATCTTTATATAATCACATTTAAAAGTTACTTATAGCAGTACATAACATTACTTCCAACTAAATTCCAATAACTTCTGCATTGCAATTAGCGTAAAGAAAATTTCATGGCTTTAGAGCATAATAACTGGAAGCAGTATTTCGTCGCGTATATATAATGACGCAAGAAGAGTATTCAAGCCTATCACTATTTGTGACAATTATGAACTTATAAGTGGAAGAGACGACTATGAGATGAACTTCATGTGTTATTAGAATAACGGATTTGTAGAGATTGTCAGATTATGAAATCGTTTACGTCACGGTTTGACGTTTCTTCGACAATCATCGAGATACATTTGTCAATTGCAGTTCTGAATAATGGCCCCTTCATATAACAAATTAGCTCGAAATAAGAAAGCTAGCTGATGGAAAGCAGCTCATTAATTTAAAGGTAAAGTGTTGTAAGCGAGTTTTAATTGTCTATTATCCTATTGTTGTTGAATATCCCAATACATACTGTTTATAATTCCTAAAGTAGGATGGAACATATATCCAGCCGTTCCTAGTATTCAAAAGCTACTTAATTAAAGTCAATCTGTTATGTTAACTATCTTTAACTTGAAGACATTCTGTATATCTTTCATTTTAATAATGACCAGTACCTTGCCAGTGATTGTGTTTGAGAAAAATTCCCGAAAGTCTAAACAATGAAATTCAACCATGTAAGCAATGAGACAGTCATCAATGAACTTATTGTCACGGTAGTTTTAAAGTTATGCTAAATTATGATACGTATCCTAATAAATTTATACTTGTTCTCCTGATTCAGTATACTTTAATAATACATATCAAGTTATGTAACATTTGTTACGATCCGAAAAATGTGTCATATTGAAATGAAGAATATAATTAGTTTCTTATTCATAGGATTAAATGATATAAGATATTGTAGGTATCATTACCAAGTTTTGATATGATAATTTCGAATTAATTGAACATTGAATAGATTGTTATAAATAAATAAATAAATAATATATTTGTAATATCCCAATGAGTAAACAAAAATTAGATTTTCTGACATTTTGTGACTCAGTCAATGTAAGCCACTTCTTTAGAGTAAATAAACAATCAAATTAACAATAATCCTAGTTTAAATAATACAAACGAATAACACGAATACTAAGTGCGATCAATCAAAAAACAGATCTGATTTATTCAGATCTGTTCAAACTTTTTTTGTGATTGATCGCACATAATATTCCTATATTGTTCCATTGTACTATTTAAACTTGATTTGATTATTTATTCACTCTAAAGAAATATCTTACACTGACTGAGTCACAAAATGTCAGAAAATCTAATTTTTGTTTACTCATTGGGATATTACAAATATATTATTTATTTATAGTATAAAGTATTAAAGAGAAATTATTTTGTGGCTAGGATTAACAAAGAATTATATTGCCTGATCAAGCATAAACTATACAAATAAGTTATATATATATATATATCGCTAGGTGTGATCATAGATATGTACTGCTGAGGAATCCTACAATAGGACGAAACCCCGACTCAGGTTCTGGCTTCAATCAACTTATGATCTCAACTATCAACATTACAAAAATTCATTATTATTATTATTTCAATGATTAAACTAACTTTAATCCATAATAATTCATCATTCATTTCATTTAATAAACGATATACATTTTGACATATTTTATTCCATTGTATTAAATCAAATAAATAATTATCAAGATTTAATTGATATAATTGAATATAATTTAAACAATTCATAATATTCATTTGTAAATATGATTTTGATAAATTATTATTATTGTCATTATTAGTATTATTATTATCATTATTAGTTATAATATTCATTTGTAAATATGATTTTGATAAATTATTATTATTATTATCATTAATAGTATTATAATTAATAACATTATTATTATTATTATTAATATTATCATTATTATTATGATTATTGTCAATAGTAGTATTATAATTATCGATATTATTATTATTAATATTATCATTATTAGTATCATTATTATTATCATCATAATTATTGATTAAATTTAATAAATTTTTTACAGAATTAATCCATATCATTAATTGATTCATATTGATTTGAAATTGATTTAAATGAATATCAATTAAATTATATTGATTATTATAATTATTATTATTAATTAATTGATTAATATGTATTAATTGATTATGAATAATCAATAATTGATTATTTAATTGTAATAAATAATTTAACCAATTTTGATTAAAATTTAAATAATTTGTATAATGATTTAATTTAGATTGTAATATATTATAAATATTTAATAAATTATTTAATTGTTTATTATATTGATTTATATATTGTATATTATTATTATTATTATTCATAGATAATAATAAATTATTTAATTTATTAAATTTATTATTAAAATATATTTTAATATTATTTATCAATATTGTATGTTTATATTGTGATATTATAATTAAATATTGTAATTGAATTAAATTATTCAATGGAAATTCATTGAATTGATTTTTATTGATTATATTCATTAAATAAATTTCAATTGGATTTAATTGTTCAAAAAATTTTATATTATTCATATTAATAATTAAATGAATTAATTGTATATTTTCATTTAACCAATTAAAACATAATTGAATTTTATTTTGATATTTTGTAATTAAAATATTTAAATTATTCTGTAATAATAAAATGAAAAATAAAAAAAAAGATAGTTATTAAATGATTCAGAATAGAATTATTAAAGTTTACTACATATAAGTGCACATATATGTGCATAGATATGCAATTTACCTCAACATTCTCATTGAATCACAAGCAATTTTACTTACTTAAATACCTGCTTCCTTATGCCTGTTACTCCCAATGGAGCATATACCACTGACTATCATTCCCAAACCCACTCTGTCTTGGGCCTTTCTTTCTAGTTCTGTCCAACTTTTGTACATTCTTCTCATGATTGTTTACATTTCTTAAAGTAATATGTTCTTTAGTCTTCCACTTCTCCTTTGGCCTTCACGATTCCATGTGAGAAATTGGCTTGTGAAGCAGTTGGGTGATTTCCTCAATGTGTGTCCTATCCTTCTTCATTTCTTCCTCCGCAGGAATTTGATTTGTTCTCTCCCACAGTAGGTTGTTGCTGATAGTTTCTGACCAACGGATCTGGCGTATTCTTCGTAGACGACTGTTAATAAGCACTTGCATCTTCTAGATGATGGCTTTTGTAGTTTTCTAAGTTTCAGCCCCATACCGTAGAACGATCTTGACATTTGATGTTGGTTGACTGTTATTGAGTTGACTTCCAGGTGTTCTTCAGTTGTAGATATGCTGCTCGTCGTTTGACAATCCGCGCCTTTACATCTGCATCAGATCCTTCATGTTCATCAATGATGCTGCTCAGATATGTAAAGATTTTAACATCTTACAAAGCTTCTCCGTCAAGTGTAATTCGATAGCTGCTACCTAATACAACAATGTGTTATACATTTATGGAATAGATAAAATATAGATAGCAGCAGAATTCAAGACGAGCGTTTCGTCCTTGTTGGGACTCGTCCATATCAGTTATGGAATACGTTCTCCCGAGAATATTTAAGAAAGTAGTGTATATGTTTCTTAGAGTAACATTTCTTCACGAAACAATTTTATTTTAATCTAGAATTTTTACTTTAGGTTAGTTTTGCTTGTACGTAATCTTCGTTATTGTATTCATGTCAGTTCAAGTAGGACTTAAAACTAAAGACAGTTAAATAACTGGTTGTCTCTATTACGAGACTTTTAATCTTGAGATAACACTATGAAAAGTTTTAGATGACACCATTTTATTCGACCATCGGTAGAAGCAAACATGAATTTCAGAAAGACTTTTATTAAACAACCTCGTCTTCAGATTTGAATTTTGAAGTTGTCAATACTTCTTGTTTGGTTTGTAACTCAAGATATGCGATTAGCAATATTTGACCTTTTTTATTTGACAAAAGTTTAACTACCGTGAAACTTTGGTAGTATAGTAGCGTTGAAAACTTCTACAAGCCAAATAATTCAGTCACTAAGACTTCATTTCCCTCCAGAAGATTGATAAATTAAAATAATCTCTGTACATGTTTGAAAGCACCCAACACATTACTTGTACTGTTTCTAATAAACCATAAATATGTCATCTTAACGAAAAGAAGCGGTATGGTAGTCCTCTTCTAGATACCATTTATATTTCTGGTATTTATTTAAATTTGTTAATGACCTTTGAATTCTATCTATTTCGATGTTATTAAGCATGTTTCAGATTGGAGAAATTTTGTTGGTCATTGGATAGTGAAAATGGTAAACACCTTGATATTTAAATGATAGTATCCAAGGAATTTTTCATAATAAAGAGAGAATCTTTTTGAAAATTAGTGATTGATGATGAATTTGCTAAGTATATTATGATATTAGAAAAAACTCATTTATACTCTTTCTGATTTAAATTTATGGTAAGTTCATATGGAGATGAAAATGTATTCGATTTCTAAACTGCTCAATCATTGCTAATTTGAAACTTCATATTTGACACGTAATGAGTGGTGCACAGCACATCCATTTGATGACCCTCCCTTACTCGCAATAATTCTTCTTGAATAATATTAATTATATGAGAGAAACTTGGTGTTACATAAGAAAAATCACCTTCGAATATGTCAATGGTTCATTTGCTTAAAAGTTACAAATAAAGTTCATGGCATCGCGCATGTGCACTGTTGAGGAGTCTCACAATAGGACGAAACGGCCGTCCAGTGCTTCCAAGTTTCCCATGGTGGTTTAACTTCAATTGATTCATGATTTTAACTATATAAAATTACTGAAATCTCCACAAAACCCCCTTCCCATCTTTATACAATGAAAGTAAAAAAAATATATGATATCAAAAAAAAAAGATTTTATGTTGAACTTACTCGTCGAATTAATTCATCTACAATAGCTAAATGACAATTATGTTCAGCTGTAATTAAACATTGCCAAGATTCTTCTAAATCACTAAGATTGTAACCATTCGGTGGTTTGAATAATCGATGTGATTCAGCCAACTGATTAGTATGAATTTCAGTTAACAGGGTCTATTGAAGTTGTTTTTTTTAAAAAAAAAGAAATTGTAAAGCATTTATAATCATAATTTTGTTTAGATGAGAACATAAATATCAGTGAATAGTACTATTTCAATTAGATCTTTTTTATCAGGTTTTACATTAATATACAGTAATATCTATATGCAAACAAGATAAACTTTAAACTAAACAAGATAATTTGTGAGCTGATGATAAGAATGAAATAGATTACGTAACCACTTTTTTTATAAGCAATGAATAGAAATTAATAGTAAGATGATAGGTATGCTAACAATGATACAAATAATGACAACTCTATTAACTTGGCAAGTAGATCAAAACTTGGGTAAGTAAACTCATGAAAATAAAGTTTTTTCCATCGCGGATGCACACTTCTGAGGAGTCACACGATAGGACGAAACAGCTGTTCAGTGCTTCCAGGCTTCCCATAGTAGTCTACCTTCCATTGACTCATGATCTCAACTATTAAAATTAATATTGAGATTAAATTCATTTAGTATTGTTTGTTTGAATCTTCCCATTGATGTGTTAGGACTGCAACTGGTCAGTCTCCAATTGGCATATGTGCATACTGTACGTATTGCCTCGATATAGCCTTAATTCACAAGCATGGTAAGTAGAGATGGATAGTGGCTGACGAGTCTCAAATAGGACGAAACGCGCTTCAATCTGCATTCCACTGCTAGCCACTACCCATCTCTGCTCATCACTATTGAGATTGTTTGTTAAAAATAAAAACCAAGTTATTAAGATAAAAATTAGAAAGTTTTAATGAGAGCAAAGTTTTAACTGATGAAGCAATCGAAGTTTCATTGGTGTTAACGTTTATTACATTTTAAATGGTTATGAATTCAATTGTAACAAGATGAAAGTAATTCAGTTTATTATTATGAATGATTTTGTGGGAACCATTCAATTTGAAAATAGTTTACAAGAGGGATTGTATGGAAATGGACAATTATTTAAAACAACGAAACCTTAAGCGGTTTTCTTATTCTAGCATGAACCTATTGTAAGAGATCAAATATAAGACTTATAGATCGAAGGACTTGAATGGTTTCTTGCACTTAATTAAATGAAGAGAATTCATATTCTTCTGTTTTTATTGTAATTTAGGCTTTATCAACAAATTCTAATGTTTTTCTTAGGCAAGGATGTTTTTTCTTCAATCAATTCATACAGAAGTTCTTACTTCTAATATTTTTAAGAGTAATTAGCGCTTTTAATAAAATATGGTAATGAATCATTCAAGTTAATAAATTGAATTCCTATATCTTACATAAACAATTTAGTTTCATAAAGTGATGAAACTTCGTAGGGTTTTTAATGTTTTTTTGCCTCTCAATAAAATTGATTTCCTTACTAAAAACCAGTTAACTGGGTCTTCATTTGAGTATTCTATCACATCCCGTTGGATGCCAGCTCAGTGATCTATCGGTTAAGGACTCTGGCTCGAGACTGTTATGTCCTTGTTAGTGGGACATAGATTGGATTAAAGCATGTTTCATGCATAATGGTGTCGCTGCTCGCTGATTGGCTAATTCTAAAGCGATCAGCCCGGGCATATTATTGGAGAAAAATCTAGAAGCTTCTTATGTATATACTATAAATATATGAACGTTATTCAAACTAGGGATTGCTGTTCACATGCCATTGTTTTTTGTGAATACAATTTCATTCCTGTTCAACGTGTTCTGATTTTGGAGTCTTGTTCAGTGTCATCGTATAAGAATACTAAGCAATAGGAATAGCTGGGTCGTTTATTAGCGAAAATACAATTATAACAGTGGCGACGGGTAAAAAGGAAAATTCATTCAAAATGCTTATATCAGATGACCAGCTAAGCCGAATACTACAACAACAGCAAGCACAACTTGATGCACATATGCGATTGTTGGAGACTCTGATGCAACAGTTTAGCATCCAAAACTCCAGTTCACATGCTGTTTCAAGTACTTCTTGTGATGCAGTTTCTAGCAGCATCCCAGAATTCATATATGATCCCGAAAGCGGAAATACTTTTCTCACATGGTTCAAGCGTTGGGAAGACACATTTAGAATAGAATTATGTCAACAAGATGACGCATGGAAGACTCGGTTGTTGACGCGTAAGTTGGGAAGCAATGAGCATGCACGTTATGCTGATCATATATTGCCAAAGTTACCTCGAGAGCTCAGTTTCGAGGAGACAGTAACGCAGTTGTCAGAGATATTCGGCGAATCTTGCTCATTGTTTAGTATTAGATATCAGTGTCTGAATTTGGTGAAAAGTGAAGCCGATGAATATGGTGCTCTAGCAGACGTCGTCAACAGAGAGTGTGAACATTTCAAGTTACGCTCGTTGACAGAAGATCAATTTAAATACCTAATATTCATCAAAGCTCTGCAGTCACCACAAGATGCTGAAATTAGAACCAGACTTCTAACTCGTTTGGATCAAGACCCAAACGTCACACTCAAGATATTGACAGATGAGTGTAAACGACTACAAAACATCAGACACGACAATCAGTTAATTGAACAGGTAAATTCTAATTTAACCTGCAGTAGTGTAAATGCTATGACTAGGTTAAAAAGTCAGAAGCCCAATAAAACTCATAACAAACCAACGGATGCCTGTTGGTTATGCGGCGATTGGCATTATGTACGGTTCTGTCCATTTAAGAAGCATAAATGTCAGGTGTGCAACAGACGTGGGCATAAAGAAGGCCATTGTCCACCGAATCGTACGTCCCAGCCCAAGAAAAAGTATAAACGTCTTTCACGTGTGGTGAAATCAGCTGAGTCTAAATCTCTTTCTCTGGTAGCAGCTTTTCAAACAGACTATGACATTCGGAGAAAGTATGTTACGATCCAGATTAATGGTATAGCGGCTCGTCTTCAAATTGATACAGCATCCGATATTACTCTAGTGTCTAGAGAGACGTATAACTTGCTGGGAAAGCCACCAATGAAGCCATCGAAAAAAACGGCTAAAAATGCATCTTGAGGCATACTAAAACTAGTTGGCGAATTACAATGTGAATTTTCCTTCAATGGAAATAACTGTAAAGAGATATGTTATCAAACAGAACGACCGAACTTTGATCTACTTGGTCTAGATATGTTAGCAAAGCTTGGATTATTGGATATACCCATGAACAGCATTTATAACGTGTCGTGTACATCATTAGACACCACTTCATATGCAAAAAAGACAGGTGAAAAAGTTCTAGAAAATCTGAAGAGAAAATTCGCCGCTGTCTTCCAGAATAGCCTTGGTCACTGCACTAAAGTGAAAGCTTATTTACCCCTGAAAGCAGATGCCAAACCGATTTTTCGCCCGAGACGTCCTGTGCCATATGCCGCTCTTGAATAAGTCGATCAGGAACTTAATGGTTTGCAGCAAGCTGGTGTAATCCAACCGGTTAATTACTCTGAATGGGCCGCGCCGATTGTAGTGATTAGAGAGCCCAATGGAACTATCCGCATATGTGCTGATTTCTCAATGGGTTTAAATACTGCTGTTTGCTAAAGTAAATGGCGGTACAGGTTTCGCGAAAATAGACTTTTCGGATGCCTATCTGCAAGTAGAAGTAGATGACGATAGTAGAGAGCTTCTGACTATTAACACTCATCGAGGGTTATTTCAATACACCCGCCTTCCATTCGGAATTAAGACCGCACCTGCCATCTTTCAGCAAATAATGGGTACAATGCTAACTGGCATACCGGGTGCAGCAGCTTATTTAGATGACATCATAGTTATGGGTTCCACTAACAGTGAACTTTCCGATCGTCTACACTAAGTTCTCAATTAGTGTTGGAATATGGTTTCCAACTACGTGAAGAAAAGTGTATCTTCTTCATGCATTCGATCAAATACCTTGGTTTCATCATAGATAAGAACGGCCGACGACCAGACCCTGCCAATATAGAAGCCATTCAGAAAATGCCCGTACCAACTGACGTTCCTTCATTAAGATCATTCTTGGGATTAGTTAGTCACTACAGCACATTTTTGTCTGAAATGAATCGAGTAAGAGGCCCTCTGAATGAATTACTATCGAAAGGTAAACCTTGGCAGTGGTCAGCAGAATGTCAAGCATCCTTCGACAAAGTCAAGTCAATGCTCAGCTCAAAGCTTCTCTTGACACACTTCGATCCCAGCTTGGAAATTGTTGTCACATCTGATGCATCTAGTCACGGAGTTGGAGCAGTTATATCACACGTGTTTCCAGACAAAATAGAGAAGACAATCGCCCATGCTGCAAGATCACTTACCCAGCCGAACGCAACTACAGTCAAATCGAAAAGGAAGCTTTGGCAATCATTTTTGCTGTCAAAAGATTTCATAAAATGCTTTACGGCCGTAAGTTCACTCTGTTGACAGACCACAAACCATTGATTGCAATATTCGGTTCCAAGAAAGTTATTCCTGTTTACACAGCTAGCAGACTACAGCGCTGGGCAATATTGCTTTTGAGCTACGACTTTAACATAAGGTATCAGTCAATCAATACTATCAGTCAAGCCGATGCCCTCTCACGACTTATTGGAGTTCAGCATCCTGGACCGGAGGACATGATCATTGTCTCGATATCAGTTGGTCCAGAAATACGGAGTGTAGTAGCAGCGGCAATTCGAAACACTCCAGTGTCTTCAGATGAAGTCAGAAAAGAGACTCTTCGAGACCCTGTTCTACAAAAAGTCAGAAAGTTTCACCTAGAAGGGTGGCCCTCGAAGATCAGTTCAACAGAGCTTCAGCAGTTTTATCAGCGCAGATTATCTCTTTCAATCATCGACGATTGTCTCATGTTTACTGAACGTGTTATAATCCCAAAGAAGTTGCAACCGGCAGTCCTCGAACAGCTGCATGCAGGACATCCTGGAATAAACCGCATGAAAGCTCTAGCACGAAGTTATGTATACTGGCCACAATTAGATACCCAATTCGAGCAGCTATTCCGTTCGTGTACAAAATGTGCATTGGCAGCAAAAGCGCCACGAAAAGCAGAGTTGCAATCATGGCCGATACCACAGTCACCGTGGCAGCGTATACATTTAGATTTTGCTGGTCCATTCCATGGACAAACTTACCTTCTGGTAGTTGATGCATACAGCAAGTGGCCGGAAATTTTCATTATGGAACATCCAACAGCAAGCTGCACAGTTAGAAATCTGCGGCAATTATTCAGTCGTTTCGGGGTTCCAGAACAAGTAGTCAGCGATAACGGCACACAATTTACATCATCTATCTTTTCAGAATTTTGTCAGCAGAACGGAATCAGGCACATCCGAACACCTCCATTCCATCCGCAATCGAATGGTCAGGTGGAACGTTTTTTTGGTACGTTCAAAAATGCCCTAAAATAATCAAGAGGGGAGGGTACCACCGACGATATCTTAGAGAGGTTATTGTTTATCTACCGTTCTACACCGAACCCTCAAACAACAAATGGGGTCTCTCCAGCGGAAGAGTTACTTGGCAAAAAAATAAGGACACATTTCGATGTCATCCTTTTTGACGCCAGCTCGTGAGCCCCAACGAAACTTATCGATGGAGAAGTAGTTCAATCGACACCATGGGGAACAAAGACGATTGTTCACGGTGGGTCAAAAAGCACTTGCTATGAACTATCGTGGTAAGCATCCTACGTGGACAGCTGGTCGGATCGTGAGAAAGAAAGGGAATGTGGTTTATGAGGTGTCAGTCGGCTCAGAAGTTTAGATACGTCATGCTAACCAACTGAAAGCAACTTCGATAGCCAGCAGCGAGAATCGACATCGAATACCTCTTGACGTTCTGCTAGACACCTTTGAAATCAAAACGCCCGGAACGGACAAGTCAGTTTCTGTGCAAGCAAAACGTGACACAACTTCCTTATTGCCTAGACGATGGACAGATCGTAAGCGCAGGCCAGTCACTTGGTTGCAGTTGGACCCTAGCACCAGATCCTACGAATCTGCTCAAGGGGGTGGTGTTAGTGGAACATAGATTGGATTAAAGCATGTTTCATGCATAATGGTGTCGCTGATTGGCTAATTCTAAAGCGATCAGCCCGGGCATATTATTGGAGAAAAATCTAGAAGCTTCTTATGTATATACTATAAATATATGAACGTTATTCAAACTAGGGATTGCTGTTCACATGCCATTGTTTTTTGTGAATACAATTTCATTCCTGTTCAACGTGTTCTGATTTTGGAGTCTTGTTCAGTGTCATCGTATAAGAATACTAAGCAATAGGAATAGCTGGGTCGTTTATTAGCAAAAATACAATTATAACTGTCCTGGGTTCAAATTTCGCGTATTCGGTATCGCGGATGCGCACTGCCACTGAGGAGTCCCATAATAGGACGAAATGGCCGTCGAGTGTTTCCAGGTTTTCCATGGTGGTCTAGCTTCCATTGACTCTTGATTTTAACTTTGAAAAATATTGAAATCTCCACAAAACCCCTTCTGACAAATGGGTATTAACTTACTTACTTACTTAAGCTCGTTACACCTCGTGGAGGAGCATAGGCCCCAAACCAGTATTTTCCATCCAACCCTGTCCTCTGGAGATATTAACTAGGTATATAAAATACCGTATAACCTCTTTTCAAACAATAGTAAGACAATAACAACTCTTAAAAATGGGAAATAATATTTAACGTTTTATACCTTGAAAATGAATTCTATGTATGAAGTAAACAAAATCTGTTTGTACTAATTCGACAACAAGGTCAAACAATAGCTTACAAGCCTTAACTACTTAATTAACCAAACAAAATAATACACTTACTTCTAATTGAACTAATTCAAACATTTTTTCTGATTTTTCATTTTGACGCCAAATTAATAAATTATGTAATTCTTGCTTTATATCCAATTGATTTTTAATTTCATTCGATTCTTGTATCTTGCATAATAACTGATTCATTTGATTCATATTAACATTAGACCATTTAAACCATCGTTTAGTTTGTTTAATATAATTAAATATTTTATGACTTATGATTAAGCTTTGTTGAATTACTTTACTAATACGTTCTAATGATAATTTGATATTATGTGAATTAGTTAAATAACGATACCATGTTGCAACAATAGTCATAACACAACGTTCTTCTAACCAACATGTTTGAATAAAATCATTTGATTTAATTAATATTGGTATACCTAAATGTAAATAGGCTTGTTGAAAGATCATATCGAATCGTATTTGTAAATTATCAATATGACATATTTGATTATAATCAATTAAATTTGGATAATGTCGATGTAATAAAGCGGCAAATGCTAAACTATCACGCCAACTTTTTGTAAAATCAACAATTTCAACCTTTAGAAACAAATTGAGGAATTATATTATAAATAAGTATACAAAAAATTGTAAAAAAAAATACTTTAAAAATTAAAATAAATACACTTACAAACAAACACTTTGACCAACACAAACCTGGAACCTTGAACATTTACGATTCTAATAACATCAACTAAGACCCGTGAATTGAACAACTTTACCAAGTGGTAGTTAACGAAGGTTTTAGAACATCTCGTATAAGATGTGAAGTATTAAATTAACTAAATTCTTAATAACCTATGATGATGAACAGGATATGTTAGTTCAAATAGCGTAATACCATGAATAAGCAGCTACATCTTGCCTACAAAATTATAGTTAACGACTAAATAAAGTTTAAAGAACTGTTATAGTAGTAAGCCCTAGAGTATGTAAATTCATATATGAGCACCGGACTAATTAAATTAAATCTATACGTTTAACCGTACAAAGAAGTGAAAGCTACTAAACCATTATCTTCCAATTACTTAATAACGATATTATATTTTACATGTCATTTTTATTTTCTATCATATTGGAAAGATTAACTTGCTCAGGCATATAAAAAAATATTCATGCGCACTGGACTAACAACATTCAGCTGACAAACGACTTTTTCATAAACACTTCAAAGAGCGGTACCCTTTGTTACAGCAAATAACACCTTCTTTAGCTATATTTTGAAAAAGGTACGATTAATTTGGAAATGTTTGCATGATCAAAGCTAACATAGGTCTGTCAGCGTACCAACTAAAACTTGAAAACGTATGAGATTCATGTAGCTTGCAAGTAGTTTTATAGAAATATTGTCCCATGATATGACTTTCTAAAGCAGTATTGTTAATCTAGCTTATGATATTCGTATGTGCGAAATTGAGTTCTTTGTGTACGCTTTCAATCCAGGAGTAACTTTTATTTAATCATCGACAATAAAAAATAATGATACAGATATGATTCTTTTTCTGTTCTCATACTTAACAACAACACAACAAGAAAACATTAACGAAAATAAAACAAAAAAAGTCGAATTAACGAGAACAAAGATGGCAAAATAAGTGTACAAGATGTAGTTCAGAAGGAATATATTACACTGAAGGATTCAATTCTGGCTAATACGAACACCACTATGGGAAGAATAACAGTTGCTGAAGAGAGGCTAATTATGACGATTGATTTCAAATTCTCTACAATCATCAGCTACTCTAGTAATTCACTTTAAGTAAACTGTTTACAATATAAGTCATTTATTTCAGTGAATGGTAAAGGAAGATATCTTTAGTTCACTATGTGAGATATCCGAATTCTATTTCCATCATTTTTTCAGCAAATTACTAAATTCTAATAACTATCAGCTTTCAAAACTAATCACTTCATATATTTTTGCTATTTCATCTATGGCTTTTACGCTAGAACAATTTTCTTCTCCCTAAAGTGAACGACGAGTAACTTTGTAATGATGTATAATACTGACTGATATGATTATTCAAATATTATTCAAGATACCGAGTGAACTTTTCAAGTCAGCCTATGCTACCTTGAGTAATCGGTAGTGAAGTTAAAAGTTAGAACACTAAAATTATCTTGGATTACAGAATAATTATTCTTTTCTATATGATTCAATATATTGATATAGATAACTCTTGTTCCATTATACCAAAAACTCATTTGTGCACGATTACTGTTGTGAGATAGCAACTCACTGAACATAATAGTGAACGGTTGTTCAATTTCGTGGATTTGTTAAAGTTAGACATTAACACAGTTAGATGCGGGTTCAGTGATTTAAAGGTTAAGGGCTCGCGCTCGAGACCGATAGGTCCTGAGTTCGAATCTCGTGGGGTGGGTTCGTGGATGAGCACTGCTTAGGAGTCCGACAATAGGACAAAACGGCCTTAAAGCAGTGCTTCCAGGTTTTCCATGTTGGTCTAGCTTCAATTGATTCATGATCTAAACTATTAAAATTACTATAATATCCACAAAACTTTTTCTAATATTTTGGTTATATTTATAATTTAACTGATGATTACAATAAAACTTAATGTTTATTACCTGAGGATATCCAGCTGTTTTAAGCTGGCACCAAAGAAGTAAAGCATCTCTTGCATGTTTAACTTCACCAGTTTCATCTGATTCCTTGATGACTATATCCTGAACCTAAAACAGATTATAATAAATCACATAATAAAAGTTATTCTTAGTAATGATAGATAACATGAGATAGATGGAAAAGTGAATATAGTGTACTACATAAACTTTCTCTCACATTTATATATAACTATAAGATGCATAATTTTATGAGTAAATATGTATACATACCAAATAAATACCAGTTGTTGATAATTATTTATCCCTTTCTTTTTATTTTCGAACCATGGTACTATTTCAAATATAAAATATAAAAACTACAATAATAGTAATCCTTAGATATCAGTCTGAAATATGACACTCGATAAATATTGTTCGAATCTCGTGAGGTGGGATCGTGGATGCGCACTGTTGAGAAGTCCCATACTAGGATGAAGCGGCCGTCCAGTGCTTTCAGATTTTCGATGGTGATTTAGCTTCAATTGACTCATGAACTCAACTACTAAATTACTATATTATCCACAAAAACCCCTCTCCGATTATAATCATCATATGCTCATTAGTTACGATCTCCAGGAGCTATTTCCTGGAGTTCTAGTGAGAAGCAGTGACCAGTAGAATTCAACCAGGTCTGTTGTGAGATAATAACTCACTGAGGATATCGGTGGACGGTGGCTCAATTTAGGGGATTGGTTGAAGTTATACATTAACACCGTTGGATGAAAGTCGGCTCAATGGTCTACAGGTCTACGTTCAATCACTCTTCATCAACAGATATTCTCTTAATAAATTTTCGGACTCCTTCTTCGTTCCCAAAAAACAAAAATACTTATTTGTTTAATCGATTGAAAAGAGTTGTACTTTAATTTCAGAAAGTAGTCAATGTAAAGGTTTATTTACCCATTAGTTTCATTTTGCTATTCCTGAAGTTGATTAACTGGAGTCAGCCTTCTTTTTTTTCTGTTTTTTGAATTGCACGTTTCTAAGGTAATGCAATAAACAGAAGAAGTTTACCTTAAACGGCATTGTAAGTTTAGCAGTCCACTATCCTGTAACTCGCCTAAATCATTAATGTTCCAAAATCTTTTAAGAAGATCAATATACAAGACGATGATGGATGTTTTTTAGACTTTCATAGTAGATAAATATAGACAATATTTAATCCTACAAAAAGACAAAGTGACAGCTACTCGCGTGATTTAAAAATTTACACCAGCCCTGGATAAAACATCCAAAAGATAAAATGTTTAGATAGCAAAACCTTTTTTTCTTGTTGACAGTTATATGCTTTTACACGGATCTCAGAAGCGAAAATGTACGCAATTAAATGTCATAAACAACTGAAAGATATGAGTTCATAGACCACTCACTTAGCTATGGATTAAGACTTCATCGCTGATCTTAGTTCCAGCCCAACATATTATACAGATATGTAAGTGCATTATACTTACAACAAAGACATGTTATCAGTATTGCTGATGATTCTCTTCGCTGACAACACAAAAATAATCTATGACGGTGGAATGCAACCAACTGCGTAAAAAATTTAGTACAATTCAACATTTCATTACGACATAAACGTACAGTCAAAATTGACTTGCCTGGTAATGTAATATAATTGTCCATATAAGACCTAATGTAAGTCTTGGATTACCATCGACAATATCTTGTGCACCGACATTTTCAAGATGTGCTCCTTCTTCATAAAGAAAATCAAGTGCTTTATTGATATTTTCTAATTGATGGATTCTCATTCGACTATGATTAATTTTTGTCTGCAATAAAAAGTCAGTTACAGTAAAATTATCAGTCCACAGTTGATAAATTATTAGTAAATGTTGGCAACAGCTCTTTATTTTCAGGTACATGACACATGAATTTCAAGTAAATTAGCCTCTGAAGGTTAGATCATCGTTATTTCAACAGTTAAAATCTTAGTATATCATAATAAAAGACATAATAAGAAATAGTGAAACATTTTCAACTCTAGCAACTAATTAGAGTTCAGGGAAACATTTAACGAATGCATGATAAAAATCAAATGAAATCATAATTAGTTAATTGCGGTTGGTTAGATATTTGAGAAGAAACAGTAAGGCATTACACTTTATGAGTAAAGGAACATACATCGTACACATCACTCTAAATTCAACTTCATCGAAAATATGTAGTTCCTATAACGATGTTGTTAATCTCCTCTTCAAGGAACTATAATTCAACGATTCTCACTTTAGTGAATCTTTATCTATAGACTATAAGCCTAATCAAATCACTGAAGGCGTAATATTTTTAAAAGTGTTTATAATGTACCAGTTAACCAAAAGTTATGTAAAAGATAACGCATGCTTCATCCCGTTTTTTGGGCTTTTCATAACCATACAATTGTATGTGAATAGTTGGAACATAACATCTAAAATTAGTATTTTATAATAAGTATTTGTTATGCCACCTCTACTGTAGTCATACTGAATACTGCTTGGATAACCTAAAATTTTATTGATTTTACACTAAAGTGTTGATACTGCAAATAAAGATTATTATGTACTGTTTAACAACCTTAAAGTAGAACAAAATATTTGTTTAATAAATCTTTTTTCATGGTTCACGAGGGTGTTTGATACCTAAGTATTCTCGCCACACGATTGAGCTGCACTATTTAGATTAAAGCGTTGAAACTTATAAGGTGTCTGGCTTTCCTGTAAGGCGGGATTGAGCTGTACTGCTTGGATTAGGTCTGGGTGGTATCTGTCTCTCCTGTAAAACTGGATGGAGGTGTACTGTTTAGGTTATCACGTGAAAGTCTGGATAGTGTTTGTTTCTCCTGAAAACCAATGCAAAATTACCATGACTCATAAGGGTAATATTATATAGCTATCATTATATTTCTTTTTTGACTAGCAACCAAATACAATATACTTTGTTTCGTAACTCATTATTGACAATTTTCTTTTAAAACTGTTGATATTTATCTTTATGGTTATAAAATTCACGTAAATTCTTCACTGTCCAAGTCATAAAATAACAACAACAACAAAATACAGTAAATTTTATTTCTTAATGTACTTTCTATTTAGAGTATAAATATATAAACAGGTTTATTTAATCCAATGAATACAGAAAAATCATGTAAAGGTATCTAATTACTGAACCGATAAACAGTTTTGGTTTAATAACTATGATACTGGGTAATAGTGTAGTGAACAAGATGACAGATGGGGACAATTGAATGAATTAAAGCATAAAATTACAGACTATCTCAATAAAATCTGACAACCATATAGTAAACAGTTCATTTGCAAATTATCAATCAATTGTCTCCATCTTGACTGTTCCTTCTACAAATATCAGTACATAATCTTCGATTATTATTATTGTTCATTCATTTTCATACCAACTGCTTTTCATTTCTGTTCTTTCGTTATCGATCTTCTACGGAACTACATTCAATGTTCGATCATCGTTATATACCCCTCATGTGGATATAAGTAACCTACACCACACTAGTAGTACAATATTATTTTCTACATACTATACTGAATACAATCCGTTGTATATAGTAATTTAAATATACTTGTAGTGAACAATAACATAAGTGAGGACAATTGAATGTATTTGAACGCAAAATTACAGAACATCTTAGCAAAATCTGAGAACCATACAGTAAAATACTTCATTTACAAAATGTCAATTAACTGTCTCAAACTTGACTGCTCCATTTGCAAATATCAATCAATCGTCTCAGATTTCATTGTTCTTTCTTTCATCTTCTTAAGCTTATCCGGAGAGATATGTTACTTTCGATCGATGATATATACTACTTATATCTGACGATATCAGTAGCACTTATCACATACTCAAGCTTTAACTGAAACATAGTTATAAGGGACTAAAACATCTACTTAGTTCGATAAAGCGATTATCATTTCTTTTTCTTCGCTTTGAATCTATTTACATGAATAAACTATTTCGACATTTCAATAATTGAAGAAAGCGAACTATAGTTTGTTCAAAAGTAACTCATCAATTATGTCTACAAAACTAAACATTCCAAAGTACCAACCCCTTTAAACTTTATTTTCACTAGTTTTGTAAACATGTGTGAACATACTAAGTTAATACATTTTGTTGTGTACTTAATAATTTGATGACAAGTTCATATTTTGATACTGGAAAGCTGTTTTTGAGAAGTGTTTCCAATAGATAAAATCACCAGTAATCTTTCTGTTCTGTATGGTTTAATAGAATAACGGACTGCCTTTTGTATAATATGTGTACGTCTAAACATTAAGCAGAAGTTTTATAGCCATTCAAAGTATTGTAAGTAAATCTTTTTTATCGTTTGCACATATATACCTATCACGTTTTCATTTATTAACATCCCACCAATTAGCTTTATTCCAAATAGCCTTTGATTCTCAGTTAGAAGAAATTATCTACAACAACACTTTTTTTTAGACTTAATGTAAATACAGAAAGAAATATTGCAAGATATTGAACTCCTTCATTTTATTGTTTAATTGATGAGTCTATTGAAGCTAGAGAAACATCGAAAACCCGGAAGTACTGGATTGCTGTTTTGTCCTAGTATGGGATATATATCAGCAGTGCGCATCCATGATCCCACCTCACCAGATATAAACGCTGGTTGTATCAGTGTTGCATGCGAACGTTTAACCTTGAGACCACTGAAATTACCGGCATCCAACAGTGTTATTTCCTAACTTCAACTAATCCACGAAATTCAGAAATCATCCACCATTGTCTTCAGTGAATTACTATCTCACAACAGACCTAGGTTTTCTATGATGGTCTAGCTTCAATTGACTCTAAAATCAGTCATCATTTAACTCTTTTACCTAAATAAAATACATAGCAACAAATTTTTTTGTATACAAATTCCATTATTTTTTATTTAAAAGTTATTCGATAAACAACATACCAATAAAAAACTAATCAGTTTAATGTACAAATTAATAAATCTACTTAACATAAATAGTTTCGACAGATCTGATAACTTTAGTTTTTTTAATATTTAAGTTTTCCATTCTGTTTTTTTTATTTTTTTCGTTTTTTTTTGTTTTTTTTTTAGTTGACAAGTTCATAAGCTATTCAATTAATTCTTTATTACTATGATACTTCTGTTTTTTTTCATTACTTCAGGTATACATAGTGATTACAATCTCACCTCTTCATATATACACTTGAAACAGTTGTATTCATTTGACATTTGGAAATATGTCAACATATATTATATATATATATATATATATATATATATATATATATATATATATATATATATATATATATAACTATGATATATGTATTATATTGTATTGTATAAGCTTGATGAAGTATACCTTTCATTCAATAATCCAAACTTTTTTTTTCTTCCCATACAATCAAATAATTTACTTTCAAATAAGTAGTTTAATCAAAAAAAAAGTTTTTTTGTGTGGATATTTCTTATAACATTATTTCTAGAGGGGGGATCATTTGAAATCATTGGTTTCCTCCTTTTCTTTTGTTTTTTTTTTACTCTTTTTCAATAGTAGACTAATAAATCATTAGATATTTATCATTTTGAGTTATATCATATTTTCACTATTAATTGAATTAGATCAATGAATAATGAAATATGATCAAAATTGTTTTATTAAATATAATTTAATAATGAAATTTTGAAAAATAGTTCACAACCATTGTATAATTTCATTAGTTGAAATTATGATCCAATGAAGCTAGATAATCATGGAAAAATTGCAAGCAGTGGATGGCCGTTTCGTTCTATCGTGGGATTCCTCAACTGTGCGCATCCACGATCCCGCCTCACGAAATTCGAACTCAGGATCTATCAATCTTGCACGCGAGCGCCTAACCTGTAGACCACTGAGCCAGCATCGAATGGTGTTAATGTCTAACTTCAACTGATTCATGAAATTGAGCGATACATCCACCATTGTCTTCACAAAACTCCTTCTGGTATATTGTATAAGTTAGTATATCCATACCTATAAAACATGTATTAAGCATACTTATACTCTGATCTTCAACTATCTATAGTTTAGCTGGTTGAAAGGTTGATGAAAAAGCAGTAGAATGAAATGAAAAATTGTCTATTATTTCTTCCATTTAATTCATATCAAGATGAAATCTAACTAGATATCTTAATACTTAAGCTGATTTGTTTTCAATTGTTATTATTTATTACCTTTTAAAACTATCAATCACTTACATATATTAGACTCTATTGTTTTGAAAAAGACAATATAATAATGGTTTATTTGACCATATAGCTTAAAATGTTTCATACGGTTAAACATTGCTATCTGAGGATCTGATTATTATTCAAAGTATAGTAACCACCAAAAGTTTAAAGAAATAATAAAAAAAAGTCAAGTTATTTTCTCTTTATATGTATATGTTGAATTTGTTCTTGTAAAATAACTTACAATTATTACAACTTATCTATTAGTTGTATCTTTGGTTTTTTTTTACAATAAATCCTCTCATAATTTCAACTATAAAATTAGTGAAATCTTCACAAAAACCATTCTAATAATAATAATCAAATGCTCACCAATGACTGAATTGAAGAGATATTTCGTGGAGTTCTAGTGAGAAGCAGTGACCAGTGGAGTTGAAGCCACGTCTGTTGTGAGATGTCAACTGACTGAAGACAATGGTGAACAGTTGAAGTTAGACATTAACACCGTTGGATGCCGGCTCAGTGGTCGAGTGGTTGAGCGGTCGCTCGCGAGACTGACACATCCTGGGTTTAAAATCTCATGGGGCGGAATTGTGAATACACACTGCTGAGAAGTCATACATTAGGACGAAACAGATGTTCAGTACTTCCAGGTTTTCTATGGTGGTCTAGCTTCAATTAATTCATGATTTCATCCATAAAATGTGATTCCTTGAATATAATGATTTCCCATGAACAAAATGAAATTATTGAATAAATTCACAATATGATTAGCATATATAAAACTATGACTTCGATAGAGCTAATTCAGTTAATTTAAAACAATTCTTATGTAACTCTTATTAAATAATCCATGTCCGTAATGATACATTCAATTATGTTTAGTTATAATAGAAAAAAACCGCAATAAATCAATCTATCCAATATCCATAACATTGCAAAACATTTAACAATTATCTTCAAATCAATATTTCTAGCACTTTTCTTTTATCTGATTAGATTACATTAATTAATCAATAATTATTATGTAACCATCATTATTTCATTCATTCATGGTCTGGATTCTTACATCATCATCATCATATCAAAATGATCCCTTTAAGACAACTTCAAATGATATTTTTGTTATTAACATGAATGTCATTGCTTGTATGAAACAACAATTCTTTACATACCAATACAATGATATGTTATGGTCAGAAAAAAAAGGGAAAAAAAAGAAATATTTGAAAAATCTACTTACAAATTGTCTTCCTGATAGTAATTCTAATAGACGAAGTAATATTCTTCCATCACGTAAATCATTATATAATTCTTTAACTAAATAAGTATGTTCAATAGTATGAGATCTATGTATAGATGATGATAATTCCCATGATGTTGAATGTGATAATTTATTCATTGAATGATGATTAGTCCAATTATTATGTAATTCATTTGGATATGATAAATAATTAAGAAATTCTGATGAAAATACTCCATCTAATTGTGCATTAATCCAATTAGTAAATAAACATTTTTGTATATGATCACGTTCATCTGTATAGTTAAAAATTATGAAATGAATTAGTTGTGGTTAAATACCAAGAAGATGTGTAACAGTAATACACATCACCTCTACATACATAGTTTAATGTATTACTTACCCTACATCTTTACGTGGTACTGCAGTGAACAAAACATGGATGGGGACAATCAAATGGTTAATATCACGCAGATATCAGTTACAATATATCATGTATAGCTTTTATCTTTAACTATTCATTAAACACATATTGTAGTGAACAAAACACGTGAGAAGACAATCGAATGTATTTAAGCACAAAATTACAGACTATCTCACCAAAATCTGATAACCATAAAGTAAACAGTTAATTTACAAACTATCAATCAATTGTCTCAATCTTGACTGCTCCTTCTGCAAATATCAGTTCATCTTCTCTGATTTCATTGTTCCTGCTCTTTCCTTATCGATCTTCTAGTGAAATATATAATATGCCTGATCATTACCATATCCTACTTATATAGATATAAGTAACCCATACCATAGTATGAAATCTAGACAAAACGCATGCATATAATATTCATCTCTACTGACTTTGATATGTAATTTAAAAAATATGATATAAAGAAATATGTTGACTGTCTGCTAAAGTAAAGTAAAGCAAGGTACAATAATTCATACTATAAGAATTTCATATTACATTGTTTTTCTAATCTAAATAATTAAAAATTTCTGAGAAAAAAATTAATAGTTGAAATCGCGAGTCTTTTGAAGCTAGACCAACATGGAAAACCTGGAAGCACAGCCTTAAAGCGGTTTCATCCTATTGTGCGACTCCTAAGCAGTGTGTATTCACGATCCCACCTCGCGGGTTTTAAACCCATCATCTATTAGTCTCTCACGCGAGCGCCTAACTACTAGACCATTGAGCTCACTGGCATCCAACGGTGTTAATTTCTAACTTCAACTAATCCACAAAAGCGCTCGCGCGCGAGACTGATAGATCCTGGTTTCGAATCTTGTGAGGTGGGATCGTCAATACACACTGCTGAGGAATCCCACAATAGGACGAAACCGCATTAAAGCAGTGCTTCCAGGTTTTTCATAGTGGTCTAACTTCAATTGACTCATGCATTCAACTATATAAAATTACTAAAATCTCTACAAAACCCTCTTCTGATAAAAAAATAATATTTTGAATGTTTTTATTAAAACAATATTTATAATTTTTTAAGTAAATTCATTAGATTATTTTTTTTTTAAAAAAAACACAAAAACAACAATGTTCTTTATGTTTACTTAACAACAGTGAACTCAAGAAAAAAAAGAGAAAAAAAAGTGTAAACCTGTTGTTTTCAGACAGTAACTAATTAACACGTGAATTTCATCAATAAATAACATCATAAAGGCATTTTGAAAAAGAAAAAAACACGAAAATAAATGTTAATCTACTCCATACACACACACAACTAATAAAGATTCAAGCTTATTGTAATAGAAAGAAAAGAAAGAAGGAAAGAAAGAAAAAAGAGTAAGTTTGGCAAATTAAATTAAAAATGAAACGATGGAAATTAATTATTTTATGAATACAAATAAAAATTTATTATTTTTTCTTTAAAAAAAATTTTCAAAAAATAAAAAATATTTTTTATTTGGCTTAAATTGTTTTTTTTTTGGTTTTTTTCCTCCAAACAGATTCATTGTTACGTTGGTAGTTATTATATTAAGACTTTTTATAAAGAACTGAATATTTTTTCAAAATCACTTAATTCAATTTGATCTAATTTATTTATAAATTGTTTGATTGATCATTGGGTGGTGATCAATGCCATGTATATCAAATACTTCTTAGTGTAGATCAAATCTTATCGACCAAGTTGCAATGTGGTCACTAGTCTAAGTGACTCTGATCATGAAGGTGAGTGACACAGGATTGAATTTGTTAGGGAGTATCAGTTCCCTTAAGAATACAGGTACATTTGGCTGATGAGTGCCAGGTAGTACGAAACCTAGGGCCAGGGTTTCCTGTTGACTACCTTCAACCACCATCTAATCTTATTCATTCAGTTTATTGTGAATTAAAAATGGTAATAAATAGGTAAATAGGATGATAACTACTTTTTTCAAGTTATCTCGTATCTGTTAGCAACCCTTAATTGAGTTTCATAAATGAGTTATTATGTTCAGTCCAACTGTCTTGTCGCTTATGTTATCTAAATTAAAAACGATCTCAGATCGGAGCTATATATCTACACTTTGAAATGAATAATTCATTTAGGATATTTTTAGGTGATCAGTTCAGTTTACAACTAATTTTCTTTAGATACTACATCTGTTAAAAAGCCAATGAAGATTAGTGAACATCAGATAGTTATTTCACCCTAGATTTAATTACGAAGTTATTACATAACATTTCTAAATGGATTTGTCATTCATCGTTACGAAAAATCTGCCAATAGGTAGAAGACAATTCAGTGTTACAATGTTTAAAAAACACTATGTTTCATTCTCTAAAAGTACAGCTTAATTTCTCAAAATATCTGCATAATTGTTTTGGATCATGAACTGTTACATCTCTTGTTTGTCCAATTGTGAAGCACTTATTATATTTTCAGTCAAACTTAATTGAGTCAAGGAAAAATGACCTATTTATGATTGCAGTCTACTGTGCCATCAAACATTTCCGGCACACAGTAGAAGTTCGCGATTTCATCTTATTCACCGACCATATGCCTTTAACGTATGCTCTGCATACCAATTCCGACTGTCACTCACCACGAAAGTGCAGACATTTAGACTATATCTCTCAGTTCAAAAGAGACCTTCTTCACGTCAAAGGCGAGTCAAACTATGTTGCCGATGCTCTGTCACGTATCCAGGTAAAGGCAGTTACTTTGCCGGTGTTTGATCTCCCTCCTATGACCGTCGCCCAAGTAAATGATCCTTCATGTACAGGAGCACAACATTCTACACCCCTTCAGTGTCGAGAAGTACCCCTAGCAACTAGCTCAGCTACTATCCTGTGTGATATTTCTAATGGTCTTTCCCGATCCATCATACCCTTTGCTTGTCGTCGTCTAGTCTTCGATGCCCTGCATACACCGTCTCATCCATGTTTAGAATAATTGTAATAATTAATTGTGTGTAGTTAGAGAAATACCAAGATATATTCATTACAAAACTTTAATTTATCTTCATAACTATATATGAAGTAACTTTCCACAGTCTAAAACGGTTTCTCATCTACCACCAAATAAAACTTACTATTTAGAAAATATTCTGTTGAAGCCTAATTTTTAAAAGATTTCCAGAACTATTGCTAGTTTTCTTGTTGTTATATATATAATCGCATTGACATTTGGGAATACTTAGTAGTTAGATCATCTCATTTACATAGAGATAAAACTAAGTACCAACTTAAACAATAAGATGAAGTTGCTATGTCAATGTAGGGAAATATAACTATGTTCGTCGAACTTTTAAAAACTGTTAGTAGAATCAACTACAAATAAGAAATAAATAATTGAAATAATGTCAATTACTATAAGCAAAGATGGATAGTGGCTAGCATAGGAATTCAGGACACGCGTTTCATCCAATTCCAGACTCGTCAACTGAATGTACCTGCATCTCAAATTTGATGTTCACTCTGGGAGGATCTCCAACCCAGCAACTTTTGCTTCAAACGCAAACGCGTTATCCACTCAGCTACTGAGTCCTGATAGCTACTTGCTTGTGCAATGGAGTGAAGTTTAAATTCAGTTGATATACTTTGTTTGAATCTTTCCATTGATGTTTAGGACTGCGATTGATCAGTCTCTTATTGGCATATATGCATACTGTGTGTATTGCAGTCCTAAACATCAATGGGAAAATTCAAATAAACAAAACCAAGTGAATTTAATGTCAATTACTGTTTATCTCCTGACAACTGATTTTAATTAATTACAATTCTAAGTAATATAAGTAATATATTTTCTTCTTTTAATGTTTATATGAACTCCCCTCCTACACACACACATGCACATATTTGTGTAACAGACAGAAATGTGTAATCATTGTTTTCGAAAGATTGCTTACAATTTTACTGTCTTTTGATATTTGTAGACATCAGCTGTTATTGTTTTGTTGTTTTTTCGGGAAAAAACGAACACTCTAAAATGTATTAGCGTAGAATATATAGCAGAATAAATATGATTGTCCATTTTATATAAACCCTAAATATATCTTTTTACCAATACAATCAGAATCACAGTAGTATGATAATTTACTGAAGAGACCAAGTTTTCATCTGCAACTTTTGGATTTTCATTTAAAACGTTTTTTTAAAATAATATTCATTTACTTTTATGAATGGACGATACTTTCAAAAATGAATGATCATTCATAACAATAGGACACATTCAAAATCAATTCTTGATAACAAGCTCGGTAACGTTATAATTTATGGACGAACATTGAGCGACGCTAAAGTGATCTTGAAAATGTCCACTTACTGATTAGGACTAAATGAGGGTTTTAAAACTGTGTGAAGGATAAGGATGGTGATTTACAGTTCATGGTTGGGAATAGAGATTAGATTTAGGGTTTTCATCACGAAATGACATCAGCTAAAATGTCAAGATGCTATTTACTCAATTAGATGAATGAATTTCAATCTGTAATCCAAGACATGTTATAGTAAATCTGATTGAATCGTCCATAAATTATAGTCTCAACACAAGCTCCATGATTAATTACACAAAAAAACTGCAAAAAGTATTTTCTTTAGATAGACCACATCTATTAATCCTCTCTTAGTATATATTTAACACTAAACAGACCATCGCTCATTAACTTTAGACGGTCGAAATTTTGTTTGTAAAATGTTTATCTTTGAGTATATGTCAGTGTAATATGATGAACTACAAGTAGTTTAGGGTTAAGATATATATACGCCTTCAGAAACAAAACTAGCTTATTCAAATTGATTTTAATACTAATTGCTTTTTCTTTGATCTGTACCATTCATAATGAGTGCTGTAACTTAATGCAAGATGATAGTTTCCTAGAAATGACCAGTTTTGAATGAAAACCTTTTGTCAACACATCAGTTTCATAACATCACGCAGATATCAGTTACAACAAAGTATTGATAGTTTTTATCTTTGCCTATTCATTAAACACATATTGTAGTGAACAAGAACACAGGTAAGTACAATCGAATGTATTTGAGATAAAAATTACAGAATATCTCATTAAAATCTGACAACCATACAGTAAATAGTTAATTTGCAAACTATCAATCAGTTGTCGCAATCTCGACTGTTCCTTCTGCAAATATCAGTCCATCGTCTCTGATTTCATTGTTCATGCATTTTTATACCGACTGTGCTTCGTTCCTGGTCTTTCCTTATCGATCTTCTGCCAAAATACATTCTATGCCTGACCATTGTCATATACTACTTATGTGGATATAAGTAACGCAAACCACAATATTACTGATTGATTCGAACACTCTTTACCAATTTTAAACCTATTCTAAATAAACTCTAAGTAGATTAAAATAAATCTAATCTTTATTATAGTTACTTAGGCCATTATAAATGATAGTTATTATTAAACAAGCTTGTATAACATGTTATTTATCATTGTATACCATCATCAGATTAAATAACTGTATATTATCATTCAAGTTAATTCAAGCATGTCAAATCCTAGAAATTAATTAGATAAACTATAAGTGTTATTCTCTTGAAATCTTAAGTTTAAACACTTCCCTGAAATCTTATTTCTTGCATATTAATAACCACAAATGCAGATTCTTTATTTGTGGTTTCAGACTTTATATTTAAGGTTACGCGACAACTAATCAAGACAACTGTTATCTCACTAATCTTTGGATTATAATTATGATATCACACTGCAAACTATGAAGAATTACAGTTAGGAGGATAAGGATTATCCATGTTATATGTAACAAACTATAGGTATAGGAAATAATACATATTCTACTAGTAAGAAGGTGTAATCTCATCAGATTTACATTGAGACTTTCATTCAAATGTAAAATGTCAAGTTATATTCAAAGAATGGGATAGTATAGAAACTATCTAAAAGTTAGATTGAAAAAGATCAAATGTAATCAATGTGTAAAAAGATCTTATCACATTTTGCAAGTAGTGAGTATGTATTAAGTCTAACCAAGCTACTTGAGATAGTTTTATTATCTTATCAGACCATTCAACTCATTAGTTCTCACAACCGTTCAGAGTTGTATGGTTTTCGACAAACCTCTAGCTAATATTAGTCTATGGCAAAAACCGTCTTCAAGAATATTTAACCACTAGTCATAACAATACAAGTCACTAGACAGTGACTTCAGGGCAGTGATCTGGTGTTATTCATGACCAGAGGTGTTCAATAAATTAGTTATTTCCCGACAGCATTGGATGATTGTTGCATCACGTTATGCCTTATTTAGGTGTTATGAATGTAGATCATGAGATTCTAAATCGATAGTGTAAAGACAGTACAATCTACATGGAACATAAAATTCCTGAATGTACTCCTTGTTTTCACTTCACTGAGATTTTTATTTGCTTCTCAGCTGATATCGATCCTTGACAAGAATCATAAACAAATTAAACTAATCTTCACAAACAGACACTGAGTACTTATTTATGACTTATGAAGATTATGGAAATCTAAATAAGAAGAATGTATTTGTAAAATCCCCAAAGCAAGGGCAGCATTTCTACAATTGAAGAACATATGGAACTCAAAACAACTGTGAACTAATTTCAGAGTGAGAATCTTCAATACGAACGTCAAGACAGTTCTACTGTACGGAGCTGAAACGTGGAGAACTACTATATCCATCGTCAAGAAGGTACAAGTATTTATAAACAGTTGTCTACTCGAAATACTCAACATTCACTGTCCGGATACTATCAGCAACAGTGTTTTATAGCAGAGTATAGAACAGCTTCCAGCTGAAGAGGAAATTAGGAAAAGATATTGGGAGTGGATAGGATATACAATGAGGAAATCACCAAAGTGCCTCACGAGACAATCCCTAACTAGGAATTCTGAATGGAAGCGGAAAATAAGAATGTCAAAGAACACATTACACCGAGAGATCGTAGCAGATATGAAAAGGATGAATGTTAAGTGGAAAGCACTGGAAAGGATTGCCCAGGACAGATTTGGATGGAGAATGCTGGTGTGCGTCCTATGCTTCTTCACGAGTGGTAATAGGCGTAAGTAAGTAAGTAATCTGCAAAATCTCAGTGAATCGATTTGAAGTAAATCTAACATTTCAGCTGGCAATCTGGTTCAAGCTTTTTCAAGGAAATATAATAAAACAACAAAATTATCTAATATAATTAGGTAAATTCATTGAGATTTTACAAATATATTCTTCTTATTTAATGTTTCATATTAACTTGGCGCCCAACTACTATGAAACTATTTAATCAAAATTTAAATGAAAGTTTTTTCTATCTAATGAACATCTGTTTATTTAAAAAAAAATGTATCATAATTTATCAATCTTACGGGGAAAAAAAAGAAAGGAAAAGTAAAAAAAAAAAGAAAAGAAGAAAAAGAAGTTTAAGTTATCTTTATTAGATAATCAGTAGTATTTCATTATTTCTATTCATATTACTGATACTTATAAGATAGTTTTAAATCTGTTTACTAATATAAATAGATAATAGATAATTAAACCTGTAATTTTTTAAATTTGATTTTTTTTTCGGTTTGTTCAAAAAGTCAAGTTAATTAGATGATAAATTTCTTGATTATTTTCTTGTTTTTTTTAATTTTTCTTCCTTCGAAGTAAAATTAATGATTAATAGTTTTTGTTACATTGTTTAATGTTTTACATTTCAATATAAAGTATATATCGTTTGATGAAACTGTTACTTTGTATAAAATTCACGTTTTTGTCCTGTGAACTGGATAGCTTGGTTGTGAAGCTTTTATCCTCTTTCTGAACGGCATCATCAGTACAAACTTTGGGTAGAAGTGAAGTGTTTCAATTTATTCACATGTAGTTCACAGCTTTTCCTGTACACCTTGATGATGATTGGTTGTTGACCTTAAATCTGTCTGTTTTGGTTGTATCTCACATTGGGTTGATTTTGTATATATAACTTTTTTTGAATTTGACATAAATTAGTTTAACTGACAGATATTTTATGCTACACAACTACTTCCTTACTTACGCCTGTTACTCCTAGTGGAGCATAGGTCACTGACTACCATTCTCCAACCCACCCTGTTCTGGACTTCATTTATAGTTCTATCCTATTCTTGTTTATTCTTCTCATATCTGTCTCCATTTTTCGAAGTAATGTGTTCTTTGCTCTTCCTCTTTTCTTTCCGCCTTGAGGGTTCCACGTGAGGGCTTGTCTTGTGACGCAGTTGGGTGCTTTCTTCAATGTGTGTTCTATCCACTTCCAGCACTTCTTCCTGATTTCTTCCTCCACTGGAATCTGGTTTGTTCTCTCCCACAGTAGAATGTTGCTGATAGTTTCTGTTCAACGGATCTGAAGTATTTTGCGTAGACAACTGTTAATAAAAACCTGTAACTTCTGGATAATGGCTTTTATAGTTCTCCAGGTTTCCGCTACATACAGTTGAACTGTCTTGACATTTGTATTGAAAATTCTGATATTAGTTTCCGTTTACAATTGTTTTGAGTTCCCGATGTTCTTCAGTTGTAACTATGCTGCTCTTGCTTCGCCGGCTACACAACTAACTAACTAACTAAAATGATTTCAGTTAATTAATTTAAATATCCGTGTATATCGGCTTTGTGAAGGGAAATTTATTAGAACTATACTCTTCAAATTACTGTATAATGGGGACAGATTTTAACTCAAACAAAAATCATCTAAATTGTATATCCAATTATTACCATACATACCGGTTGATATTTCATTATTGATTATTATGAGGTAGCTATTTTTGAACAACATTAGAATATTTGGAAATCAGAACAGAACACATCAACATTAAACTCAGTTCAATAAAAAAGCTAGATTAAAAAAATAGACGAAAGTGTCCATTTAGACTATTTTGAAAAACAAGGCCTATGTATTGAATTGATATAGACAGTTAAAGTAAGCTTGATAATCCTCTTCTTTATTAGCTGAGATTGATAATAGTGCCATTATAGCTTGGAATATCATCTGAGTTATTAAACTTCAAAAGCTTCAAAGTAAGTAAGATAATATATATAAAGTGCAATAAATTAAAAGAAGCCCATTTTGTTAACCTTTGGACATGATTTATACAATAAGTTTTTAGTTGTTTCATTACACAGTTAACTAATGAATGCTAATAATAAGAATGTTTTAATTAAAACACATGGATCTACTATCAACTATGCCTTAGTGATAAATTAGAAAAATGATAAATGTGATGAAACATTTTGTGAGTTAAAATGCAAATGAAAGTTTTAAAAAAATAACCGGTTATTTTGTGGTTATTTGTATAATTTATAAGTATTTTTAATTTGTTAGGTGACAATAATTTTTTTATTTTAGGACTACTTTTATCTAACAAGTCTGCTATAATCATGTTTATTACACTTCTCGATAGAAACTTATGTTACCTGATAAGTCCAATGATGTACATGATTGCTGTACAGAAACCATATAAAAATAAGGCAAAATAAATATTTGATACCTTAATTTCTATATCTATGTGATACGTAAATTCCTTATAAATTTAGTTGTATGAGAATGAAAAAACTCTGAAATAAATTGTCTCCCTCCAAATGAACTGAAGTTACTAAGTTTATAAGTATTGATTAATGAGACATCAAACCATTTATATATTAAGAATCACTCCATACTTGCTTTCCAAAACAAACAGGGTTGAAATCCTTCAAATTTTTGACGTAATTGCTAGTTAGGTTAAAATTCCAGAGCAAAATATATTTGCCCAACCGCTTAAGTTACCTTGGTCAACTGCGGGTCAAATAAACCAACAAACACTTTTTAAAAGCATGAAAACACATAACAGTACTGACGTTACAGAAAATATCTAGTGGATGTATTTTCAAAAATTAACTGCCTCCGAAATTTCATCGAAAAAGTCTTAAAAAATCAACGGTCAAATACGCAATAAACAAATAGTTTTGCCCCATTTAAAAAAGGTGTTTAATATCACAAACAAATAACTGAAACCGCTAGTAACATGTTTAACCCCTAGACGAAACAAATCCCTGTAAACAATATTATGCTAACTAATAAGCTTATCGAAAGACAAAAACGAACCAAATGTCATCTAAAAATCGCAAACCAGCAACTGTAATAGACGCTATGTAGGTAGACGTACTTGCCCTCTTTTTCTACGTTTGCATAAATATCACTTGACTACAAAATTACACGACTTATTTTCACTTAGATTAATCTATGTTGATATCTGTGGACATGAGTACTATTGGGAAAGTTTCAGAATATTGGTTGGAATGAACACCAAAAAAGTCAAGCAACTTATGGAATCCTGCCACTCTATTCGACTATCAATCAACAGACATACCAAAATTAACCAAATATATCAGCTGACAAGAGTAAGTAATAACGATGATAAAGCCGAAGTTTGAATCAAAAGCAAAAACAACCGAAAGAAGCGTATAAATTGAGACCAAACTATTGTGAATAACAGTCAATAATATTTCTGGTCAATAGAACAAAATGCTGGCCAATTATGGGGAAATTCCAATAGCTCACTTGTTTTTAGAGTATGTGCTGGGGGGGTTCATGCAAAATGACAACAATAGCTTTACAACCATTCCACCTACATCGGAGATTACAGCCCTTTGAATATGTGCATCATAAGTTAAAATAATCTTTGCCGTTTCAATGATAAATTTAATATAGAGATAAATAAAGTTAAAATTCAACGTTTGCCTTCGAATTTTCATGAATTAAAGTTACCTCATTAAAATATCGTCATTACACTTATATATCATTTTATGGTTAGCATCATCACAAATGTTGTAAACGCACAAGGAATTCAGTTGGCGATCACTAATTTAAACTATTTTTTACTAAATTTATGTCATTCTATGCATTACTTATGCTCAAATCAGAGATTTTATTTTATTTGTAACTATGGTACTATTTCTGTTGTCTAGTGCTATATTTATTCAATCTGATTAATAATCGCATAAACGTGATCTACCTACAAATTTATCTAAGTTAACATTACATGCTAGTCTTTTTAAGCTACTAATTTTATCCTACCAACAATCATAAATTCATATGCCGTGATTTTTATCTGATCTATCCACCTCATTTGCATTTAGAACTGCTCCATACACCATATAGACAAACTGTGTAAGTCGAGGTTTCCAACGTAAAAGTTAAATAGGAATCTGAGTGGTAATTAACATTTAATCAAGCGTGAATCACTCCTAGTATTCACTTGGTTCACTTGACGCTACATGAACACTTTTACCATGACATGCGGTTCAAGTGGACGATAATAATGCGATTTAAGTACTCTTATACAACTCTTGAGCTTTTAATAAGACAACATGCAAAGTTTCTACTTTAAGTTATGTAATTAATTTTTCTTAACCTGATTTGACTTTTTACACAGACAATGTCCAAATTTTGAGAGAACATGAGTTATTTGATGGCTACCATTTTCTTCTGTTTGTAAGTAGTAATGATATCTAGTCCTAGTTTTACTTAAAATCTATATATTACCGGATAAAAATGGTTTTCACAGCATTTTGTCATAGCATTTTGAGAACATGTTTACCGTTTACAATGCGGACTGAGAAGTCCTAAAGAAGATAGATAACAGCTGACGACTATGAAACGTTTATAAACAAAGTTATTATAACTTTTATCTCACAAATCGTGGTGGTGAAAAAATAATGAGAGTTCACTAAATTTATGGATTTTGTTAATACTTGTACTAACCATAATTTTTAGTAATATGCCTCAGAAATCAACACACATATTTTATATTGCATTCAAAGAAATTTCTTCGGGAAAGTTCAAAATGACATACAGATATATCTGTAGCCTGTGAAAAAAGGTTAAAAAAAGCGCTTGTTGAATTCATTTATTTAATTGGCCATCTGTAGATAAAGGATGCAGAAATTCTAGAGAACAAAGATAAAGATAATTAATGTCGTTAGTTGAGTGATACCTTTTAAACTTGGTCCTATTAGGTTCATCGCTCGTGCAGTAAATCCTGCCAGGAAGCATTTTCATAGGCCGTTTTGAGGCTACAGTGTGACTAGGAAGATTTTCTTTAAAGCTTTTTTATTTGAAATGCTTATCAATTACTAAAACTGATTAACATCATATTCTCAACTTCCATCATCAAGGAAAAACTGAAATTCGTCCTTTGTTTGTACTGAAATATTCTATGAAAGCTTAAAGACGAGATAAATCGCTAATGTAATCGCTGCTACAAAACATTTACAGCATATCCTTATCCCGGTATAATGATTCAGTTTTATATGTTAATTTCAAAACTAGTAGTTTGAACAATATGTTTTTAACCACATCAAAAAAGCACGCATCAACATTTTCTGCATCTTATAGGCTGTAATTCGGTAACTGATTAAATTAGTTATAAAACATATATTCATAATTCAGAGAAGTAGGAATTACTCCAAACACTCGATACGGATATATATATATATGGGAAATTTCAAAAACAAAATGGAAAGTATGTAAAATACCGACCTGCAAGATTTTTAATACGTGATTTTTCATAAAGGTTAAGACTCATCGATAATGTTAAAGTACATGAACCGTTTTCGAGCTTGATAACAAGTTATGTCTTTTAAAAAAGTCACATTTAAGGTTTAGTCTAAGAATTTAAACAACTCTAATGCCTTATCTCTTTTTGAAGAAAAATACAACCAGTTTTTAGTATTTGAATTTTTTATTTTGTTTTATTCACAAATCAAGCTAAGAATTATTTGTATTCGCAACTTCCACTTCTCATATTGTTTTTAACGTTTACATTTGATCTAATATTGAAGATCACTTGAGGTGCTTTTTTCTCAGTATCTCTTTTTATTAGTGGTACTTCTCTGAGATCAAGGCAACGGTTATATAGTACTATATCAATAATCATCTTTGTGGTGTTGAGTACATCTCAAAACAATTTCAAAAATTTTCGACATTGAAGCTAACATTATTAACTTTATTAGACACGCTCCTATTTGAGACCTCTAAGCCAACCATTCACATAAAACCACAATTCGATACTCCGTACTGCTTATCTATTATGAAAACAAACCAGCTTAAGTCGAAGGCACTTTCGTATTTTAACCATTAATCAATATGTCATCGCATATCATCACCCTTGACTTCTACATTTACTGATTTAGAAACCTTTTTAAAAGTGACGATTTGAGTGGTGGGGTCAGTAAATATTGCATATCTGTAAAACTTTATCAGTGAGCGTCAATGTAATCTGGCAAACCTCGTGATGTACTGTTAGTTTTTCCATTGTTACAACGTTTACATATATTTTTGTACATTTTGAAATTTTTATGTTCTTCGATTGTCTAACTCATGTTGATTTGTCTCATACTCTTTTTTTCTGAAAACGCACTGAACTATATAATAATTAGGACTTCTTCGTCCTCTACCCTATAAAGAAAGCTACTTTAACTCGATAGGTCTGGTTCACCCATGTAGAAGCTCATCATCAGGAGCTTGGATTGACAGACTTTCTTCACAAAAACAGAAATACTGCCTCGAAAGTTTACCGGGTACGCTACACCTACTGTGTATATTGGCAATGCTTCAAAACACTAGGGGTCTTCGGATTAGTCTACCTTTAAAATTATAGAACTCCGTACCACCCCCACTAACTTTCCAAGCATTAATAACGATCGCAGAAGGCCAGTAAGTACTCATAGAATCCCATTAAAGTGAAGATCAGGTTTCAGACCGCGAGAAACAAACAATTCTTCATGGTGTTTATACCACAACTTCTTTGACAAGTATTTCAAACATTTCATAAAACCTTATAGTTTGCCCATCTTTAAAGGTAGTTGTCCAAATGGTTTGAGTAACCATTGTGGAAGCTACGCACAGTCAAGACTTCACACATGTTGTGGGTAATTAGGGCAGTAAAATATTCTCGGTGGGGTGTAGGAAAACTGCTAGAAACCATTATCGAAGGATGTATTTACGTTGTATATAGCAGAACACTGACTTCCGCGGCATTCTGTGATAAAATATCCCCGAATAACAACATTTTACATCGGGTATGTCCGTTAACAGGTAAGATCAAATTACTACAAATGCTGCAGGCTTTATTGAGTTACTCAATTAGGTTGATGTGTTGCAAGGCACATTTGTCATAGAAATAGCTGATGAATTTCCATACATTAGAATACTAATGTTGGAAGAACTCAAATGTTCAGTATAAGGGTTCATGCGCTTTATGGAGGCTACTTTGCAACAAACAACTAGTGATCGAGAATGCATGCAAGTAAACTCTGGAACTGTTAATAATAATAATAATGTGGTGAATACCTAATCAGACAGTAAAACGCGTACGCTTTACGAATTATTTCGTGCTTCTTTCCAAGGATCCCGGATACATTTCGGAGGTATTGATGACGATTCAGGACGAAGTCATTCGTTCCACATGCTTTCGGTAGCATATAACGAGAGTGCCGAAAAAGAGAGACAAAAACGGAAAAGCGAGCAGTGGGACGGACATTGTTTATGACTACTGATGTTTATTTATTTGTGATGGCCAGTAACACCACCCTCCTTCCTTCTTCGATGTCGGGCTTTCTTACGTTTGTTGTATGTGTTAGTATTGCTGTAATCCAAGCTCTGTGTTGCACATCCTTTTGGAATAAATCATACCTACTAGTCCCACATCACAAGCAATTCAAACAGCTAAGGCTTTCGTATTGTGGGTTGGACATCCAGTTACATTATCACATTGCTCTGAAGCTAACTACAGTTACTAGATACTAGTCAGATAATAAATGGTTTAGAAGTAATAAAAATAGATATTTGATAAATGAACATGGGGGAAGACTCCAGCTTTGTAAAAGTATTGGGTGAGGTGATTAGTAATTAAGAAAACAAAACATTACAATGCCAACATAAGAAAATTTTAAACTTTTAAAACATGAACTATAAGGGGCTCAAGATAATTTAGGACATTCTGAGGTTCTTATTATCCTTCATAGTTGAGCAGCTTTCATAGGATTAGCAAGTTATCTGTCTACGAACTGAATAGGCAATTGTAGAAAGTGTGTTGGTTATAGTAACCAAAAGCAATTTAGGCGATGGAATGTAAAATCTCAGGCATATTTATTCATAATATATGACAACGTATGTTTTGAGGGTGCCAGATGGTTATCCTGTCCAAACAGATAGTTAATTGTACGTATTTAATCACATAGGCCCTGAACTAATCACCACATGACAGAAAAAACCGCGTGTACGTAAATGTTTCCGAACGGATTCATCTTTCACAATTCTAGGTGGAAACAATCCGTTCTACTCTAGGAGAACCGTTGTTATGATTAATAGTAGTTCTTATGGACAGTTTCTGATTTTCCATCGGAGTAGTTTTTAGTTGCATTGCGTTCAAGATATCTATAAAGCCCAATATGTGGGACATCATTAATAGCTTTTAAGATTAAAAGAATACTCAAGAGAAAACGGTGTCTAATAAAACGAGAATACGGAACGTAATCCTGGAAAAAAATCAATAAAGAGCGACGTTGGAACTGTGATGTATAAAATGCAAAACTACAAAGGCTAGACGGAGGGTCAATATTTGTGGTTCGTGACATGGCTACCAGGTGTCAATCAGTTATATAGCTTGGCTTAAAAAAGCTCCATCGAACATTTATGAAACCTAGAATTCATCCATGAAGCAGTTTAGAGAATATTTAAATTCAATAAGCGTTTCACCCCACCATATCTATACTGGCAACCTATTCCAGAGGCTTGAGTAGCGTGTGAAAAAGAGGGTTGACCTTAATTTGTCTGGTGTTCTCGATAACTCCAGTAGACAATCCTGATTACAAAGGTTATAATAATTACTTTTCGTAAATTTTAAAGTATCTTAGTTTGTAGTAATTTTGTTATATAGAAATTTGGAAAGTAATTCAAGTTTGAGTTTAATTCAGCGTAACCACAAGGGATCCGATTTCCATGCTTCAAATCTATCTCGGTGTCATAGGTCTGGTTTCAGAAGTCTTGTAAAATGAAATTGTACTTTCTCAACTTTCTATCAGTCTACGGAACTCATGTAATTGAATGCGATTGTGCAGTGTTCTAGTAGATGCCGAACACATCTTATAAGAAGTAGTTTTGGATTCCGTTAGATAAAAGTTACGATTGATAAACTCAATAAATCTACGGACTCCAGAGACTTTAGATGTAGCCTGTTAGGTGATTGCTATCATAAATAGGCATTTTGCAGTGTTGGGTCGGCATTTCATAATCCAACTACCCATCATAAATATTTCTGGACTGAATTATTTCAATAACAAAAGAAAAGAGATTACTCTAGACAAGTCCCCTAAGGCTGAAAGTATCAGTGAATGGATGCCTATGATTTAAGTGCAACCTCTCATATATTTACCGATGGCCTGAGTTGGTGAAGCAGGCTTTGGGTTTACGAACTCGAGAGAAGTATCCTTATGGTTATTTGTACTGATATGATGATTGTGGTGTGGCTAGAAATACAGCTATTTGTTCTTCGTGAGTACATCAAGCCTGTGTTTTTAGCAAGCAGTTTAATGGGAGTTCTGTTATAAAATATGCTAATTTTTTAATATTGAGATCTTTCATAATATCAAAAGATTGCTAATGAAATGGGTCGCTAAGACAACAGTAGCAAGAGGAGAAGGCATAGGGAAGGACACATCCTTGTCCACCTCACTCAATCTTTCTCAGAAATAGCCCAATTTAAACTTTCGTCCACATCATACACCATGTATAAAATACCAGACATATTGATATTACTGAAATGAATATAACCCAGTTAATCAGCAGCCATACATCTACGTCATTTTGCAAAGCCAGAATTAATCGATTATATGAGCAAGAGTAAAGAATAGGCAAGTTGGACAGTCAATATTACAGAACGATCTAAGGCAACAAAAAGAAGCCGAGAAATTAGGACTTGACCTTATGAGAGACCGGAGCGAAATCAAAAACTGAGACAAAAGTTTCAAACTGATGCCAAACTGATTCCGCCTAGGGTTAGGGTAAGGAATACAGTTTGTTCAGCATGTCTGCCACTTTGAAGATGAGAACATGCAATTACATAGAACACATTCTCATCAGTAAAATCCACAACGGCAACCTCTTGCACATATTGATTACGATATACGTATGCAGTGGCACTGGACACTAACCACGCAACCTTTGAGGTCGAGCATATAATTACTGAAAAGATTTATATTCAACAATTAACACGAAGAGAACGTCATCAATGGAGAGGGCGGGAAAGATTTATTAAATTCAAGCAAATGGCACGCCTCGATGAGCCAGTGTAGACAATGACGTGACTCCAGCGTAAGATCTTATAGATTAGGCAATCGTATCGTGACAAATCTACAATTTTAGGATTAGGTCTATTATTATAGTAGTACTAATAACTAACTTAGACCATATTTCTACACATACACACTTATCAACACGACTGAACACAAGTAGATTCAACCGGGGATGTACTTGCAAATGCGAGAAATTTGGAGTTGGGTATCGGAAGAAACAGTTCTGGTTCTGCAGTCTCTTTGACATTTTGACTA